TTAATCCCAAAGAGAGTTAATTTTCAATGGTTTTAGTCCCAACTCTCAGAGGTGAAAATATGCGATTTTGACTAACACTTTTTATCGGCCTCCTATTTGCTCATTTTTTCACCATTTGGTATCAAAAACATGTTATTCGATAGTTAAAAGCCTAAGCTTTCGGAATGTGAAAAAAATTCGTTAATAGAATGAGTAGTTCACGTACAATAGCGCACCAAAGTTGGATTACCTTTTTTTTGATACACCCTGTAGAACTACGCAGATAATTGTTTCGACTTTGAAGAAGATAAGAAAGTCTTTAATTTTGTCTTTTAAAATTGCACTTTTGGCTGATTTACGCCGGAAAATGAGATAACATTGATAACAGTGGAATTTATCAGGGCAGCTGCACTTTATACACTTTATACCCAAATATTGAGTCAGACTTAGAACAATCGATTATATATTGTCATTTTAACAAGGGAAACATTGGTTAAATATATCTGTTACGACTATACTGTTAAATCTTGCATGCGTAATTCATATTTCTGCTTCAAGTCCATGCACTCCAAGTCTTCATTCCCAAAAGCTGAGAAGATTATATATATTTGGTTTGCCGAATTCGCATCGAGTGATAACTGGGATATTGCGAGATTAATCAGTTCAATGCGCGGAAATCGTCTTAATTTGCCCACCGAGTTCCGTTTTGTACACCGCCCAATAAACATTAGCATCACGCTGTGCGAGTCGACAGCGCACGCAGGATCTTAATTGCAACAACTTTGGCGAAAAGAGAACATCAATTTCCTATTAATTAAATCTCGTGAATACGACGCCTACCATTCGAAAAGATTGTGCGTAATTGGATTGAGGAGGGGACATTGGAGATTTCAATCGCGCATTTGTGCGCCTCTGCGGGTGTGTGGGACTATTATAATTCGTTGTTTTGTATGTATATCGCATGAATTTATATGGCAACAAACGCGCGTATACGATTATAAAGCTTTATACAAACAATCTTAGCTCAGCACGCAATATATGGAACGATTAAATGGTTCGTGTTAGGACGAATTGCTGGGTATATGCTTTTCAACGTGAAACACATTTGCATTAATTTGGATAAAAAAAGAATTGTCGTGTTGCCATTTTAGGGTCAAACATGGTATGATTTTATAATTGGCATGAGCATATATATCCCTCTGTGCGGATTATTGAAGTGAAGTATAGGATACAGTCTATATAGGGTAAACTTGGCAGTGTTATATTGGCATTCCCCACGTTATTTTATTATCCTTATAAGGCTTTTCTGTTATATTCGCTATTCCCTTGTGTACTGCACGTACTAAATTCTAAATTTTTGCTGATATAGAAACAGAATTGCATAATGCCGAATACTTGTATATTATAATTATACTTCACGTGTAGTTATAAACTATTTGAAACGACCAGAATCCACTGGAACGGCTCACTTAAATCTGACAGCGATGAGCGATTTCGCCCTCAACACTAACAATAAACGAATCAACTTTTCTTGATGGTAATGATGCGTTTATTTTTGTTTTCGAAAGCCAGTTGTCTTTATACTTGCTATTTTTTTGCTGTTCTCTTCGGGTCCAAAAATTTAGCAAAATTCCCATCCTCAGAATCAATTGGAACGCGCGATGACAATTAAACTACATAATTAATTTGTTTAGTTATGTTCAATTGGATTTGGTTTTAATACATCATCATTTCAGTAGAAAATATATAAACAACAATTTGCGATTACGAAAAACGATGGCGGATGTAATATTTGCCAGAATGTATTGCGGTCAGAAATAGTTTTGAAATCAAATTGACGTCTTTCAAATACCAGGCGGAAATCAGAGGGTTATTTCCTTTGTTGAGTCGAAATTTCAGGTCAGCCAAGGTTTCTCCTGTTTCCACTATTTTTTATTCATTCTGCTGCTCACTGATCTATACGGGTCTGTATTAAAACTGGATACTGCATCTCACTGATCTATACGGGTCTGTATTAAAACTGGATACTGATGTGAATATAATCGACATAGGTCTCAAAACATATTAGTGATTTATGCAAAATTGCATTTTTGTAAAATTTATGTAAAATTTGCGAAATCAAGGAGTTCAAATTAGTATTCTTGCCAGTACTTATATTTCAACTAATTTTGATATAACTTTGATGATGTGCTCAAAGTTTGTGGATTGAATAATCAAATTAATTGCATGAATATAATTATAACTGAAAACGAATCTGGAACATATATAATTGATATTTAATTCAAAGGAAATCAGACATTTTCATGGCAATCATTTTTTTGTTTTTACATATTTGCTTCAATTGTGAAACGATTGTCTGCTGCAGCGTTTGTTCGGAGGCAAGATTGTCAGAGAATTCAATAATCGATTGATTAAAATCAAATGTTTTCGTCCAAACTGTCGATGGATGGCAGGAGAATGCATATGCTTCTTGCCCGTCCTCGTGTCATAACATCTGGCAAGTGGCAACCTCTGGCATTCGAGAGTTCACGCTATATTTCATTAACCTGTCTGCGAGAGACAGGTTTGTAGCCAAGTTTGTCTGCATCGTTCGAAATCGTATCAAACTGCGCAGATACTATGAAATGATGAATCGCAGTAATTTTTCACAATGACAGGTCACCACTTCTTGTGAGTTTTGGTTGCGCGTCGTGTTTCGAGGATTGAAGTCGTGTGTCGTTACAAGCCGTGGGGCCAAAAATTTGATAACTTTGCAAAACTGATAACTTTTTCACGAGACAACACTACACCGCTCCACCATTGAACTACTTGAAAAAAATGGAGGGCGCATAATAATCTAAATTAAAAGCTGATAGGTAAAATGAATGATGGTTGTTCAGGCTTAGCTTAGCTTAGGAAAAATAATACAGCTTTGGCAGTCTGTGGATTACAAATTCGTGAGACAAGTGGTCAATCATCTTATTCTCTGATCAACTTCTTCTCTCAGACGCTGAGCATTAAATGTAATCTCATGACAATATAGGAAAACCGATAACAGATACATTGGATAAATTCCTGCTACTTTATTTCACCTGGATATTCCCATGTTCTGACACTTCAATACTGCATAGGTTTGCTCAAACATCACGCACAACCAAGCTAGCGTGACAACGTTGAATCATTGCACAATACACAACACATTACTGTTGAAATAGCAAATTCACTCGACGCGTGACGTTTTTCTTTCACCTTGTCGATAGATGAACATTGATGTAAGAACACAAACGAACAGGGTCCGTTGGCTATTTGCCCAAATGTAGCATTTCACTTGCGTTAATTAGTCGGTTAGTCCGACGCCAGATGATCTGAACTCGTCAGAATCGGGTTAGCAAAGCTTCTTGCTTTTATCCTTGTCAATCCAAGTCTGTTTGAAACCAGAAAAACTCATAACTTGGTTTAATACCTGGAGATCTTATTCATCTGTGTTAGGCTAGCCGTTATTGAGTGTTTACAGTAAATAGATTAACGGGGCAGAATTTTTTGTGCAACACGTAACCCGCGCTCAAAAGATAAAAAACGAGAGAATTATATTAAGTTTATCTGCCAAATGTGGTTAAAAAGGGTTAATGAAATATAATTAAATAATCACTTTCAAGAATATTAAAAAAGTTTGCTTGATAAAAGATAAAAATATATTCGAAGTTTGTTTTTCTTATATACTGCTGTCACTGTCAGTATGCAAACATTATTTTTTAGTTTAACCGATATTTTTGCTGTTTAATTTTGCGATTCCCGCAGATGCATTCAATGTGACAGATGATAAGAAAACGGGGAATGGATTTAGAAACTAGAGAGCCGTCTTGGGAGAAACGTCAAAGCGATGTTAGGTCTTGCATTTTAGGAAAGAATTGACCCTCGATAAACTATTCTTTGTTAGGAAAAATTTGCCACTTAAAATAACTATTTGCTGGTTTGTTTTGTTGGCTCATTCGCCTGCCATAGCTGTTTACGTATTATAGATGTTTACATGCGCACCGTTTTCCATGCATAACGGAAACTTTCGTTTCGAGGTTAATCCCTCGAAAAAAATTACCGCGTATGAGACAAACCCGATGTGCGTCAAAATCCCAAATTAATACTTCCCCAAAAACTTTTATGTGCGGCAGCGTTTAATAATTTTTTCCAAATCGAAGTTATTAGACTCCTTTAGTTATAGTGAACTGTCACACTAGGTCAAATAGGTTTAAGCTTAAACGTCATTAACATAAGGAAACCAGCAGGAAACATAGGAATTTTCCATATTAGTAATATAGTGGAGGCTGCGCCATTCGGCCCATTCTGTCGTAGAGAAGTCGTTGAGTGTTCGACACAGATCATTAAATAGGTAAAAAACGCGCATAAATGTCGTTTTCCTTAAACGTATAAGCCAATTTAAATTAATCTATCTGGGATTGTATAGGAATGCAAAGTAAGGTATAATATTAAATGAGACTTCGGACTATAAATAACAAAACTTTGAATCGCAATTAAAGCATTAGATCATATAACATTGATCGTATAACGGACAAGAAGGTCTGTCATTAACGACTCGAGATGACAAATTAAACGCCTGTGTTCACAAAGCTCGTTCAAACAGTCACGCTCGTACCTATTGACTGTGTCATTGAAATTTTCTCATTGCTGATCGATGAAAAAGTTTTTTCTTAATCAATGGAAAGATTTAAGGTGAAACACTAAAAATGTCTCATTCGAGTGGAAATACCGTCATGAAAACATTTTGAGAAAATTGAGAACTCCCATTCAATGAGTTTGAGTGTGAGTGAGCTTTCAGAATACGTGCGTTAATCTCGAATGGGTGTCCCACGTTACACGATTTTCTGTCCACGGCTCGCGAGGAGACGTGAGATGCTTAGCGATAAACAACATTGTCATTAATTGGTGAAGGTGCCACATGTCAGGCTTTTTCGTGGGGGCGGTGTTGATTGGTAACGCGGTATGAAGGGCTTCGTTACTCGACTCATTTATCCTCTTTTGTCTTTCAGCGAGTGAATATATTGAAATTCGAAGAGAAAAGAGGCTAACAGTCAACTTGAGCGGTTAAAGAAAGCTCGTGTGCAGCTGGTAAACATCTTCTGCTGTTTGTAAATTTTGACGCATTCCGCGTCGCCGGATCACAGAGGTAGTGCGGGAAAACGTGTGAATACCGTCGATCGTGAACCACGCTTCGTGAGAAAACCTACATTCTCCCGGAACTTGCTCGACAAAGATCACTTGTTTAAAGAGAAATAAGCAATTTTCCATACCTTGGACAATTTCGCTAGCACTCTATTTCAGATACGAGGAAATCCTGCAGGCTGTTCTAAATCGTTCAATCTAAAAACCTGAAATATCTACATATATACTGGCCAGAGTTTATCGAGATATTACAACGCAGGATTCAGGATATATTTAACAGTTTAGCTCGACAGTCGGCGTTGGTTTTCGTCTCTGGAAAAGCAAGTTTTGTGTTGATATTCGAGATATTTGCAACGCTCAAAACCTGAGAAACACCGCTTTAACGTTTCCAAAGTCAAAACCGATTTGCCAGGGAAGATTTGAACACCGAAATAATGTCGAATAATACAACAGCAACAGAAGCGGGTCTTCCAGAGCCTGAGGGACTTCGTGTTATAAGAATCATATTGTCTGTCGTGATCATGTTTTTGGGTAAGTACACACAAATAAATCGTGCTCCCTTGGGAACCCGTTGTTTATAGAACTCTACTTTATAGAAGTGCTGTGTTGTGCTTCAAATGGATTAAACTCCCCGTTTCTATGCCCGTTCTACAGTATCCGTCATGATTCGTACTATCCATTTTCAACGTTGTCACGGCAATGTACCTACGTTAATAGCATTATTGGACAGTTTACGGGCCCTCGCTTCCTTCCCTAAACTTTGCTCTGTAAACATTCGCAGTTGCGCAAGTTCGAATCGGGCATGGGGAATGGTTAATTAAACTAAAGATATTACGGATACCTTGTCGAATTGTTTTAAGATTTGCGTGAGGTCAGAGGTTCAGGAATGTATTTCAGTAATCGCTGATTAAACCTATATAGCGGTGTGTCGAATTTAATCTATCAGCTAACCCAATCAGCTGCGCGGTATATGTCGAGAAAAAAGCGTGCAAAATCTCCCTTCGATCCTTGTATCTGTAAATCTCGACAAATTGCGCAGTCGTGTCGCGATTAATGTTCTCGTTTAAGACGCGAGATATCGCGTTTAGCAGTAAATACGAAGGCAGCATATGCAATTCTCATTAACAAGCATTATCGTATTATATTGCTATACTCGCACTGTGCCCAATGTCGATTTTTATCAACGCCGTAATCTCTGACATGCCACTGAACGAATCATCGTGTTCCTATCTGACCTCTTTCGGCTCACTTCCTTGAGTGTGACTAATGAAAACTTGTTTATATTACGGCGCAATATTTGCGTTTCGTGTCTAAGTGTTATTGCAATTGTATTGTCTGGCGTCAGAAAATTGGCATCGAACGAGCTCGTGAAAGGCAGAACAGATGCGCTTCTAATGATTTCAGCGCGCAGTCGTGAACCTTGTTTGAGCTTTGGAAATGCACGTTAAAGACCGCTCTATCTTCGCCTGCTAAATATTGGCAGTCAGCAGTTTACGACGTAGAGGAGTGCAGATATAATTTTAAGAGCTGTTGCCTTAGATCTACTAGACTGGTTTTCTGTGAACTCTTATCTCCACACCTCAGACTCGTCGCTTTAAATTGCAAAACAAAAGCTTTGCTTGCTTATTCGATTTTATCCATTCCAGTGTTGTGTGTCACAGTCGTTTCACAAGATTTATTAGTCCATGCGAAAATTCGTAAAGTGATTAATTGCGCTTTGATACTTTGATGATGAAATTGAGACGATCCTTTTTCAACAAATATAATAAACCCATAATGCTAAATTTTTAGTGTATATAAAGTCTATGTGTTTGAGAAAATATAAATTTGAACCGTAGCGGCATCCTTGCTCTCGGCATGTATCGTGTGTTTTCCCTAAAAACATTGTGTTTGGGTATTCATTATTCTAAGAAAAAAACGATAGTGAGTGATTATGGGTCTAATCAAGCAATAGCCTAACAAAATTCCTATCGCCATGCGAACAACGGCAGACCGTATACTGAGAAAACCCGAAAGGCAAACCGTTATGAAATTTTACCGAAAAGGTCGCTTACATTCGTATCGCAACTGGGTTCAAAAGGCGAATCAATTCAGTTTTGAGAAATTGTGTTTTTTTCTTCATATTTATACCGTATATGAAGTATATTTGAGAGAAAGAACGCACTTCTTCACCGGGGCATATCACACAAACGACTGGAGAATAAAACACTTTTGATGGAAGTTAAACGTTCATCTGCATGTCCAATCGCACCTACAAATTGAGCAAGCGATAATCCGAAGTTCCTAACGGAAAACCAAAGGAATTTGCCAGTCATTGTCGATGCACTTCTTGCACGAAAACCGCGCACTTCTCGTCATATGGTGGGCAACTTTTCCGCAAAGTTAAGATTACCAAAAAAACCTAATCCAAAGCGATTGATGCTAAGCTTTAAGGCGGATTGGTATATTGCGCGCGTGCAGGATATACGTAAATAAACTATACACGGATGTAAATTGTTCTAAAAAGGAAAGTTCATATTTCGAGAAGATAAGTTATATAAGTATAGCTAGATCAAAAAGATATAAATTAAAACGAGTGTCTGGGACTAAAACGTTTCTGTAAATTGATCACAATTTATCATGAAATACAATATGTCTTATTCGGATATGATGTCTTTGAAATCAAGATGAACTAATATTTTCGGAATATTTTTCTTCTACAAGTTGCGGGCTAGCCGTAGATCTTTGATCAACATGCAGTTCATTTAGCCGACTTGTGTATTTTTAATTGTAATTAACCGGTGTTAATATATTGAGTAATCAAATGATTATATTTTGCTTAAAATTGATTTCAGACTCGATGCCGTAGAAAAGCCGTATTTACAAAACTTTATTGACTTTACTCTTGTCGCAGGACCCAGCAGATATCTTAAGTAAAATACTTCTTGTTGACTTCGGACCAAATGTGGTATAATAACTGCCGGACAAACACTTCTCAACGTTTCAAGCCTAAGGGCTTTCTTTAGGTAACCTCGTCAAAAGCGGCGAGAAGTGTTTGCGAGAGTGTTTGTGTCTATTGTGGGAGGTTGTTATACCACATTTCATGCTAGGTTGTTAGACTTGTTTATATTGTTTATATTGGCATACTTATCTTAGCGACTTGCTTAACAATGTAAAACTCCACGAGTAGCTATATTTTTAAGCGCGTGATCCCATTAATGTTCAATATATACGAAAGTTAAATATGTATACAATTTAAGGTATTCAGCCAGTTTGCCTACTTCGTTGTTTACAGGCTCTGTTCCATACCGAAACGCTTCACGTTCATGACGAATTTTTATTGCGCGCGGTGTCATTTTCACGTTCATGCTGCGTGTGATTGCGAAGGCCTCACAGGTTTATCGCTTGAGTGAAGTATTTTTGTGCTGTGATAAAACGGCCGTTTCTCAGCAGGCACTTAAAATTCGCTACACTTTTATTATCTTCGCGACGCAGTTTATTTATTCAAGCTCAAAATCACGCGTCGAAAAGTCAATATATGGCGAACTCGTTAATTTTGTTTTGACATTGTTATGTTCTTTGAACTTATGTGCTCCAAATGGCAGACTTTTAAGCCGGGAAATGTCTAGTTTGATGCCGGCAGCTAAAGCGGCGTACAGTTGACATGCATATTTCGTCTCGTGAAATCATGGGATTGCTATAGAAACCATTCAGCTGTTTCAAGTGTAACTTTTACGCACAAAGCATAATAAGCATATCGTTCTTTATATAGTCTATGGTTCGTTTGTGATGCGCAGAATGAATGTTAGGCTGAAAGATTGAAGATGCATTAAACAATTAGCTAATTAATTAAACAATCTAAAAATTTCTATAAATACACGTCTCAAAATATCAAAATATTAATATCTTAATTATACAAAATGTTGTATAATTAAGGACATCGTTATTCTAGTGTTAAAACTAAACAACACTCAGAACATATATTTACCTTGCTGTTGAGTGTTCTTCACATATGTGCATAGAATATATGCACACTTGAATAAAACTGCTGAAATACATCACAAATTGATGTATTTCAGCAGTTTTATTCAAGTGTGCATATATTCTATATAAATGAAACAACCAGGTCTTTTTCTTTTTAAATTTAAAGATATTTTCTTTAAAAACACATTTATAGTGCCAATATTCCTAGTGCTAGTATTTTCGGCGAAGAACAGTCGATTTTCGTTCGGATTTCCAACTTAACTAATCACAACATTCGAGGGTTTATTGATATTCTTGCAATATGCACTCTTAAAATGCTACTTATTATTATTCTTATCGCGCTATTCTTTCGTTGAAATGCGAAACGACACTATCTCTGTCCGATATGAGACCATTAATGAAAACGTTGCAAGTTTTAATTTTTTATCCTCCATTAAGCGCGACGTCTGTCAAGCGGCCAGTCGAAACTTGATACAAGCCACATGTTTATGGTAATAAACATCAAAGTCAAAAGTTCCTCTCCTAATTAGGATGTCAAATCGTAGATTGTACAGTTACAATCTTTGCAGGCAAATTTCCACAATGGGGCGAATTGCGTTGAAATGTTTGGCGATTTTTTTTAAGAAAAACATTCAGCCTTTTAACATGTGGCAACTTAGATATGCGGCTTGTTGAAATATTCTGTCTATAAATAAAGGCTACCATGTTTTATTTAAGGTTTCTAGATTGCCTTACAGTTCTAGATTCTACTGTGAATTCAGTATCAAGAATTTTAATTAAAATTGTGATGAGAAATAGATGTGTAAATTGCCAGTACGTTCGCTGAATTGATGAAAAGAACTAGAGAAATGTCGTATTTCTAAATGAGTTAAAAAACTTCATGGTATAGTTTCGTTTACTAAACTGGTAGCTATTGCAATAATGTCTAATAAGGTATTACTCGGTGTAAAATTACTCCTTAAAACTCCTCAACAGCCTGTACAATGTATGCGGAAATATCATCGCAGAATATGCTAATTTACCGCATTCCTGAAATAGACGTGCGTGTTGAAACTATTATTGGAAATGCCATTTACCGTTATTATACCACAGGCGTTTAATGACAGATTAATAGGAACGGTCACGATTGACAACTATGTGCCCTTAAACTCTCATGAAGGTGAACCAAATTTTGGGCGGAAATTCACGATATCTATTTTAAGTTGCGCTTTTTGTTTCTGACGAAAGTAACCTTGAGACTTTCTGGAAGCGATTATGATTTTAAATTGAGTTTCCTGTGCAATTAACACTGAGAATTTGTGCGTAAAACGTTAGATTCGTCATTATTTTAAGGACGTTTTTCCTGTATGTTTTCGGAAATCTTTCTTACACATGGTAATTCGAGTACGTCAACGCATTGAAAATATTACACGGAACTGCACGGAAGAGAGATTTTATACTGATGCCAAAACATACATATTACTTTGCTATAAATAAACAAAGCCGATATAACTGCATTTGTTTTACCCTAAGATGGTTAAGGTTAATGTATATATAATCTAGTGTAAATGAGCACGCTATCGGTTTTCCTATTAAATATTACTGCCAGATTCAACACACTGAGATCTACAAAGATGCAGCAGCCCCTACTGTGAAATTGATATATCATATGAACTGTCATGTTAAGGGCCTTGGATATGCCGGGATTTCGTATACCAGATTCGCTGCATAGCTACTGATTCAGCACCCCCCCCCCTTCCTAGAATTGATTCAATTGCCTATTGGTGTGGAACTAGAAAAAAGTTTTGGAAAAAAGGATTGCAAAGTATTGTGAGCTATGCAGCTATGTTGGTATGTCTATTATTCAGATTTAGATGTGTATTAATGAGATTTGAAATAATGTTCTAGCTTTTCGAAGTTTTGGCGAGAAATTAACATGCAAATATGCCAAATATGAACTATAATTAAACTGCAATGTCTGGAAGTTGATTCGATTTGAGAAGTTGAATTCTGTAATTTCTTTGATTTTATTGTATGAATATAAGTATGATTTTGAATATCCTGCGCATCAACAGAATGGGCCGGTGTCCAAAAATATTTACATCATTAAAAATTAATTCAAACATCTAGGTGGAGTCAAGAATTTGATATACATATATATGGTCTATGGATTCCCAAAACTTCGCTAAAAATTGGCTTAACTTCAACACCCTTTAAAAATCTAAGGTTTTTTTTCACCGTTGTCGACATATAACTTTCGTGTGCTTGGTATTACTGGTATAGGTTGAGGTTGAATTTCATTTCACTGACTGAGAGTTAGACTAACTCCATGCTTGGCAACAAACTAGTGTGTTTAAAAAATAGCTAGGGACTTATTGCGACTGAAAGTATAAAATTATACTCTGGCGTTCTCCTTTGACTTGCGTTGTTTTAATCCCAGGTTTGGCGTATAGGCCATAAGTGTATGTGTTTAGATAAGCTGCTATTGACAGTTCTGACGTTTTTTTTAAGGCCTAATGTCTTCTTTCGCAACCCACTTGCGACTTCCTCTGTAATAAACTTGAGTACTTCACAGAGCGATTTCCTAATGGCAGTGCATTTCGTCGTATCCACGGCAACAGTTTGTTGACGAATTACAAACATTACACGCGCTGTATATGGGCCCTGGAAACTAATAACTGAAAATGTCTCATTTAAAAAATGAGTTAATTGAATTAACTGAACGACTTAAATAATTAATGTGGTCAATATAATTACTTTATAAAAATTCCTCGAATGTTATGGATTGCAAAAAAAGAGATTAGCGCGTTTAAGCATGCAGGATTCTCCCGATTGTAAAATACAGGATTAAAAGCTCTATTTTCGTAAGATATAATCGCCTCTTTTCTCTCAGTTAAATCGATTAAATAGTCGTGGGAAACGACGTTTGAATGCTATGAATGACAATGTAAAATCAGAACGTGAAAGATTTTCTAAAAAAGATTAATCTTCCCTTAAACGTTTCCTTAAAAAATAGATCAATCAATTATACAGTAAAGACCCTGGGTACGAGGTTGACAGTAAAGTAGGGTTGAAAACTTTGCTTAAAACATAATTTTCCCTGTTTGCCCATGATAACAAACTTCATTGAGTATGCATTCAATTTGAACGATGAAGAAACTACAGAATAAATCAGTACAATAATGAAGAAATATAGAAATATCAAGAGATTTAATTATTTTAAAATGGAGTATACATATATACGTAGAAACTATATAAGATTTAAAGTATAAAGTGACAGACACTTAAAATCACAGTGATAACAAAAAATAAACGCAAGCATTTTCTTATTAAAACACAAACTGATTGTCAGGCATATCTAATTATCCATTTCCAAATATGCAAATATGTACAAAGCAACCCAAGAGATACATGAAGAAATCACTCGCTTGTAGCTTTAATAACAAGAATGTATTGTGGACATAGACACATAGTTATTTGCGAATACACTATAAGCTTGTTATTGCGAAGCTGATTCCGTCAACCATGGGGTCCTTCATCGTACAATTAATTTAAAAAAAAAACATTTTTATAGCCAAAAAAGGACCTAGAAATTTACGAATCAGTCATAACGTTCATGGCAGTATTCCATAATTTAATTTGGAAAGCTATTGAAACAGCTAGAAATTTCCTGCGAGTGGTTTATAACTGACTTCTGCCGCGTAATCTTTTTTTCTTTTTCGATAAAACCCCTCAGTACACTTCCGACATCGTTTATCTTTCATATCTCGTCGCTAAACAAAATATTTCTGCACGAATGCCCATGACAATCTAGAAGACTTGCTACAAAGAACAGACTTGCCCCAAAGGGGATTTTTTTCAGTCAAGAGCCTATGAGTTGGAACCTTGCGGTAACTCCTTGCGCACTTGGAGTTCAAGGTTAAAGCTATTTTCTTGGGTCTGCCATGCATGACGTTTCTCGATAATCATCGTTATACCCTTCATATGACTTCAGAAATACTCTCATCATCTGCGTCACAGCGTGGTTCCACTCAAACTTACGAATTAAATATACTGACGTGCAGAATAATTCTGGAACATTATGTCTTCGTAGAGATTGCGTTGGTAATAATTGAAATCTGCGTCAATCCACTCAAAGTTACGTTAAATTTACTGACGTGAAAAGAATAATTCTCTGACTTTATGCCTTCATAGAGGTTTTATAGCTATGCAAAGCTATTAAAATCTGCGTCAGTCCACTCAAAGTTACCTTAAATTTACTGACGTGAAAAGAATAATTCTCTGACTTAATGCCTTCATAGAGGTTTTATATGCGACGGCTATTAAAATCTGCGTCAGTCCACTCAAAACTCTCGTTAAATTCGCTGACGGGAGGAGAGTACTTCTCGGACATCATGTCTTCATAGAGATTTTACGGAAAGTCATTAAAATTTGCGTCAGTCCACCATAAGGGCTGGTTTCCACTGTCGCGTTTTTTGGACGTACCGGTACACGCACGTAAAAGTGTAAAGTTGTTGTATAATAAATTTTATTGCAGAAAAAACATACCAAATCTTCAACAGAATCCGACCCTATGCATCTATTCAATCGTAGATTTTATTAGTATCATTTTAATCTTTAAACTTTTACCATGCGCATATGCATGTACGTGCAAAAAACGCGACAGTGAAAAACAGCCCTATAAGGCTTCAGACGTGCGTAATGTTAATGAGCTAAAGTCTTCGTAAATTGTAAGTTCTTTTGGATTCGATCTGACCTGTCTCGTTTGCTAAATACCAAACGGTATAGCTGCGTCTGTCTATACGGTTGTTAGAAACACATTGATTACTTTAATCACTATATAATTAAGCATATATCCCAAACCATACCGACCGGATTTAAATGATTTTTTTGGCCAGCGATAAGCTATTTGCGCAATTAATTTGACCGATGTAAACGAATTGGCATTAAGGCTTCGCATAGTTTGCACTCTCTTTATGATTTCCTCTTGTTTTTCCTGAGGATTAGAGCGTTTGGAACAAACGATACATGCATTGTAAACAGGAAATCATCTCGATTAAGAAACCACGAAATGAAAATCCTATCTGGTATGGAATAACACACTGTCACGCAACGCTACATTTGAATAAGATTCAAACCATAGCAAGTTTTCATGCATAAATGCCCATCTTGTTCAATATTCGCTTGCGCATGGAATTTAAAACGGAAAACATCTCATAACCATCAGACTAATCTAGTAGGGATAAATGATGGGTGATGATAGTTTGTCACTATACTACATTGTTCTTGTATTCATTTCGTACTTTTTAAAACGGTTTTAAGACTGGCGCGCTGCATTTTAACGCAAAGTTAAGCTTGTTATACGTCGTATACTGATGTCAGGGATTTAGTTAAGATAGCGTGGATTAGGCACCACCGCAAATGATAATCATGCAGTAAGTTGATATCTTGGTTGTCATTTTCCGTGCTTCAAAGGTTTTTCTCAGTGATCCTCTCGTATCCCTCTCCAAAAACCGATCCTTATATATAGTCTATAGACAATATGCAATTCGCGCTATTTGCAATTAAGTCATCCAGTCGTTTCACGTATAGCGATTTCTATTTTGAAGGGAGGGGGGGGGTTGACTCGGATACTTTAAAGATATATCCAAGGTTTCTTTTAAATTGCTTTCATGTGTTTCGACCAGAACCCCAGACGTGAATAAACTTAGATTTGCGCATTCATTTAAGCGAATTGAAGCCACTGAAAATGGTAGTTTAAAATCCAAAGCAAATTGATTTTTTTATGGTGAGGTTAACAGGCCTTGGTGAATGCGCTGTCTATATATAGGTTTGATCAGCTGGATAAGTTTAGTCCATGACTTTTGTGTTTATTTGTATCAACGAAATCCTCGTTTTTTGTCCCCCCAGTGCACTGAACTCTTTAAAGAACTGGAGCGATGGCTGACGATTATTTAGTCGCGATCTTTGAAGTCGATTTGCCGACAAAAACAATGGAAAGGGAATGGCACTGGTACCAGATTGGCTTCAAAGATGGCGACTGAGTTATCGTTCCAGTTCAGCGACAATGCTCGCTGTTCCAATGTGGTCAACTTTAGCTATATATCAAAACTAATTATTTTTATTTTTGGTTGTCAGGTATTTCTGGAAACGGGCTGGTTTGCGTCCTTGTTTATCAAAATAGAAAAATGCGAACGGCTATGAACTATTTCCTTGTGAACCTCGCGATATGCGATGGTATCATTTGCCTGTTTAACATTCCTACAACGCTCGTCTACAACGAGTACACGAAAACATGGCCTTTTGGTCTCGCTTTTTGTAAAATACTGCCAGGTAAGAATATAACGCTAGTTTTCAAGGACACTCCAGTTCCATCAATATCAGCCTACGTGCATGTCCACGCCATCATATAAACCAGATTTCTGAAAACAACGCATTTGTTAAATGATATTTTTATGCGATATAATTAGCAATTTGAAACTATTCTTATACAGTTTCACAATCTATTTCTTTAGCAATGCAACAGATGGTACTAGCTGCGGCTCCCCTATCCTTGGTCGCCGTGTCGTGGGAACGTTTCAAATGGATCGTTCTAACGTTCAACGAGAAAATGTCCTTAACCCAGGCGAAATTAATCATCTTGATCATTTGGTTGTTGGGAATATTGAACAGCTTACCGATTTTGGGCGCCATGAAAATGAAAGATCAAAACCTGTTCAACTGCGTTGAAGTTTTTCCAAAACATTTGTATCGACAGATGTACACCGTGCTCAATTTCACGTTGTTCTACCTGATTCCTGTGTTGTTTATCACACCGCTCTACATTCAGATGGTATGGAAACTTAGACAGAGAACAGAAACTACAGGACAGCTTTCCGATTCAGACGTGAAGAGGAGAAAAGCTGCCTTGAAAATGCTTCTTATTGTTGTCGTGACCTATGCCGTTTGTGTTTTACCAAATCATATCATATTTTTATTATGGGATTTTCATCATGGTAGGTTGATGTTGTTTAAAGGACTGTTTACATGAGCCCGGTTACCCGAGATTCAATGAAGCGTGAGAGGACTTTGAGGTATTGAAATAAGTCTTTAGGACATCAAACAAGCACATGCTATTGTTGTGGTGATTATACGACTGCTAGGATCATGTTATCTGCTCATTTCAATACCTTTAAAGTCCTCGCGAGTTTTTCTGAAATCCTGAAATCTTTACCTTCTGAAACGTTGTCTTATTTTTTAGTTCCGCTCGAACCGAAGAGTATCATGGCGTTGAATTATATGACTTTATTACTGTGGGCAAATTCGATGATCAATCCTATTATCTATTGCGCTCAGAGCAGCGACTACGCCCGAGGATTCATTAATATACTGTGCTGCGGCCCGGTCAGGAAAAGGATGATATCTCATGTGCGAAGAGCCCGCGGTCAGTCCTTCGTGTCAACGGCCGAACACACGAAACGATACGAACTTGTGCGAGCTGGGCAAAGCAGCAGCAACAGTAGTTAGGAGGGATTGAAGATGAAATATCCAATGATGTCCCTGAAATGCGGCGGTAACCATTGATGCCTCTAACATTGGACATACGAGCCAGCAATGCTTGGAATGCTGGGACAGCGGTGTAATGTAGAAGAAAACGCAAAATGTAGTTTGATAGTTGACACGTGAAAGTTTTTCTAGAAAAGATATGGCGCCTGATGATATTGGAAGTTTGGAACTTTTGTGCTGAACCATTTAGGCTTGTTATTCAAGTCTGCAAATGTAAGCCTTTGGCAAATGTAGCTTTTGCCTTTTTTAGTTTGTCTTTCAGTGACAGACAAGAATGGATATAAATTTAGGTTTGAAGATCTTTTCACGTGTGAAATCAAATTCTTATTTCTCCGAAAACGGAACGCGACATTAGTAAAGACGTCGAAAAAATTAAAAAGTGTTCATGTAATATACGATAAATAAACATATTTATATAGTTATATAATTGAGACCACTTATAGGCTGGTTTTGCTGAACTTCCAATGCAATACAAGCGTAAAGCTTGTTTAAATTTTCAGACTTTCAATTTCAGAAATCAGAATTTCCAATTTGAATATATTTGAATGAAAAATATTGCCAGCAATGGTTAATAAAATGCTCAGTCTCGGAAATGCGTTGCGAGTTTCAGCAAGTCTATTGTAGGATACTAAACAAAAGACAGTTTCATTTCGCTGCCATATTATTGTTGCTAGCCAAAAGTACTGAGAGTAATGGGCCAGTTTATGAAACTAATTTATTCTCAATACTTTATGTATACTTGTATATTATAGGTTATAAATTTTTAACTAATCTTATTTTAGTGTATTATTTTAGGTGTATAATATAGCTATTAAAAGTTTAATGTTGTTTCAGTGAAAAATGGAAATGAAATAATGCATCATTACGTAAAGTTGATTCCATTTAAAAATTGTTCAACTATTTTCTGTTCAACGGGCATGCTTGACACCGATTGGCTAAGACGAAGCGAAACCAATTTGTTTGTTTTAACACTGAATATTAAGTTTTAAAAAAAGGCTGGTTATAATGTAACTGTCTTTGAAACATTTTGAGCTAGTTTTACAAATCCTGAATAGCGCTATCTGACGGATATCAGCTCTTTCAATTATATATCATTATATGAAGATATTAAGAGCCAATCAGAAAGCAGAAAACGAAACTGGGAGGACGCAAGGAAGATGGGGTAGGATATGAGAGGATAAAGAGTGTTGGAAAAGAGTAAGTGGTATAGATCTATTGTTATTATTCAATATATTAGCAATACATAAACCCTCTCTAGTTCCTCCTTCGACCTTCTAAATCACAATCAATCCTAAGATTGTTCCGTTGTTCCTGAGCTGAATGCTCACAAACAGGAGTGTCACAAACAGAAGCTCACAAACACAAGCGAAGCTCGACTATAAGTAACTACTTTGAAACAAAGTATTAAATAGGCTTGGTGAAACACAGTTGCTCCGTTGATTGGGGGCCAGCAAACTAAACCCGCACACGAAGTGTCACAACCCGATTGTGTGTGCCACCCGCGGCCCGAAAATTCGAAAATAGTGAAAAAAATTCTTTGAGCGTATAAATTTGCGGGTTACGGTCGATAGCATACAACCGAAGTTCTGGCCGCAAACAATTGATATCATGGGGTATGTTTAACATTCTTTTCCATTTTGTTTCTCGATTGTTCAGCGAAGCATGCACTGAAATCGGACGGTTTTAAACGAAGTTTTCGTCGATTCTTTCCCTTCTAGAGAACAGCCGATATGGACCACGCGAGCTCAGGTATTCGAAATCGATCGAACGACAAAAACAAGCTGGATTCCATGCACAAAACAGACCGTTTCGATATCGTTTTATCACGACCCGAATCGCCAAACCTACAGGATTATATCTGTGGAGGGCTCGAAGGTAACATCGGTGTTAGCAATTCATTACACGAGGCTTTTAGCTCCGGATTTTCGCTTCGATTTGTTGTAAAGTTCATATAATTTTCGAAATATTGCTTTATCGAGTATACATAGTGTCGCAATTTCTGCGTTAATTTGCAACAATATTACGTTTCTAGAACATCGAAATGTGTATTTTTTAGTACCGTTTCAATTCATAAGTGATCAAACACTGAGAGTGTTTGAACGTAGTAAAATGTGGACATAAAGTACTGTTTGGACTTTTGTTTATGTATTCTTACGCTGTGTACAAAGTTGTGGCTAATTCGGGACAAATCTCCTAGACAATATTAAAAACAACCACTTGAAATTTAACTTAGTCTAGCCTTCGAACATTAAGCTCTTTTAGTACGGTCTCATTTTCTGTTTATTTAAGGAAGATGCATCGTTTCAGATTTATTAGACGTGGCCGTCTGGTTTGCATTACGACGACAAATTTCATTCCTATTTACATGTAATCTGAGACTGCACAAACACGGGCTTTAAAAACGGGGCATAACAAAACGATTAAATAATTGTTCAATAAATAAAAAATCTCGGTCTGCATTAACCAATTGGCGTACAATTCTGCATCTTAATTGTCTAAGGCAAGTCCGTTCAATTTAGTTAATCTTTCTATTATTTAATTGCATAATTTCGCATTGACAGGCGATTTTGAACAGTACAATTACCTCGAATATGGTATTCACAAAAACTGCACAAAAATTTGGTCAGTGGTCAGATCCTAAAGCTGGAACTATATATGGCGTAGGATTTCCTAATGAAGATGACCTTAATAAGGTAATTAATAAAAAGCACCTATATTTTAGTTTTTATGGACCTATGCAAAAGTCTGTGCTTTAGGGTGTTACAGACAAAGCTTGCTCTTGATTGGCCAACTGGCTGCAACATGCTTTGTCTACGAAATAGGTCACAGCATACATTTTCTACTACACCTAGTCATAAGGATTTGTTACCTAACAAGCCTTGTTGCCCAACTCGAAGGTATGCTAAATTGCTAACTTGGCCAAGGTTTTAGGAAGGCCATGGTCTGACTTGTATAGTGTGACGAGAATGCAAAAACTGGGTTATATAAGTCATTTTAACTTGTGCACAAGTTGCAATTGTAGATACAAATTGTCACTGAGATAATAATAAACTATATTTAAATGTATTCTAATAACTTAATCGTGCAAGACTTGCCATTTCTTCATGTTAATTTTCATATGCGAGTGTTTACAGTGACTGCAACTAAAAAATAAGGGTGATATTTATGTTCTTGTATTTCTAGGTCCCTCAAGATGTTTTGTAATCCTAATATGTACATTTTGCATGCTTCTCTTATTAGACAGACAATACGAAATCTGGTTTTGCATTGTAAATCTTTGTTTTCCAGTTTGCAGAAACATTCAAGGAAGCAAATGGTGCAGTAAAATCTTTGGACAATAAGTCAGATAATTCGAATAATTCACCACAGACAACCACAGTTCATAATGGCACTGCACCCAAGCCAATCAATAGATCATCCTCAATGAACAGTAATGGCTCTACAGGGTCTGGAAATCAGGAGGTAAATGAACTGCAATTAAGTAGCTGGTTAGGTTAACCAGTAAATAAATATGCATTGCAAACCTCTGTAGTGCGTATTCAGCTAAAAAGTGATGGTAAAGAGTGGAAACGAAGATGTGAAAAAAACTAAAACAAATTCCGAAAATAGATATCTTGTGCTCTTGCTATTCAAAATATAACATTTTAACATAATATTATATTATATTAAAACATAATATAATATTTTGTTTTTATTGCAAAGACATTTTCAGTCCAATTCAATTGCTATGAAGATGCCTTTCTCTTGTTTTATCTTGAATTTTAAGAAAACAAGATGTCTATTTTCAGAATCTGTTTCATTTTGGAGAATTTGAACCAGTCAAATGCATGTGTTATCAGATTAACCAATCATGAGTGCAACAAGTCAGTAAAACCACCAGACATTAGATGTAAACTCCTAAATTCTACTGCAAAGTTTCATTCTGGTTTGTACAATACTTCATAGCCCTTTTATTTTACTGCTTGTTTAGGAAGTATCTTCAACCACCAATGGCTCCAAAGCATTGTCAAGTTCTATGGATGCTCAATTAAAATATGAAAATGACAAATTGAAACTAGCATTGGCTCAAAGGTTAGCTTTTTAGTCAAGGACTTTAGCTCTAAAAACAAATGACCAAAGGAAAAATTTTCTAAAGATGTTCTAAAGTTGGTTCTGTGTAATTTTCTGCTCATAACAAACTAGCAACATGCCATTGGCCAGTTGTATAAAACACTAGTTAACTTTTAACTGCAGTTAGGGACAGAAAGTGCAACCTTCACTTTTGGAATTTAGATTGAATTAAAATCACGAAACAAGACAAAAATTATGTTAATATCCTAACTTTGATGTCACAACACCTGGACTGTGGCTTAGTTTGTTATAAGCAGAGACATATCCTAAGGTAGCCCAGACGCATGTGAGTCCAGTTCAATATATAAGGGTCAGTGATACATGTGCGCAAAATTGACCGTAATATATACAACTGGACGAGAGTTGACATGATCTTGAAAATACAAATAGTTATTCAAAGGCTCTTCGTGATCTATTTAGTATTTTCATTTGGGGCTCGTTAGATCAGTAAATATTATCCCGCGTCTTTCAGCTCGGCCAACGCCAAGAAATGGGAAACAGAATTACAAAATTTACGGAACAACAACGCTCGACTCACGACAGCCTTGCAGGAAAGCACGTCGAACGTTGAAGAGTGGAAAAAACAACTTCTCTTGTATAAAGACGAAAATTCACATCTCAGAACAAGGGTAGGGAAGAAATTGACCTTTCTTATGATGACGTCAAGCTGATGACGTCATTTTGTTGCCGCGGGAAGACTAAACCCTAAATAGTGAAGGGCTACAAATGTAGAAAGTTAATGTTGACTCTTTTCGTTAGGTTCAAGAACTTGAATTTCTTCAGAGGGAAAGTGGAAAGTCAGTTGGTAATGTTACCCAGTTAGAATCAGAAAAAATGTCCTTGCAACATAAAATAGGCATTTTGGAAAAGTCGCTGGAACAACAGTCACAGGTAGTGTTTCGGCGAATTGTCTTTCTTAGGTAGAAATCGTCACCTATACCGATCAGGCTTGGACATGCGCATAAACACCTTTCATATTGGGGCCACCGTTTTTTGCCATTGAGGGGGAGGGGGTACTGATGAATTTATCTACAATTAGTGTAGTAACATTGGGATTACAAGTTTAAATTTTCTTGGAAGGAAGAACTGCCCCTTAGCCTTCCCTTTTCCCCGTTAGCGATTGAAACAATAGGGACCTTAAGCATATAGGACGGGAATGCGACGACGACGGCTATCAATACAATGGGTCATTGAAAAGAAATGAATAATTAAAGACTCATGCTGGGTTTTAGACGTCGTCTTCGTTCTGTTTACAACGGAAAAACGTCGTTTTTTACGTCGTGCCTACTGCCTAGAACGGTTGCATTTCAAGACCCAGCGAGCCCTAACTCAAATAGGCTCTATAGAATTGTCCTTAAACATAAACACAATGTTTTCAACACCTTATATCTCACTAAATCGATACAATTAATAATATACAACAACCACTTCGCCATAGCATTTATTTAAAGAAGAATTTCAGCCGCGTCGTCGTCGTGTTGCCGTCCAATATGCTTAAGGTCCCTAATATTGCTCCATTACGGGAAACAGAACACCTGATTTGATAGGTAACAACAAAAAACAATAGGACTCAATTACACTATTGTTCATTACTACACTACCCCCCCCCCCCCGCTTCTCTTTGCACACCAAGTCCATATCATTTATGTCTTGTTTAATATAGGAAATTGCTGGGATGACTTTACAATTGAGTGAATTGCAGACCTTAAAATTAACCAACAATGAGTTAGCAGATCGAGTGCGGGTATGTCTTCATTCAATGTTTGGATTGCTTTCTTTTCCCAGCTTTTATCTCATTGAACCGACCTGGTTCCCTAAACATCAGATATTTAACTATTTGCATGTCGGAAAAAATTTTCCCATTTCGTCTAAATTCTCGAGTATTTCTCGTCTAGGAACTGAAAGCGGAAAACGAGCGGCTTAGAACGGCCTCGCAAGAATTTACAACAAAGCAACGGACGATGGCCGAACAGGAAGGAAAACTGGCCGAACTTCGAGAACTATTTACAAAACTGAACACTCGTTTCACTGAGATAAACAACATACGGGAATTGATGCAAAAGAACTTAGAGGTTTAGAATCGAAGTGTGTTATGTAACTTGCTTTGCCTTTGTTGAAATGAGGTTGAGCTGAAAGACATGGTGATCAAAAAGCACAATCATTTTTTCATTCGCGAATAAGGAGACGATTATATTTTCGCATGAAGTATTGACGCCATCTGTAGTGTTTGCGATATACTGGTCACAATCACTATTAATCCGTCCTTTTTTCATTGCTTTCAAATGCTTGTTTAAAATATCTCATGTCATCTTGCCATGATGTTTTTGCCTGAGTCACACTTGTTTGGAACATTTATGAACAGGAAACTTTATTCGCATCATTAACAATATGGAATGAATGTTTTCATCTACAATGAGATCTACTTTGGAATTTTCATCTACATTTTTCATCGGAATTAGAAAACTTCAAAAACGTGGGAACATTTTAGCTAAGTGAATATAGAATTTAAAAAACCCTCCAATACAATTACAAATTCATAAAAAATTAACCTCCAATTTACAAATTCCTATAACAACCTGCAGCTTCAATTGCAATTTGACATACTTTTTATTCACGTTAAACTTTCCAGTGCGATGAATTCTATTATGTTTTTACGGAAATAAATATTGCTGCAACTTGGCATCTCATTTGACCAGAAATGTATCAACTTTTAGTCCATCATCGTTTGGTTTAATTAATATGCTACACAAGATATATAATCTCAGTTGTATATACTTAATATAAGTACCTCAAAAACACTCAAATGCTTTGATTTTTACAATATTTTTCGGAACGTAAGATATATTAAAGTATTCTTGTTCCTCCCGCAGCGAGCGTGCCTGAAGCGAAACCTCACACTTTGGTCTGCGCGCTAAATATTATTCTGGCAAAGATTCGTGACGTTGCGAACGTAAAAGTTTAAAATCTTCTAAGTTGTTATAATTTATAGATGATTTTATTGCAGAAAAAACATTCCTTATAGGAAAAGCATGGGCAAAATGAAATAAAATACTTCCTCTAGCCACGCAGCTATTTCGCGCGTCACAACTGCTTTTTACTAGGGACCTTAAGCATCTAGGACGGGAACACGACGACGGCAGCTATCAATACAATGCTTCATTGAAAAGAAATGAATTATTAAATACCTATGTTAGTTTTAGACGTAATCTACGTTCTGTTTACAACGGCAAAACGTCGTTTATTACGTCCTATGTAGAACGTCTGCATCTCAGGACCGAGTGAGCACTACCTTGAATTAGGCTCTATGGAATTGTTCCTAAACGTAAACACAATGTTTTCAACGACTAATATCTCATTAAATTGGAACAGTTGATAATATAGAACAACGCTGTATCATAACATTAATTTAAAGAAGTATTCCAACCACGTCGTCGTCGTGTTGCCGTCCTACGTGCTTAAGGTCCCTACTATTCACTTGCAACGGGCAAAAGAAATATGCAAAACATATCCCCCTGAGACCACCAAAGAAGGTTGTTTATTTTAAATTTCAAATCTCGTCATTTCATGCGTAGAACGAATTTAAACAATATACAGGGTGAGTAAAAAAAACTGACGACACCTTTGAAATTCAAATTAGCTGCGAAATTATGGCTGGAATATGACAATTCCCATGTACAATCAACAAAAACGATTTGATAAAACTGTTCTTTTGTATTTACAGAGCTTAGAATGCATTTTAACTCCCAATGGGAACAAACTTTATGTTTTAGGTTAATTATGATATGCTTCGTATACCTATGAAATATTTTAAGCAACTTCTGTCACATTACAGCCGCTATGCGACTAATTTGAATTTCAAAGGTGTCCGTTTTTTTTTACTCACCCTGTATAGTTAATCATTGCGATGCCTTATTATCTATTGTTGTTAATGCGTTCGACATATGAGAAGGGCAACGTTTAAACAAGCCTTGCTGTTAGGTGTGTCGATGCATAAAGTGCATTGTCCGTTGGAATGTTCTTTGAGGTAATAAAAGGTCGTTCAATTCGCGAACAAACTCAAATTTGGTACTCTCGAAGAAGGAAGAATCACTCGAAGAAGTTTGGGGAAAAGTTGGAAGAATCTTGCTCAGGTACATGGTCATGATTGGTTTAAGGAATCTGTTAGTTTGATCTTTGCATGGTTTTGCAATTTGCGTCGTCGTGTTGATTTGAATAGCCAGAAGACAGGAGGCATATTCTTTTTGATTTTCACTGCTATATCTTGTATATTTCGATTCAAAATGTGAAATACAAGTGAGATGTTAACTTGATTTTGTTTTTCCTTCCTTATTTTATTTCAGAACGAACTACGGCACAGAAAGACGGGAATGGCGAAACACAAACGCTTGGTTGCAGCGAATAATAGGTATTGTTCTGTTAATATATGTGTATTTTGCATTTGTAACTTGAAACAACACATTTCCACGTCGTGGGCGAAACTAAAATATAGTTTAATAATCTGGTTTTATCTGTTTATCTTCAATTCTTTATACATAAGTGACATTTCGCTTTGGAAGTTATTGATATCATATCGTCGTATCTACGTTAAGGGATCAGATGATGAAGAATCGTCGCAGGATCAGATGATGAACGATCGTTGCAGGATCAGATGATGAAGCATCGTCGCAGTATGAAGGATCGTCGCATGCAGTATCAGATGATTAACGATCGTCGCAGGATCAGATGATGAATGATCGACGCAGGATCAAATGATGAAGGATCGTCGCAGGATCAGATGATGGACGACGAGACGTGTGTACAAGCAGAAGCTGGTTGAGGTACATACTATAGGTATACTGATTAGAGTATTGCATGATTTAACGTGAGTGCATGTTTTATTCTTGGATTGATTCCTCTTGGTGGTCTAACCTAGTATATTCACACAGCAAGTGACGTGTAACTGTTCTCGACAATGCCATGATAATAGAAAATTTCTCACAGCTCTGATGAGGGCGTTTTCGAGGTTTCTCGATTAAACATTCTTAATTTTGTCACTTGCGTGTGAATGACTTAACAGCTGCAAAAGATGCATGATGGCTTTAACGCGCTGAAATGAAAGTAGCAAAATGCAATTAGCATGATCGACGCGACGCGCACGCAGCGAGAAAATATTATCAAATTCGTATTGGCCTAATTTTAGATTAATACGAAGGTAATCGCGAGTACTTATATGATTATATAAGTTTCTCTGTTCAGCCTATTATAATGCGACCGCTTCGAAGGACCGTCCGTCAATGGCATCAAAAATTATACTTTTAATGTTTCAACATTTAAATTCGAATTATTGAACTTTCAAACGAAGAAAAAAATACTATGTCGGTGATGTTTAGACATTAGCACTCTCTTCTTTCCCCTTGTTGGTATATTAATTTTTCGTATTGAGATTTTCGGGCATGAAGGAAATAAACGTAATCTAGTCATTTTAACTAACCTAACGAAGTTTCTGTATAGAAAGGAAAATATACCTCCTATATTAAATGATATGTTACATTGCATGATAACTACACTTACATAATGGGGGTTATCTGGGGATATAGTGTTTGACTATAGGTTAATATTATAATAAGTACCCTCTTGCCTTGAAAAGTGACCCTTTAAAGAAAGGCCTCTGCATTTTGACACACTTACTATGTTGTTTAATTCCTTTCACGCCCCGCCGTCGAGATGTTGTTAAAGAAGAATGCAACTGTTTGGAATGGAGCAAAGAAGCATATGGAATTTCGGTACACTGTTTACCAGAAGTAATAATTCTACGTTGCAAAAGGTGAGGAACATTATTCATTAGCCATCTTGAGTAAGTTGCATGTTGAGCCCGATAACGTAATCCAGAACGTATTACAAAAAATAAACGGTGCATGAGGTGCATGTCTTAAGAAGGGATAGTAGAAGAGTGCTGTTGTCTGCATCGGTTTCGGATGAAAAAGCATGCAAGTCGTGAATATGAAACATTTCTTTCCAAAATGCCAAATTTCCAAAAAAAGCATGTTCATAAATTAGTAATTTAATAACTGAAATAATTTTTGTTGCCACTGTCGGACAAAGCGCGGTTTAATTAGAATTTTTAACAGCCTGCTGTTTTGCAACGGACTATATTCGCGCTGCGCACGTTAGACCACCACCAGGATTCAATTGTCGAATCTCAAGAATTGCATAGCTATATGAAATTCCTGGGACTTAGTTCGGATGAGCAGAACTAAAACGGTAAACTATAAATAAAACCTGGCCTGTAATTTTGTACGATTTCTAAATGAAAACACCAAATTCGGACCGCCGGTCAGGTAACCTGAAATTCAGGTTACCTTTGGAGGGTTTTTCTCCGGGCACTCCGGTTTCCCTCCTTTTCGTTTGGCTTTAAAAAACAGTGTCCATGCCTGGGGCCAAACGTGTTCGCTGACATTCAAAAATCCTATTTATACGTGAACTGTTAAAAACGCGTGTGTTTGGCCTTCTGGGTTGGATTCCCAGAACACTGGCTTAAAAGAAATAAACATGGAGACTGGTGGGGAGACTGAGATATTTCTTCGGGAATTGAATTAAAATTAAATTTCAAAACAAGCTTATCGCGTTTTCAATGGTATCACAAAGAGGTTGCTCGAAACGGCGAAATTTTATATTTTTGGGAGTTGTATATTTCATCATTGCATCTTGTTAAATGAAGTAACTAAAGGAATAACCGCGCACCGAATATGAGTGGGGACTCGGTAACCATTTTTGCCGCCAAAACGTTGCCATTTTGATTTCTTAAACCGACGCTTCAAAGAGCCTTGAATATAGTTGCAGGTTCTTGCCGTTTATCCACGATGTTGTTGACGTTTAACTCTTTCTAAAAAACTGAACATAGTTCTCGCTTGCAAAGGGAAGGAGGAAGATCTGTTTAAACAATTGTATAAGCCATTGGGCGGCCGAAATTGACTAAGAGAAGAAAGCGAAAGTCTGGCACAGAGTCAGAGACTTAGAATAACAGGTATGCAATATGGGTCTATGCATTAATACTTTTATGATGATGACAATGTTTATGGCTCAATATCAGTAGCGTAGCCAGCCTGTCGATTTGTCCCGCTATGCTAATATTTTAGTGTTCACTGACTGTGAAAACAATAGATTTCTAAAGACGTGAATAATTATAATAACTCAAAATTTACATAGCGGGACAAAATCGTCAGGCTGGCTACGCCACTGCTCAATATTACAGTAATTTAGAGTATACTTCGTAAGCAAATAATCTACTTTCTTCCAAATAGAAAAATATTGGTTTTGTCTATGGCTCTGAATCCTGGAAAATATGTTTTGACAATGGTCTCGTAACTGGTAAGTAGTAGCTCAAATCCAGGGCGAAATTTTAATTAAGGTTATAAGCCTAAAGAAAGGATTAACCTTAAAAAACAATTGTAGTCTGCAAGCTGAGGAGCTTAGGAACTGGTCTAGTGATGAAAAAATGTTTCCCAGGATTCAATGGTTTGAATCCTGGGAAAAATGTTTCTCATTATGACTTTAAATAAAAGACTCAGATATACAAAAACAGTCTGCCAGCTCAAGAGCTGATGGCCATGTAGTAAAGATATCTGAACTTAGTGGTGAAGGCAGTTTGAATGCATAATTATAGTGATCATGAAATTCATCATATCTATAATAAATCATATATTTGAACTGCCTTCATAGATTAATGTACTGAGCTTGCACAAAATCAATATTGGTATGATGAAATTTCAAATAAATTGACAATATATTCTGCTTTTACTCTTGTGCTTCAAATCTTTGTTTTGTATATTATATTGTGTACCGGTATATAATGGTTGCTGTAATTTGCAAAACCTGTAGTGAATACCTAACCATCTCACTAGCATTATATTTGATGTTTGTGTTATGCTGTACATGTGTTTAGTAGACTTATTAAGTTGATGTGGCAAAGCATAATAAATAAATAAATAAATGAATTAAAAAATATTTGGAGCTCAATATGTGTCTATAGATTTATATAACTTTATGTACACTATGTCTAAGACACAGATGAAATTACTGTATGGTAGCAGATAGCCGTGATCACCACTTGAATGATGCATATTATATGATGAAGATGTATTATATGTATCACATCAAGAAATCTTAGCTGTAAGTAAATTCCTTTGTGTATTTTAAAATATTTATTTTAAAGTATATTTAACAATTGGTGCCTTGTCTTTTTTTTGAAAAAAATCTTGTTTTTGAAAAATATCAAAGCTTTTCGTGCTATATTACTGGCCAGGTTATACTGAGTAACAAAATTGTGGGAATCTTCAATCACCATAGTTAAGAAGACTGAACCCACCCCATAGTGGAAAATGGAGACTACAGATACAGAAATGGAAATTAGAAACCCTTTTTTATTTAATCCACTAGTTACATTACATTACATAACTCACCTTAGTCTATTTACAGTAAAATTGCAATAATATGTATCTATCATATATGTATTTACAAAAAGAAGAAAAGAAGAATAAGTTTATTAAAACATCATACCGTATCTTACAAAATATGGATTGCTTTTAATTAGCTTTAAATATTCTTGTCTTGGAGGTGAACTAGAACTATTAATATTGCTGCAATAGTAAAAGTTTGGAAACAAAAAACAACATGATTTCCTATCTGACAGAAATCGTCAATCAGGATGCATAAATATTGACTAGCTAAAGTAAAAACGTACATTATTTAATAAAAGACCGCTATCTTCCCCCTTTTGCTAAAACAGCTATCCTCCTTTCTTCCCCCTTTTTTCTATTTGTTGACTTGAAAATATTTCTGAAACAAATGCTCCAGTGTTCAGCTATATTTCCCATGCACACCCCATATCATCTGAAGTACGTGGGTATCACTGGACGCATAGATCAAAGAATTGTTTGTCTAACCAGGCTTCCTTGGGTACTGGTAATCCCAGTTGCTTCCTCCTTGAGATTTCAGTTTTGGTTATGATCATGTGATTGCTGCTTTGTGACCCCGTATCTGAGTCATGGTATATCACTGCAACTTTGGAGGACGGAGGCGAGCCATCTCCGCTGTGCGGAGTACCGACATTTGGAAGGCAGACACAAAGATACCGTGCAATAATTTTTCGCCATTTTTCATTGCGATACAGGTAGATTATCGGCTTCAGCGTGCAATGACACCACATGATCCATTTTGTTGCCGTTTCGAACGAATGCGATATGCTTGTCACTTGAATACCTTCGATGAACAGCGTGAAACAGGATGGGAACACAAACAGCATCGTAGTTCCGATCATCAAGAGGGACGTAAATGCCGACCGGCAATACTGCTCCAGTGCGAACTTTGCCACGTTGGACATCATCGTCGGGTTTATGCGAGTCCTGTAGTTCCGATACACCACCAATATGCGATAAAACGAGTATAGAATTATGCCTGTCGGAACCACAGCGCCGATCGACAACGTCAAAAGGAGACAGAATATTTCGAAAACGCCAAACGGGTGATGGTAACGTAGGTAGCAAATGTAAAAACCGGGCGTGTAAACTGTTTCAATCTTTTCGCTGGCCATGTCCATCCACGGAAGGGATATTGCTGAAGCTATGAACCATAGCAAAGCGATGCCGTTCCTGGCCTGCTCGTAGGATAGAACCCGATGGGTCTTGTGAACTATCACCAGAAATCGATCGTAGGCCAAAAATGAGAGGTTATATAAGGTTGCAATCGTGAACAGCAGGTTGAAGAAGCTGTTCAGTCGACACAAGGGATGTCCAACAGTCCACCTGTCCGTGAAAATGGCCGGGACGGCAAACGGAATGACTAAACAGGTCGTGCCGAGATCTGCTATTGCCTGACTCAATATTACGATGTTTGTGCCCGTTTTTCGATATCCTCTTCTTGACGCGGAAAGAGCGAGCAAAACGTTCCCAATAAGTGACACAAGGAAAATCACAATCAACGGAATCAATTTGAATGTAATTGCTATATTCGATGGAGACTGGTCTTCTGATGGTGACTTCATTTTACCAAATCATATATAACACGTTACACTTTTGTTATCTTTATTGAAATGTCCGAAACACGATTAAATGCGATTTATGAAAGAGCTTCAAGAGGTATATTCATGACATTAACTGACCTTCTCTGATATTGTGGCAAACCTGCCAGTGTGCTCTTCGAAAGACTCCAATCAGTCAAGAAATTAAACATTTTACATTTTTGCATAATTTTATTTTTCCAGCTGTTTCCGTAGTCTTTGACGCACACACCAATCAAACTCGCCTGCACTTTTATGGCTTTCACCGATGCCAATGGGCCGCTATTTTCACACAAGGTTGACAAATTGCTGTCAATGACATAAGAGTGGAGTAAGGGGGCTGATATTGCTTTTGTAAATCTAATTAAAAGAATACAGTGGTTTTTTTTCACTTGTACGTTTTGGTATAGGTCGTCATAGTTCTTTTAAACTTACCAATGTTCTACTAAGTTGTACATATATATTTTTATATTATTGAAAAACACTCTCCCTTTAGTAGCAGTACGTACTCCGCAAATTGTTTCTATTCTCAAGGACAAGGGCCCTCTTCAGAACATGTTATTAAGTCTAAAATCAAAAATTCGGAATTTTTATTATACAGCTGTAGTATTTTCTGTTTAAAGAGAGAGTAGCTATAACGCGAACTTATACATGCGCTAAAAAAATCATGCGCTTAGATCAATTTTAATTTTTAACCGAGGCGTTAAATAAGTTATAAAAGATACAGCTTTTTTTAATTATATCGTAAATCGTAATGTTAAGAGCTTCCTCAAATTTTTAATCAAATGTAACATTTCGTGGGCTTGTGTACGGTCATTTGCATGAAAATCGCGTTGATACATATGTGAGACCGACAGCTTGTTACTGGCAAATGCACTGAACCAGGTGTAAATGATGTTTAATATTGAAAACAAAAGGCTTTTCACAACAGGATTCTACTATATTATGACAAAATATTTGTTGACATTTATAAGGAACATTTAATATATAAAAACATGTTTTTCGATTTTGGATTGTATTATGACAGTATTGTATTATGATTTTTTGTTATGTAAACTTCGGACGAATAATCATACATATTATTGGAGATTCATGAATTGATATCCTCGGGAGAAGTTGGCAAAAAGCCATTATAAGTTTGATCATGTTATAATATCTTGATAATTACTGAAGGATAGCACATTTTGATATGTCCGAGGCCCATAATTCTTAAAATTTCCTTCAAGAATTGAATTTATTTGCTTCAAAAAACTAAATTCGCGTCGCGTTGGCGAATAGCGTCCGGCGTGTGTGGGGGGCTTCGGTGTTCCCTTTGATTGCTTCGCCTATTACATATAATTCAGAGAAACTATTATTAGTAAATATATCGGATTTTATTGATACTGGAAAATAATTATATCACGAAATTAATATACCTCATGCATGACGATAAAAACTTTCAGTGCATGCATGCAATATGTCTAAATCCTTTGAAAAATTAGTAATATTTAATGTTGATAACAGAAGTCATAATATAACAATTTTAGTACGCGCGTGCCGATTGGTCGAGAAGCGTGTTTCAAACGGGATTTTCCCGCCAAACTTGACTAGCGAAGCTATGTAATGAGAATTTGTAATTGAATCGAATTATAATACTTGTACAATCTTTTATTGAGTTATATTATGAAAGAAATAGAAAACATTTTTTCCTGTGTCTCTATACAGTTATAGAAACACTTGTTGGCGTTTGTGAGAACTCGAAATAACGTGGGAGAACCCGAAGTAGCGTGGAAAAACTCGCCCTACGGGCTCGTTTTCCTACTGACTATTTCTCGTTCTTACAAACAGATTTTGGTAATTTTGAGCAAAAGTAAAGAAATATATATTTAACCTTTTTAGAAATGTTATCTAAACTCCTGGAACAGCACGCACACATGTCACTCGTGACAATAGACCTTTTGCATTATAAACTATTTTTGATCTATGCAATCACTGAAATTAGTAGAAATGCAAAGTTTGGTTGCGAAATGTTGTAAAATACGGAAAATATAGCCTTTCCTTTGTGTTTTGGTTTTTTCCTTTGTGTTTAGCTGCAAACTGATACCCCCAAAATCACTAGTTAGTGACATGAAATTGTAAAGGCAAGGTCGCAAAGCAATAGACCATTCTTATAATGACGCCAATGCGGAAAGTCTGGTACCAAACGAAGTTTGATTGGCTCGTTGGCTATATGGCGAAACCAAACTTTGTGTAACATCACACTTTCCACGTTTAACGTTATTATAAGAATGTTATCATTACCGCTTTTGGAGACAAGTTTTTTGGAGATTCTGGCTTCTCATTGCCTAATATTTTTTTGGGCTTGGCTCAGTTGGTAGAAAATCAAAGTGCGTCAATATTTAAAGTTGTATAAACTTTATTTGGCCTCAACAATTGTGGTGCTCTCTAATTGTACAACAGTTAAAGTGTTCTAGGCTGTTCCATTGAAGTCTAAATATGACGCACACTAAAGGGGAAAAAATGAGATATAATAGACCTTTTCAGCTTGCTTCCATGCAAATTAATGTTGTGACGACCATGGGTAGCCAATAAAACTTAACCATTTCAGACCATGTGACTTAAAATGGTTAATTTGGATTCAAACTGAAAAGGTCTATTACGTCACGGCGTAGTCAATGCACGATTTTATTCACTGCATTGGTATCCTCCAAACCACCAGTTTGTGGTCGAGGCGTTAGTTGCCGTGCAACGGAAATCCTGGTTGACGTTGTCATATAGGCCAAAATTGTCTTCGCCTGAGATAATACCAACAGTTGGCCGGAAATCGCAATCTCCTTCTGTATTGTCTGTGTGTAAATTTTGCGAGCCGCTCTTGGCCCACCATTTTGCTGTGCACTGGGAACATTCATTACCTAAGGGTAATGAAGATTGATAAGATATATTTAAAGCAAAAAGTCACAGAGCCTCTGGCTGCGCGAGGTCCGGATGCAAAAAGTTCTCGAAATCGGATATTATATTAGCTTGCTCTTTATTTTTTTACATGCGATTTTTTTGGGTCTAACAAATGACAGCTTACCTCGTATGTTGATATATTCCATCTGTTTACAGAGACCACTTTCAATGAACGTCATGATATCAAAATCTTTGAAATTTCCTCTCACTTGATCACGACCGTCAACTCCATTGACAGGAAAACTACATGTCGCTCTCCAGTGGGTTGACTTCGCCTTCAAACTGATCATTTGGGGCTGGCTCATTCTGTACCGGTCAAAATTTGGTGATTTCTCGTTTACTGGGGCATTTGTCTTCAACGGATGTTTTCTAAACGGATCTTCGTCTTTGTTTGACATGTTGAATGATTCTACTAGTGTCCAGGCTGCAGCAACTTCGGGTACCATGTCGCAATACACGCTGTCCAAGCTGTTGTCTTCTTCGTTATAGATTTTGTAGTAGCCGTCACTTGTTAAGCCTCGCTTCAAATGATCCAAGCAACTTTTGGGTGACAAATAGTTACATAGATTCTGAAGTGAAAGTATATACTATGGCGTTTTAGAAATATAACTAGTTTGTTCTTATGCAATTAATTTAAAGTGTTTCAAAACACCTAACTTTCCAATTAGCTACATTTTTCACCACATTTTTTTGTACAAGGCAACTTACAGAATGTCTCTTTAATTATATGGTAATTCTCGTTCTCATGTTGTTAATGATTAACCTTACAATCATATTTCACCCTTGTAAAGATACATTGTGTTTGCATTTAGTTTTTTTTTCTAAAACACGTGGATTGTACACAAATCGTGTTTTCAACACTGCTGTATTTGAAGGGCAGCCAGCTCTTCATTTGCAAAGTTGAACGAAGAAAAAGCATGTTAGGCCCACTTAAAGCTGTGGTCAACTCGACTTCTCTTGAAAAGCAGAAACTAGCTTCATATGATTATATAAAGAATCGATCAACATGGTACCTAATGACAAATTCTGCAGTCTAAGCTGAATTTAAATAAAACGAATTTAGCTACATGATATTTGTGATTATTTACTGGCTGGATACGATAATATATATAGAAGTGCATATAATATAGAACAGCATATGGGTATATGCATAACGTACCCCAGAACACTGGTCAAGCGCGAAAATTTCTGTTGCCATCTGTAAGACGAGAAGGCCAAACACGAACTGGCATAGGACAGACATCTTCTTTTGCAGCAGAACAAATCTTCTTCGCTTCTAATGTGTTCTTCGATGTTCCTCTGAGGACAACTTGGGCACTTATGCAAAATCGCAAAAGATCATCTCTTTTTATACGCTTTGCTGGTTATTCTGTTCTCATATCGTGCCGAAAAATTTGTGAATTTGGCGATGGTAGTTCCCGTTTTTGAGTGGGTACCTCTTATCTAAATTTATGCAAATGATGATATCAACCGCAATGACAGCTGGCGATATTAGACCTGTTGACTTCCAAGCATATGTGTTTACGCGTACAGTAAGAAACTAATATCACCTGGTTTTGCGCATAGAATATATTGTCCTATACATGCGGCTTATTCAGTTAAGGTTTTCTCTAAAGACCATAGCTTGAAATTTCCACACCTCAACGCGCGAACATTAAAGCACAAATGATGCGCAAGCAAATATACAAGGGACATGCAATCGCATGAGATATATTCAATTAAGATTTTCTCTAAAGACCATAACTGGAAGTTTCCACACCTCAGCGCGCGAACATTAAAGCGCGAATGATGCGCAAGCAAATATGTAAGGGACCTTTAATCGCATGAGATTATTGCAGAGTGTTGGGGTTGTATGTTTGTGTGATACATTATCCTTGCTATATGTTTTTAAATAAAAAAGGCATCGGTATCTCTCGGTCTTTACGTGTATCGTACAAGCAGGCCTTGTTTTTTCACAGTGACAAAGAGAAACTCTTTTCTCTCCATGAGGACACCTTTTTCAGAGAGTTATTGCCGGACGTTCTTATATAACAATGACAGTCTTATAATAAATTCAAGATTCGCACTCTTCGCTTAATTCCTATACTAGCTTGTTTACGCACGGTCTTGTAATAAATTCAAATTATACTTTTGCAATTACTTAGAAAAATGACTTCGAGAACCAATTTTCATTTTTCAAATAACTATATTACATCGTTTCCTGTTATGAAGCAACATAGCCATCTTTGAAGCGCGAAGTAAATCGAATGCCTAAATAGACAAAACACTTCTCGACGTTTCGACCTGAGGGCCTTCGTCAGGAGAGTTAGTATGAAAATAAATAGGGAAGAATACATGTTTTGTATGAGGGCAAAACACGTGATAAGAATTGGCCAATAGAAAACAAAAAATCAAAACAAATTGGAATACATTACATTTAATCTGAACTAAATGGCCTGAAGATCGATACAATCGTGAAACTTTGAGTGGCAATAAATAAATAAATTCATTTTAATTTTATCTATTTTATTCGCTCTACTAACTACTTATATACTATTGAGCACGCTTTTGACTTTGGAGCGTTTGATTGGTTGATGAGAATGTGTAATGACCTTAATGGTGGTTGCCACGAATCTTTAAGTGTCTTTTTTAATGACGTTAATAGAATTAAGGATTTTTTCAATATGATGTTGTGCACTGAAAGGTTTCTCAGAAAGTGATGGAATTATAGTGGGAAGTGGGTGTTTTATATGAAAGTATAATAAAGCTTTTGAACTTAAATCCGTTGACTTCATCAATCTCTAGTACCTAATCATATATTACCGCACATGAAATTTACGTCGAAATGTAAATAACATGTACTTGTTAAAAATCTAAATTCAATTGAATATTGCTTGATCGTCTACTACAACTATGGCTTTGACCACCATTACCAACTGGCCGAATTTCACCTTTTTTTGGAATATACATTGAAAAAAAATCATTAACAAAAAATGTGATGCTAAAATGATTTAATTCTAATTTAGAGCATCAATATACTTCGTTGTTAATACTTCAATCTATAATCAGAAAATGGGGGGAGATTTATTACTATAATTGCAAAGACTTCAACTTTTAGACAAGGGGGAAACATGCATCAGCGCACAAGGCTGCAACACGGCGCAAATTTTCTTCCAACTTTTCCCCGAATGCTTTGAGAAACAAATTTAAGATTGCGAGGACATCTCAAAAACGATCGTGCTTTAAGCTATATACAGATTGGCGGCAATTTCACAGCCAAAGACCATTAGGATTTAATTAATTGTTGAAAGAACAGTGCCACCAGCTACCAAACTGTCACGCGATGGATCGCCTAGCTTGGCTTGTATTTCAATCGAGCCATTTAGGACAAATCAATATAACAACAAAATGAGAAATCGAATTCCTTGTACTGATTCTAAGAAAAGTTATTTAAAATAAGTTGGAATGGTCTAATGTGTAAAAAGTTGGAAAGTGGAAAGAAGATGATGAAAGATAATGACGTTAACAATCTAAATGGTATTTTTTAAAGCAAAGAAGAGCAATTACTTGGCCCTTCAAAGAAAGCAATTATAATAATGTATTAATGTTACTTAATTCATTACAGAAAAAGATGAAATATTTGTAAAATGAAAATTGCCTCTCGAAGTCACTTTTCAAAATAATTGCAAAAGTATGATTTGAAAATTTTTATAAGACCGTGCGTGCACAAGCCAATATATACATAAGAATTGAGTGAGAATTTGAAGCGGCTGAAAAATTTAATGATATTTAAAGGCTGATACCTAGTTGTTGGAACAACTACTAACAGAGTCAGTTGCCGTAATGTAATGCCCTTGTGCTTTTCACGTCGTGTCTTTAACAATAATGTATGCACAATCTATTTTATGCTATAAACAAAATTTTGAATTTCACACACATGACCGTCAAAAATTCATGATTTTTTGCATCGAACACAAGCTATAGAAAGTAGAAATTGTAGCCGACAGTTGGTAAAACAGGTCGCTATGCTATTTTGGAAACTTTTATTTGGCGTCAAAAAATGAGGTGTTCTGTACTTTGATAATAGTTAAAGTTTTCTAGGCTGTTCCATGACAATCTATTATCGTGCACAGTAAAGGGAGAAAACGGGATTTAATTGTGTCATGGCCAAGTCAATGCAAAAAAATTCTACTTCGTTGGTCATCGACAGTATTAAAAGTTGGAAATTTTATTTCGCATCAACAAATGTCTGCATCTACAAATCTGTAATTCGATAACAGTTAAAGTTTTCTAGGCTGTTCCATTACAATCTATTATCATTCACAAGAAAGAGGAAAAATGAAATATAATTGTGTCACGGCCAAGTCATAGGCACGATCTTATTCACTGCATTGGTATCCTCCAAACCACCAGTTTGTGGTCGAGGAAGCAGTGGCCATGCAACGGAAATATGGGTTGATTGTGTTATAAACGCCAAAGTTATCTTCGCTTGGTACAGAACCAGCAGTTGGTACGAACTCGCAACCACCATGTGAACTGTCGATGGCTAAATTGTACGTGTTGCGGACAGCCCACCATCTTGCAGTACACTGGGAACATTCATGACCTAATCGTAGTAAAGATGGATGAGATATTTAAAAAAAAGAACAGCAAAACTGGATGATATATTAGTGTGCTCTTAATCTTTTTCACATACGGTTTGTTCTAGTCTAAAAAATGACAGCTTACCTCGTATGTTGACATATTCCATCTGTTTACAGAGACCACTTCCAATGTACGTCATGATATCAAAATCTTTGAAATTTCCTCTCGCCTGATCACGACCGTCAACTCCATTGACAGGAAAGCTACATGTCGCTCTCCAGTGGGTTGACTTCGCTTTCAAACTGATCATTTGGGGCTGGCTCATTCTGTACCGGATAAAATTTGCTGATTTCTCGTTTACCGGGGCATTTGTCTTCAACGGATGTTTTTTAAACGAATCTTCGTCTTTGTTTGCCCTGCTGAATGATTCTACTAGTGTCCAGGCTGCAGCGACCTCGGGTACCATGTCGCAATACACGCTGTCCAAGCTGTTGTCTTCTTCGTTATAGATTTTGTAGTAGCCGTCACTTGTCGAGCCTCGCTTCAAATGATCCAAGCAACTTTTGGGTGACAAATGATTACATAGGTTCTGAAGTGAAATATATACTAGGTTTTTAGATACGCGACTTCGAGTATAGCCACTAATACGAGCAAGATTTGCTGTTTCTTTATTTGCGCTTGCATCTATATTACTCGTAACTGCTCAATGCCTTAAAGATTCGCGCAATAACTAACTTCTAACCGCCCAAAACGTAGCGTTAAAACCAGTACTTTTAGACGTATTAAACCCTTCGCCCCAACAGCCTCCCTTCAAAAGATTTAACGGGCTCCGATTCAGCCGTACTTCAACTATTATTCTGGGGTTTCTGAGATAAAAATTTAAGGGATAAACTCCAAAAATTTCTTTATATAAATGTTTAAATAAAGTTTTATATATACATACATACACACATGCACACATACATACCACTGTTAGTGTAAGTTTAATTCATACTATACTATATTGCAAAAACATCGGCCGGAGATAGATAGATAGATACTCAAAATCTAATTAGAAGTGCATAGGTTGTGTAATATGATCATTGACGCGATTTATGCGGGGGAAGTCTTGCTAAGAACTCTTGAATCGCTTACTAATTGATCGAAACAAAATGTAATCCCATGCAATACAAATAAGATGTCGAGTGGACGAGTATCTATCTATCTGCGGCCAATATATACATACATACATATATATATATATATATATATATATATATATATATATATATATACATACATATATATATATATATATATATATATATATATATATATATATATATATTCGCAACTTAAGAAAGCCATAAAGTATGCTTGAAATGATCAATTTTGCTTTTGATTGCGCGGCAAACAAGCAAAACTCGATAAAAGGTTCTTTATATTGGTTAGAATAAACCAGGTCACAAAGTTAGACTGTAGAACTGATTACGACATACCCCGGAACACTGTTCAAGCGCAAATATTTCTGTTGACATCTGCATGACGACTAGACCAAACACGAACTGGTATAAGACTGACATCTTTGTGTTGTTGCAGGACTAACCCACTTCGTTTTTAATATTTTGCTTCGATGTGCCTTCGAGATAACTTGGTGGCCTTCTCGGAAAGGTGAAAAATCAGTCTTCTGGAATCTAGTAATAAGCTTGATCGTGCACAGTTATATGTCGCGCACGTACAGATTTAAGTGGCTGTTTGTGATTGTTTGGATTCCCAAATGCGGAGTTTGATTGGCTCGTTGGTTTTGCAAGACCCTTCATACTTTATGTAACATCAGAATTTCCGCGTTTGACGTCATCATGAGAAAGGTCCATTATCTCGGACCAGTTTCTGGGGTTTCTAGGAGTTTCTGGAGCATCTCACTGGCTCATCTGGTAAAAGTTAAACCGTGCATACGTCATTATTTAAAATTGAAAACTTTATTTGGCATTAACAAGAAAAGGTGATCTCTAGTTCTCAGTTTAAGTGTTCTGGGTTGTTCTATTAGAATCTATTATCACGTACAGAAAAAAGAAAAAAAAATTATTTGGCATCAACAAATGTCTGCATCTACAAATCTGTAATTCGATAGCAGTTAAAGTTTTCTAGGCTGTTCCATTACAATCTATTATCATTCACAAGAAAGGAAAAATGAAATATAATTGTGTCACGGCCAAGTCATCGACACGATCTTATTCACTGCATTGGTATCCTCCAAACCACCAGTTTGTTGTCGAGGAAGCAGTTGCTAGACAACGGAAATTAGGGTTGACGACAACAGGATAGCCAAAATTGTCTTCGCTTGGGACAGAACCAGCAGTTGGTACGAACTCGCAACCACCGATTGAACTGTCGATGGTTAAACTGTACGTGTTGAGGACAGCCCACCATTTTGCAGTACACTGGGAACATTCATGACCTAATGGTAGTAAAGATGGATGAGATATTTAAAAAAAAAACCCAGCAAAATCGGATGCCATATTAGTGTGCTCTTTATCTTTTTTACATACGATTTGTTTTGGTCTAAAAAATGACAGCTTGCCTCTTATGTTGACATATTCCATCTGCTTACAGAGACCACTTCCTAGGTACGTCATAATATCAAAATCTTTGAAATTTCCTCTCGCCTGATCACGACCGTCAACTCCATTGACAAGAAAGCTACATGTCGCTCTCCAGTGGGTTGACTTCGCCTTCAAACTGATCATTTGGGGCTTGCTCATTCTGTACCGCTCAAAATTTGCTGAATTCTCGTTTACCGGGGCATTTGTCTTCAACGGATGTTTTTTAAACGGATCTTCGTCTTTGTTCGCCTTGCTGAATGATTCTACTAGTGTCCAGGCTGCAGCGACTTCGGGTACCATGTCGCAATACACGCTGTCAAATCTGTTGTCTTCTTCGTTATAGATTTTGTAGTAGCCATCACTTGTGGAGCCTCGCTTCAAGTGATCCAAGCAACTTTTGGGTGACAAATGGTTACATAGGTTCTGAAGTGAAATATACATACTAGCTTTTTAGATACGCGACTTCTAGTATAGCCACTAATACGCGAACAAGATTTGCTGTTTACAGACCCGATCAATCTACCAATCTCTCTTTTTTAATGTTAATTATCGTGTCCCTGTTGTTACATTTCATGATTAACATTACACTCGTATATCAAAAAGTGGTACATCATTTTTGAGTTTCATTTTGTGTAGACTGAGTCTTACAATGGTTTGTAATGGATGCTATTCGGGTTAATTTTCCAAGACACAGGGATTGCGCACAAATCGTGTTTTTAGTACAAAGTTTCGAAAGTACTTATAGTAACTTTTTGTACATGGTCAGTAATTTAAAGTTTTTAAATCAGTTTAACTTGCTTTATTTATCAATGGACTATCCCTTTTTCTAAGTTCACCAAAATATTGAGGAATTTTGACCGTTACTGTAAATTTTGAAGCATTGCTTTTCCGTGGTTTGGGTTTTGTTGAAGAGGGATTTGCCCAGATTTTACCCCGGAACACCCGATTTTTTTTATATGTCGCAACTGCGCATGTGCCGTCGAGCCTTAAACATTATTCACGATGTAAAGAAACGAGGAGCGACGACCATTGCTTCAAAACATTCCGGGCGTAAAAATCGAGCAATTCTTTGAGTTCGCAATTTGCAATTTACCAATTTATGTTATGGATTACGAGCATTCAATTCAACACAAATATAGGTTTATTCCATAAATAGAGCTAAGAGAGTAGTTAAGAGAGTAGTTACGTACATAACTCATTAAGAGATTAGTAAGAAACGACGCTGTGTTGTTTATGTATTGATAGATCTCTAGTTACACGAATGTATATAATATTTTATGTCGATAGCAAGTCGATGCCTGATATTCTGCATACAGTACATCAATGATACTATACAAAACGCACATTTTGTACAGTGATCAAATCATTTATATATACGGTATTGATTATAAGTATATTGTTTTGTATCGATTTACGCTTCGAAGTATCCACATCATATAGACATAATATGCACCGCGGTTTATTTACATTATTTATACAACGCAACTATTTTGGCTATTCTTATGAAATGACGGATAAATTGTTGCCATCGTATAAATGTAGTGAATGTAGTCACAGTTGTTTGACGAAGAAAAGAAACTAAACTGAGAAAATCGCGCCCTGTGTACATGGGCAACTAAAATTATAATTTAATAGTGACAATATCCGCGACTAAGTAACTTGAGTACTTTGAGTGATTTCCTGTTGATTAATGTTTAACCTAGTTCATTATATTTTTACTGGCGTAAGTCAAATTTTTTATTTTGGGACAAACGTCTGGTTGCTTAGGTATTACAGGGCATGGAAACTTTGCACTATCCTTGGATCCCTAGTTTTATAGCGTTGACAGATTTGAAGGGCAGCCAGCCGATACTATGATGGATCTAGTGTAGTAGGCAGTTGCAAAATGAACGAAGAAATAGCTTGTTGTGCCACTTTAAAGTTAGCAAACTGAGTGCCTTCTCTTCAAAAGCAGAAACTGACTTTATAGAATCGACCAAGATGGTCCTGACGACAAATACAGCAGTCTAAGCTTCAGTTAAATAAAAGTAATTTATATATGTCATGTGTGGTTATTTCCTGACTGGGTGCGGTAATATAGAATTAACTCTGATCGCGACATACCCCAGAGCACTGGTCAAACGCGAAAATTTCTGTTGCCATATGTAAGACGAGAAGATCAAACACGAATTGGCGCAGGACAGACATCTTTCTTTTGCTGCAGAACAAATCTTCTTCGTTTTCAATGTTTACTTCGATGTACCTCTTGAGACAACTTCGATACTTGTGCAAAATCACTCGAGATCACCTCTTTCTTGTATGCTTTGCTGGTTATTCTGTTCGCATATTGTGCTGACAATTTCAATGAGATTGGTCATGGGTAGTTCCCGTTTTCAAGTGGTCAGCTACCTTCATCAACCGTCAAACCCGTTTTCCACCTGGCGAATTTATTCGTGCTAACTAATAAAAAGTATGTACTATAACTATGTATTGTACTTTTTCGCGGCGAATTTTTTCTAAAACCAATCAAATCACCAAATTTCAGATATCACTTCGCGTCACGCGAATTAATTCGCCTAGAAAACAGGATTTATTAGACTGGAGCGCTAGCACAAATGCGCCATATATATAAATTCATGACCGCAAATCCGCAATGACCGTTGTTGACATAGACCCTGGAGCTTGCTGATTGCAAAGTACAGTACTGTCAAGAAATAACGTAACCTAACCTAAATAAATCACTCGAGATCATCTCTTTCTTGTATGCTTTGCCAGTTATTCTGTTCGCATATTGTGCTGACAATTCCAATGAGATTGGTCAAGTGGTTAGCTACCTCATATAACAGGATTTATTAGACTGGAGCGCTAGCACAAATGCGTATATATATATATATTGATGACCACAATGACCGTTGTTGATATTAGACCTTGGAGCTTGTTGACTGCAAAGTACAGTACTGTCCAGAAATAAATCACTCGAGATCACTTCTTTCTTTATATGCTTTGCTGGTTATTCTGTTCGAATATTGTGCTGACAATTTCAATGAGATTGGCCATTTGTAGTTCCCGTTTTCAAGTGGTCAGCTACCTCATATATCATCAACCGTCAAACCCGTTTTCCACCTGGCGAATTTATTCGTGCTAACTAATAAAAAGTATTTACTATAATTATGTATTTATTTTTTCGCGGCGAATTTTTTCTAAAACCAATCAAAACACCAGATTTCAGATATCGCTTTGCGTCACGCGAATTAATTCGCCTAGAAAACATGATTTATTAGACTGGAGCGCTAGCACAAATGCGTATATATATATATGAATTTATGACCGCAATGACCGTTGTTGATATTAGACCCTGGAGCTTGTTGACTGCAAAGCACAGTACTGTCATTTCGTTATTATGTGGTCTGAAATCCTTCGTTATAAATACAAGCTAGGGAGATTCATTGCGTGACAGTTGTGGGTGACAGTAGAATTGCTCTCTCAGCAACGCCTTCCTATTGGCTCTCAGCCTAGATTCGTCGTTAAGTTGTCTAGCTTAAAGCACGATCGTTTTTTAAATGTCCATGCAATCTTAAATTTGTTTTTAGAGCGTTGGAGGAGAAGTTGGTCCGTGGTGCAGGCTGTAAAGCCTTGCAACATGTATATTTCGGATGCAAGTTGTGCAATGATGTCTGTTTCCGGACTTGTCAAAAATTGAAGCTTCCGTTATTATGATTTAAAATTGTCCCCCCTCCACCCCACAAGAGTATGGTGGATGTATATACAGGTAAAATATTTATGTGTTCTCTTAATTTACAATTTTAATGATTACGCTAAGCACCCCCCCATTGCATTGTGCATTTCGCGCTTAAAGATTGAGGTTTTGATAATATTTATTTGTTCTCTTAATTTACAATTTTAAGAATTACTTTAAGCACCCCCATTGCATTGTGCATTTTGCGCTTAAAGATTGAGGTTTTGATGCATTTGAAGTAGAAGATGAGGTTTTATGTGATTGGTAATTGGTAGGACTAAAGGACGGTGGCTAACTGATAAAGGCAACAAAACCCGTATATTTTGGATTTGAAAAACTCCTTCGTCGATATCACTGAACCGAATCGGTAATGTATTCATGTTACTTAATTCATTACAGAAAAATATGAAATATTTGTAAAATGAAAATTGCCTCTCGAAGTCACTTTTCAAAATAATTGCAAAAGTATAATTTGAATTTTTTATAAGACCGTGCGTGCACAAGCCAATATACATAAGAATTGAGTGAGAATTTGAAGCGGCTGAAAATTTAATGATATTTAAAGGCTGATAGCTAGTTGTTGGAACGACTATTAAGAGACTGAGTCAGTTGCCGTAATGTAATGCCCTTGTGCTTTTCACGTCGTGTCTTTAACAATAATGTATATATGCACAATCCATTTTATGTTACAAACAAAATTTTGAATTTCATACAAATGACCGTCAAAAATTGATGATCTTTTGCATCGAACAGAAGCTAGAAAGTAGAAATTGTAGCCGACAGTTGCATGGTAAAACAGGTCGCTATGCTATTTTGGAAACTTTTTATTTGGCGTCAAAAAATGAGGTGTTCTGTACTTTGATAATAGTTAAAGTTTTCTAGGCTGTTCCATGACATCTATTATTGTGCACAGAAAAGGGAGAAAATGGGATTTAATTGTGTCATGGCCAAGTCACTGCAAAAAAATTTTACTTCATTGGTCATTGACAATATTTAAAGTTGAAAATTTTATTTGGCATCAACAAATGTCTGCATCTACAAATCTTTAATTCGATATATAGCAGTTAAAGTTTTTTAGGCTATTTCATTACAATGTATTATCATGCACAGTAAAGAGGAAAAATGAAAAATATTTGTGTCACGGCCAAGTCATGGGCACGATTTTATTCACTGCATTGGTATCCTCCAAACCACCAGTTTGTGGTCGAGGCATCAGTGGCCATGCAACGGAATTCAGGGTTGATGTAGTTAGGATAGCCAAAGTTATCCTCGCTTGGGACAGAACCAGCAGTTGGTACGAAATCACAACCACCCATTGAACTGTCAATATGTACGCTGTGCAGGTTGAGAACAGCCCACCATTTTGCTGTGCACTGGGAACACTCGTGACCTAAGGGTAGTCAAGATTGATAAGATATATTCAAAAAAATCAGTCGACAGCCTCTGGCTAATATATCGATGTGTGAAATCGTGTCCAACGAGTTACGTCATTAATGAGGGATGCGACTTTTCATGTACACTATATATATACGTCATAACGTGGACAAAAAAGTCCTATTCCATTCTATGACGTCAAACAAATGACGAAGACGATAAAGTCCCAAAAAGCGAAAATACATTACTAATGCAAGCGAACAAAGTTGTAATGCTCATTTTTTCATTCGGTTTTTACATAATATGAAAAATTATCAAGCCTCAGCCGGGAATATGTCGTTATCAACCTCAGCCTTCGGCTTGATACGCCTCGTAAACATCATTTTAGCGTGGGGTCGCAGCTCCTCGCAAGAATGATTTTCATTGGCTGAACTTTACAAACATTTATGTTTCAACCAATAGCGAAGGATCGTTCTTTAGAAAGCATAGAAAAGCATTATCCAATTGAACGAAAGCTTCCGAGCACTGCGACATGCCCCTCATTTTATAATAATCCTTATACATATGGCGATACCGCCAACTGTTTACATTTTGTACTCTGGTAGTACAAAGAGAAATGTCATTTTCACTAAGATGTTCTCTCTTTTCCATATTATACGTAAAACTTTATTTAACAGCTAGAAGTTTGATCTGTCTTTATTTACAAAGATTGAATCAATAAATTTACGCAAAACAGCATGTGCTAGATCTTTCTTTTTATACTGTATATTTAGGTTTAGCAAACTATAACTTACCTCGTATGTTGACATATTCCATCGGTTTACAGAGACCACTTCCAATGTACGTCATGATATCAAAATCTTTGAAATTCCCTCTCGCCTGATCACGACCGTCAATCCCGTTGACATTCCAGCTACATGTCGCTCTCCAGTGGGTTGACTTCGCCTTCAAACTCATCATTTGGGGCTGGCTCATTCTGTACCGGTTAAAATTTGGTGATTTCTCGTTTGCCGGGGCGTTTGTCTTAAACGGGTGTTTTTTAAACGGATCTTCGTCTTTGTTGGTCTTGTTGAATGATTCTACTAGTGTCCAGGCTGCAGCGACCTCGGGTACCATATCGCAATACACGCTGTCCAAGCTGTTGTCTTCTTCGTTATAGATTTTGTAGTAGCCATCACTTGTCGAGCCTCGCTTCAAATGATCCAAGCAACTTTTAGGTGACAACTTATCACATAGGTTCTGAAGTGAAAAATATCTTTATCTAGCTACTTTTCTAAATATAACTATTATGATTCTGATACAACTGATTGAAAGCGTTTCAAACCACCTAATTGCCGAATTATAGCTATATCTATTTCCCCATGCATTACTTTTTTACAAGACTTCAACTCACAGAATGGTCTGGTCAGCAATATAGAGGGACAGCCTTCATATATAACTTTGTACATAAATCAACCGACTTCGATATCTTCATAGGCTAATTTTTCGCATGTAGTTGTGCGTCTCATGCTTCGTACTGGTTCGCGCGATTTGCCTTCTGCAATGCAGACCCGATCAATCTATACCATGAGTTTCTTTTTTTATATGTTAATTATCGTGTACCTCTTGTTACATTTCATGATTAACATTACACTCGTATATCAACTTTCTAAACTGGTACATGATTTTTGAGTTTCATTTTATAACGGTTTGTATTAGACGCTATTTGGGTTAATTTTCCAAAGCACAGGTTTGCGCACAAATCGTGTATTTTAAAACGTTGACAGATTTTTAGGGCAGCCAGCCGATACTACGATGGATCTAGTGTAGTAGGCAGTTGCAAAATGAACGAAGAAAGAGCTTGTTGTGCCAACTTAAAGTTAGCAAACTGAGTGCCTTCTCTTCAAAAGCAGAAACTGACTTTATAGAATCGAGCAAGATGGTCCTGACGACAAATACAGCAGTCTAAGCTTCAGTTAAATAAAAGTAATTTATATCTGTCATGTGCGGTTATTTCCTGACTGGGTGCGGTAATATAGAATTAACTCTGATCGCGACATACCCCAGAGCACTGGTCAAACGCGAAAATTTCTGTTGCCATCTGTAAGACGAGAAGATTAAACACGAATTGGCGTAGGACAGACATTTTTTTTTGCTGCAGAACTGATCCTCTTCGTTTTCAATGTTTACTTCGATGTACCTCTTGCGACAACTTCGATACTTGTGCAAAATCACTCGAGATCACCTCTTTCTTGTATGCTTTGCTGGTTATTCTGTTCGCATATTGTGCTGACAATTCTAATGGGATTGGCCATGGGTAGTTCCCGTTTTCAAGTGGTCAGCTACCTCATATATTATCAACCGTCAAACCCGTTTTCCACCTGGCGAATTTATTCGTGTTAACTAATAAAAAGTATGTGCTATAATTATGTATTGTACTTTTTCGTGGCAGATTTCAGATCTCGCTTCGCGTCACGCGAATTAATTCGCCTAGAAAACAGGATTTATTAGACTGGAGCGCTAGCACAAATGCGTATATATATAAATTCATGACCGCAAATCCGCAATGACCGTTGTTGATATAGACCCTGGAGCTTGTTTATTGCAAAGTACAGTACTGTCAAGAAATAACGTAACCTAACCTAAATAAATCACTCGAGATCATCTCTTTCTTGTATGCTTTGCTGGTTATTCTGTTTGCATATTGTGCTTACAATTCCAATGAGATTGGTCAAGTGGTTAGCTACCTCATATAACAGGATTTATTAGACTGGAGCGCTAGCACAAATGCGTATATATATAAATTAATGACCGCAATGACCGTTGTTGATATTAGACCTTGGAGCTTGTTGACTGCAAAGTACAGTACTGTCCAAAAATAAATCACTCGAGGTCACTTCTTTCTTTATATGCTTTGCTGGTTATTCTGTTCGCATATTGTGCTGACAATTTCAATGAGATTGGCCATTTGTAGTTCCCGTTTTCAAGTGGTCAGCTACCTCATATATCATCAACCGTCAAACCCGTTTTCCACCTGGCGAATTTATTCGTGCTAACTAATAAAAAGTATGTATTATAATTATGTATTGTACTTTTTCGCTGCGAATTTTTTCTAAAACCAATCAAATCACCAGATTTCAGATATCGCTTCGCGTCACGCGAATTAATTCGCATAGAAAACAGGATTTATTAGACTGGAGCATTAGCACAAATGCGTATATATATATATATATAAATTTATGGCCGCAATGACCGTTGTTGATATTAGACCCTGGAGCTTGTTAGCTGCGAAGTACAGTACTGTCATTTCGGCATTATGTGGTCCGAAATGGTTCGTTATAAATACAAGCTAGGGAGATTCATTGCGTGACAGTTGTAAGTGACAGTGAAACTGCTCTCTCAACAACGCCTTCCTATTGGCCCTCAGCCTAGATTCGTCGTTAAGTTGTCTAGCTTAAAGCACGATCGTTTTTTAAATGTCCATGCAATCTTAAATTTGTTTTTAGAGCGTTGGAGGAGAATTTGGTCCGTGGTGCAGGCTGTAAAGCCTTGCAACATGTGTATTTCGGCTTTGCGTCATTGCAAGATGCAAGTTGTGCAATGATGTCTGCATGTTTCCGGACTTGTCAAAAATTGATGCCTCCGTTATTATGATTTATTAAAATTGTCCCCCCTCCATCATAGTATCTTGTATGGTGGATGTATATACAGGTAAAATATTCATGTGTTCTCTTAATTTACAATTTTAATAATTACGTTAAGCACCCCCCATTGCATTATGCATTTTGCGCTAAAAGATTGATGTTTTGATAATATTTATTTCTTCTCTTAATTTACAATTTTAAAGATTACGTTAAGCACCCCCCCATTGCATTGTGCATTTTGCGCTTAAAGATTGAGGTTTTGATGCATTTGAAGCAGAAGATGAGGTTTTATGTGATTGGTAATTCGTAGCACTCTAAAGGCCGGTGGCTAACTGATAAAGGCAACAAAACCAGTATATTTTGGATTTGAAAAACTCCTTCGTCGCTATCACTGAACCGAATCGGTGCCAGAATATTCAGTTGAATATTGATTATTTACTCCGCTCAAATACACGTTACTTCTCCGCTTGCCGAGTTTCTAAATCCACCAGCTGCAATAAGAGAATAAAAGTAACTTTTAAATTCAGCTTCAAGTGAAGTAATCAACCTTGGAAGTAATTCGGGAATACAAAGTATATTATTTTTAAGCGGCTGTTATTACATTTGCCACTCCCCTTTTCTTAAAAGCTCTTTGAACATGCTGTTAACGTTGTGCAACTCACCACTTTGGGCAAAATGCTTTTGTCGTGCGCTCTTTCGCACGGGGAAATGCCGTTTAGAAATTGCCAATAGGGAGCTTTAGCAGTGACTACGAATACGAGATTCGAGATTCGCGTGTTGTTTGCTTATACGCCGTCAGCCAAAACTCGTAGTCGTTGGGCTTTTCGAGTACGAAATTTATAAAAAATTCGTGCTCGAGTGTTGGCTGATGGCGTGAGCAAACAACGCGCGAGAATGACGAATCTCGCTATCGTAGTCACTGCTAAAGCTCCCTATTGGCAATTTCTAAACGGCATTCCCCCGTGCGAAAGAGCACTTAACACGACAAAAGCATTTTGCTGTTACTCTTCGTCGTCATCAAGGTTCAGATCACGTCATTCTTGCGTGTTCTCTGTTTACGCCATCGTGCAAAGAGTTCAGGCCGTTGAGTACGAGTTTGCTTATCAATGACGAACTTCGTACTCGTAGTCACTGCTAAAGCTCTCTATAGCTGCTAACCAATCAGATGCGCAGCTACTAACCAATCAGATGCGCTTGCTGCAAAATATAGCTTCCGAAAGGTCGCCTTGGTGGTGTCGGTTTCTGCCTGCAAGTCAAAATTAAACCTCGCTATTGTTATTGTCGCATCACGCTTTAATTGCCATAAACATATGTAAACATTCAGTGAAAAAAAGCATGTAAAAGTTATACAAATATACATGGCAGGGTATACGCCGTATGCTGGTATACGCCATATAGCGGTCTTTGAAATAAAAACGAAATTAACGTTGCAAATACAACAAAACACTTGAATGGCATCTTTAAGTAAGTAAAAATTATTCTACATTTATGTTTAGGCTATAATTTAAAAAAGCTTCGCTTTTATAATGGTCTTTTGCTGCATATCTCACTCCTAAGATATTGTCTCTGCCACTTGAACATAAAATCTATATCTTCTCGCAACCGTAACATCCTACATATAATATGTTATATGAACGTAGACTTTGGAGAATAATCGTATAATGAATAATAGTTCGATAATTATAGAGGTACGTGTCACTTAATATACATAAATTTTTCAGAGTATATTTACTGTGTTGGAAAAAAGAGAATTTTCAAAGCTATAGCAGACTAAAACGAATAAACAAAAAAACGGCAAAACTTAAAGCTATCTTTTTTATTTTGAAACGTAATTTGCGTCATCTTATGCCTCCAGGGCCCCGGTCACTCCTTTATAACGCTCTGCAATTCAAATTCTTCTCTTTGACTAGTATCTACTGTTTGATTCGGTGCATCACTGACTCTCGACTCGCTAACCACGTCGACATCATCGTCAACATCGGCAATATTTCGCATCAGGCGTTGTCCAAGGTAGCTCAGTAACGCAAAGAAGGCAAATCCAAACAAGATAATCGCTATCGAAACGCCAATCAACGTTGCATTTGGTTTGACAATGGCGAATCCAAAGAACAGAGCCACTATGTCTATGCTGTACACCAGTGCAGCCAGTAGCTGGCGGTGAAAATAGCTGCCAACCACAGAACCTATTGAAAAGCGCGTTGTTTTAAACATACTTGCGATATTCGTGACGTGAAGTGGGAATGTTATTTTCTTAAAGGTGTATTGCAGAAAACCGTATTCGAGAAAGTAAATGAGGGAAATCGCTGGCTTTTAATGTTACTGCTGGTCTTTTCTTTGTCGTGATATTCAAGGGAGGTATGATTTTGAAAAAGTGTAAAGAAAGATTCAATGATATGAAATGGATGTATTTTACTCCGGCATGTCTCAGCTGGAAAATGCAGAAAAGAGAAAGTGTTTCAATGTTTAATGAACGAATAAGCACTTTACTTTCGGCAAGAAATGTGTAGCGATCAATGATATATTATCAATGATCGCATTACTGCTGGATGAAAAATTCCCAAAATTTTCGAACAGTTTAATAATAAGTTATCTTCCAATAGAACCAGGGAGCAGCTTGGCAGCGTCTTCAAACAACTTAGCATCAAATGTGGTATAACAACTGCCTAAAATAGACAAAACACTTCTCGACGTTTTGACCTGAGGGCCTTCGTCAGGAGAGTTAGTATCAGTCAGGAGAGTTGTTATACCACATTTGATGCTAATAAGTTATCTTACTAGATATCATTACCTAATGGCGCACCAAGCACCACAATTGGAGCACAAACGGCAAGGTAATGGTAGGAATCGATATGGATTGCTTCCATCATCACCTGTCGCCAATAAAAACCAACAACCGTGTTTCCTGCCATCAATACAACCGATGTCGGGGTTGCAGTTTTCTCTGATACTCTAAACAACAGCGTCAGAACACTGAAACTACAGATATGCAATCCGCTACCAGATACAGCAGAGAATATGCCGCCGAAAAATCCGGTGAACAGCAGCACGCATGCTTTCCACGAGTTGAACTCTGGTATTATCCTGAAGGTCTTTCGTTTGTGGTAACGGTTGAGCAAGAAGAGAGAAAATGCGAAGGCAAACCATACGCTGACGAAGCCCATTTTCTTCTGCGGTGGAGTGAGATTGGGATCGATGAATTCCAGCCCGATCACTATCCCCAGGATGCCTCCTGTGGAGCAAAATATTATTGAGCGCCATTCCAGCTGAATTCTCATCCAGAATATCGTAAATGATGCTGCTGTCATGCCGACGGATTGAATCATCAGGCTGAAATCTCGAGCTATGACAGGAGTGATGTTGAAAACCAATGTCATCACAGGGAACGCGACAGAGCCTCCCCCTTTGCTTGTCATTCCTGTATGAATGTTAGAAAATGAATAAATATAAAGTTTTTGGTAAAAAAAATATATTTCTAATTGTACTTGGTACATGCATTACTAAATCTCAGTAAAAGGAAATGTTATCTTTGGTATATCTGACTGGAATTTGCCAAGCAATCAAGATGAAAAGTGTTTGCAGCCCTCGAAATACTTTAACTGATGATTATCTGTTTGAACAAAGACCACCTACCACCTCAGGCAAAAACAAACACCCTCAGTGTCGAAAGAATGTAACTTGGTAAAATTTTCATTAAAAAACGAAAGGACTAGTTCGTTATTACCTGCAAGGATAGATCCAAAGATCATTGTTATCGACATGAAATATTTATCAGGAAAGAATTCCCAGTAGTTGTATTTTATTGCGCTACTCCACCAAACGATGTGCACGATGGTGAATGGAATTAGTATTCCGACCCATCGACGATGTTTGACCATCATCCTTGTATACCACGGTGCATTTGGATCCAAATTCTCGAGCGCTTCCGTCTGAGCAGCAGTAACTGCTTGTCCTTGGAAATGGTAATTGGGAAAAAAAAGGTATAATGGGCGAGGTTCGAGACTATTCATAAGCGATATCCATGCATGAGCGATCTGATGTACAACATTGCGAGATTCATCTTCTTCTCACCTTCAAGAAAATACTTATTGAACCATTCTCTGAGTGACCGTCCCATTCTCCGTGTTCTTTGTGTGTTTTCGCTGGTGTTTATACACGAATTACGCACCAATGGATGAACTTATTCGTTTCTTGCCTAAATTTGGCCAGGTTGGTCATGCGTCTCTAGATTAATTTGGAGCGATATCGATCATTGATTCATGAATGTAAATTTTGTGTGGTGATTACTTTCGTTAATTATTAAACCAGAGTAGCGATAATTTCGATGGATATCCAGTTTATCATGTATTAAACAACTAAGCTAAGCATGCACCATATAGTATTTTGTCAGCGGGCGATCGAGTCATGCACAAAATATTTGAAATTCTTTGAAAAATATATCTGTTAAAATACCTTATTTAATAATTCAGATTTAATTAAAGTTCAATCTCTGCTGGTTGTAGAGTGGTTTAACACTTCACGTGCCGGGTAATTCATGGTCGGATTCGTCTTGGTGAGACCAGCTTTTAGGTTGACGTTGCTATGACCCAGGCGGCACGTGTCATTAACATTGGCAAACTTGTTCACGCAATAAATCCCTTTCGTTCATTTATATTTTTCAATAAACGAAAAACATGCTGAGACTGCTATTTTCTGTTGTTGTGTTTGTGACAGTGTTTTGTGACAATATATATATATATATAATTATATATATATTTATATTTATACCCGTTTGCAAAAACGTTGGCCGCAGATAGATATATAGATAGATACCCGAAATCTAATTAGAATTGCATATGTTTTGTAATATGATTGAAATCCCATGCAAATGTAATCATATGCAATTCTAATTAGACTTCGAGTATCTATCTATCTATCTATCTGCGGCCAACGTTTTTGCAAACGGTTGTATATATATAAATATATATATATATATATATAAATAATATATATTATATATATATATATATATACATATATATATATATATATATATATATATATATTTATATATATATATAATTTCTAATATTCAGTGGCGACTATATACACATTCTCACGCAATCGTCGCCTCGTCAAAGAACTGTTTTTTTATGCACAATGTTTATAAGGAAGAACTACAACCCTACAATAATTTGCATAGCATACATGCTGTGAATGCAATCAAGCTTATTGGCACATCATTTCCGGTGCAATTTTTATACTATGAGTCACGAAAGTCACGCAATCTTGCGAACACATAATAAAATTCTAGTACCGTTAACTATATCCAATCAATAGGTATGAAATATATTTGTCGTATTAGTTAGAAGGCCAAACTAGAACGGCAAACCAAATGCTGAAGAGAGGTTACAGAGCTTTCTGCACGTCGATTCTTCTCATAACATTTGGGGACTCAAACAACCATGACCAGCCGACAATTTAAAAAAGTAAAGTAAAAAGCAAATTCCGAATAAACAAGACAACTTGAGAATCAAAATATAATTCAAACAAGACACAGATTGAGGCACAAATTTTCGACTTTATTACAAAGTCATCTTCAGACAGAATGACTTTGTAATAAAGTCGAAAATTTACAATCTCAATCTGTGTCTTGTTTGAATTAGATTTTGATTCTCAAGTTGTCTTGTTTATTCGGAATTTGCTTTTTACTTCAATTTGGGGACTCCGTGATTTAGAAATTGTCCAAATTTTACATGTTTTGAATTTCTGATATAAACTTTATTTCTTATTCATTTAGAAATGTAGTGAAATGAAATGGTATTAAATATTCCGATAGGACGGGATATTTGCGTTCGACGAAGGAGAACATTCTAATTCTGACTCGCGCGGGGTCCCGCGTGGTTTTGCATTCCACTCGATTGTAGACTTTGACGCCATCTAGGATGGACTATGTCTCACGTCTCGCCTCGATTTCGTGTACGACGTACTCGATTTTGGAATCCTATCACTGTACACTCTCAAATTCTTATGGATGCGACATCTTGAGTTTGCTATTTATGAACTTTAACTCTAGCACAGTTGTTCACATTTCGTTCTGCAGTCTTTCTGCAATCGCAATTTTTTTTCAATGTTTTGTTATTCGCTTTAAAGACACTTCAACCTAGCCTTGTAGTTGTCTCGTTTATTCCTATATTCATTGTCACTGCCAATTGCCATAATTATGCACTAGACTAGAGCTATATAGCTATATATTTCGCCGTATATTAGCAAGAAAAAGTCCATAGAAAATTTATAGTACAAAAATCATTTGGTAATAAAAAATCGAACGCACTTGCCTAATCTTTGATTACTACAAGTTTAAGAGATATATAGCGATTCAATATGTAAAGCGTTTGTTTACATTAGCGGCTGTCCCCCACCTTTAAAAAACTCTGTAATTCAATTTTGTGATGGTAAAATTATATTACAGAATATATTTGCAACGTTTTGCAACTTATTCCTATATCATTTTATTGAATGGTTTTTAGGTTGTGTTCAAGTTTTGTAGCATTTTGTTTTTAGTTTCATAAAAAATAACGATTATAGATTCAGTTCAAAAACTCTCATATGCATGACCTTCAAACCAACATAATGTTACTTGGTTTACAACATGTCACTTGGTATTGTGAGTTTTTACTGGAAAATAAAGATTTTCAAACCTTACAGCTATATCGCAGTTCCAAGGATGTGCAATGGTATAACGGCTGAATTTCATCGTCAGGTCAACATGCTACAAAAGCGTACGAGCTATGCCGTCCATTTTTCGGGCGAATTATTCTGGATTTTCGGGCACATCAGAATATATTCTATATATTCTATAAACGTCTGTCCAAATGTGCCTTATCGTCGATGAGGTTAAAGAAGAAGCGCCTATAGGCCAATAGCAATTAAATATAATAGTCTATTTTCTATATTTTACATGTAAGTTGTAGAGCTATAACTGTTTGGGGCAGTTGGGTCTGAATTCTTCATGAAATTTTTTCCGCCATCTGAAACTACATTCAGTTCCTCAATGTTTTCATCAGATATGACGTAAGCTTCGTTGTCTTTTGATGCAGCTTTGCGCACACTCGGCGCCTCGCTGACACTCGACTCGCTCGCGACTTCGCTATCATCTGCAATACTTTGCATGAGGCGGTGTCCAAGGTAACTCAGGAAACCGAAAAAGACAAATCCGAACAGGATTATCCCCACCGAAACGCCGATCAGCGTTGGATTAAGCTTCACAATAACGAACGCGCTGATCAGAGCCACCGTGTCTAGGATGTACACCAATGCAGCCAGCACTTGACGATGGAAATGACTGCCAATCACAGAACCTATAAGAAACAGAAACGGTTACAATCGTTTCATGTGATAATCAACAATAAGTAATGTGCTGGATATCTCTTTGAAATGATCATCGATATTTACCTTAAGTGTAAGAATCAATGAACGGAAAATACCATGAAGAAAATAAAGATAGGATCCTCAAAGGGGAATGAGGGAATGCCAATTAATATAAAATCGAGTTAGTTCAACATTATAAAATGGATAGAATTAAATTTGCGTGGAATCTTTCTCTTTCTAAAGATGTGTAGGGTTTACACTGAATTATCCTACTGCTTCTTTGTAACTACAGAAATTAGGCCTGCTTCAAAGCAGGTATAATCCGGCACAGTTGGCCCTCACAGGAGACCACGAGTATGCCCAAAATTAAATTTTCCCTCTCTTCTGTTAATTCATATTGTTCCTTTAATACGAATCCTTACGAATCACATTAAAGTCATGAATATATGAGTAAACATCCCTCCCAAGTTAAGCGTCTAGCGACAGCCCGTGCAAAATTAAGACTGGCCATGCATGCATCGGCATTTAGCGTTGTGGATTTCTTCCCACTGGAAAATATATAAAAAATTCATTGTGTACTTTCAATGTGGAATGCAAGAACCTCATTCGCTAAAAATGGCATTAATTGAGGAATTAAGGAATGTGTACCGAACCAATGATTGGATTACCGCTGGATTGAAGGAAAAAGTATTCTTCCCAAATTTTGAAACTCATTAACAATGAGCTATCTTACTAGATATCATTACCTAATGGCGCACCAAGGACCACAATTGGAGCACAAACGGCAAGGTAATGGTAGGAATCGATATGGATTGCTTCCATCATCACCTGTCGCCAATAAAAACCAACAACCGTGTTTCCTGCCATCAATACAACCGATGTCGGCGTTGCTGTTTTCTCTGATACCCTAAACAACAGCGTCAGTATGCTGAAACTACAGATATCCACTCCGCTACCAGCCACAGCAGAGAATATGCCGCCGAGAAATCCGGTGAACAGCAGCACGCCTGCTTTCCACGAGTTGAACTCTGGTATTATCCTGAAGGTCTTTCGTTTGTGGTAACGGTTGAGCAAGAAGAGAGAAAATGCGAAGGCAAACCATATGCTAACGAAACCCATTTTCTTCTGCGGGGGAGTCAGATTGGGATCGATGAATTCCAGCCCGATCACCATCCCCAGGACGGCTCCGATGGAGCAAAATATTATTGAGCGCCATTCCAGCTGAATTTTCATCCAGAATATTGTAAACGATGCTGCTGTCATGCCGACGGATTGAATCATCAGGCTGAAATCTCGAGCTATAGCAGGACTGATGTTGAAAGCCAATGTCATCACAGGGAACGCGACAGCACCTCCCCCTTCGCTTGTCATTCCTGTGTGGAAATGATCAAATTTTAGTTAAGAAATGTTTGTCTCAAAGGGGAACTATTTTTTCACCAGAAATCCAGCGAATGAATTTATCGGTATAGATTTTGTGATGACACCTGATGCATGGTCATTGATGGTGTACAGGTGGATCGTGTTTTGGAATAATGATGAGGCATAATCTTTGATATTATACTTTACCTAGTGGGAAAAATTTAACCCCCACCTTGTATACAACAATGTAAAAACGCTGCATGGTATAGATGTTCACTGGAGAACTAGGACAACTACCTCTGACCAATGATAATACCTGCAATCATAGATCCAAAGATCATTGTTATCGATATAAAAAATCTATCAGGAAAGAGGTCCCAGTAGTTGTATCGTATTGCGCAACTCCACCAGATGACCTGGACAATCGTAAAGGGAATTAATATTCCGACCCAACGACGATGTTTGACAATCAACCTCGTATACCATGGTGCATCTGGATCCAAATTCTTCAGCGCTTCCGTTTGAGCATTGCTAAGGGTTTGTCCTTGAAAGAAAGTTTTTGGGGTTATTGGGACAAGGAATGTACAGAGATGTTTTTTGGCAGAGTTTGCAAGCTATTTTTTAATTGGAAAATTTATTTCATGAGCGTTCATTCATGAGTATGATATCAGAGTAAGCTAATATAATCAAATAGGAAAATTATATAAGAGTCTCACTAGTTACTCAATGTTTAAACATAACGCACCAATTTCCTCGGCTTCAGAAACCTCGCATTTGCCTTAATTTTAGTTAAAGGTTTGTCGAGAACGCTAAGCGATAATGACTCACCTTCAAGAAAATATTTCTTAAGCCATTCTTTAACCGAGCGTCTAGGAGGCATTTTCTATTTTCTCTACAAATAAATGGAAGTTTTTATCAAAATCATTGGTGGTTTTTGGTCTTGTTTTAATCAAATATACGATAACAATTAGAAGATTTAGTGTGCCTTGACATTGTGGAAGATTTTAGCTTTTACCATGCAGGCATACTTATAGGCCATGAGTCAAACTAATCAATAGTGATTGCTTATTCAAGAACTATAAGCCTAATTTATTTTTAAAATTTTTGATCGAACTATACTATATTTGCATGTATACTCTAGTGAGAAGACTAGTTCGTAGTCTATATACGAGAAATGTACTATTTGTCAGTCGTTGTACACAAATTAACTCTCTCATTTATATTACCAAATAAGATAGTTAACTAGCAACAATAACGCGTAAATACTGCTTGCTGAATATTTATTTAGCTATAAAAATACATTTGATATTATATTAATGTGATGCCGATGAAAAATTGTTTTTATAAACTTCACAAAGTATAGGTTCTTAATTTAATCACGTTCTAATAGACTTTAACTTCTTGAGGTTAGTAGAACTATATGTAAAATATTCCATCTTGAGTATAGCACCATCATCTGAACGATTAACTACATATATATTTAGTGTAGAAAATTTCAGTGCGGTCACTGATGCACAACAAATGTGTGGGATTAATAAAATTGTTGAACTATCTTCCAATATGTAATTTTACTATCATTCGACTGATGATCACTAGAAAAATACGTTTGAATTAGTATCTAAATTTTAATTGTCTTCCAATTTCAAAAATATTTATTTGACTTTATTGACTAATAATTCACCGATATCGAGAACGATTATAATCAGCTGTCTCTGAGCAAAATTTGATTTGATTATAAACCTTGTTTTAAATAGCATTTCCTAAGCTTTGAAAATGTCTCAATGTCGTCCCCATAGCTTCAAAAGAGTTTTAATGACTTACAGTTAAATTGAGTCGTCGTTTGATTTGCCCAATACATTAGCTTGACATATAGCTTCAGTTCTGTCATCATCAGTAATTGCGAGGAGCAAATGTTATGTATACAAAAACCATTCGACAACAGCTCATTGACAATTTGGATATTTTCCTACAAAACCAAACGAAGTCGCTACTGCTTTCTCGTAACATTGTCGCCGTTCTTCTGTGATGTATACATTTTATTTATGAATAAATATTTGAAGTAACGTTAGGTGTCAGTAAACATTGAGCTGTATCGGAAATGACCGTGTGATGAACTATTTGCAAGAACAAAGAGCGCTTTATAGCGCCCGTGAAGAAGCGTGGGTGGAAAGAAGCCTTCTCAAAGAAAGACTGACGCCTGTATTCAAAAAGCTCACTCACACTTACACTCATTGAGTGTGACATATAAATTTTGTTAATGCTGGTAAATGAGAAAGTTATTTCGGAATTGGTGGAAAGATTTAAGGTAAAACACTTAAAATCAAGCCCCTATTCGGCTGGAAATACCGCCATAGAAACGTTATGATAACATTAAGATTTCCCACTCAATGAGTTTGAGTGTGAGTGAGCTTTTAGAATACAGACGTGAAGCTACTTCAAGCTAGATTTTAAGATACGTTCTTGGTGATGATTGATGCAAAGCTATTTCAATCAGCATTCAAACCAACTGGAAAAAATTGATTATAACTAAATGAGCTTATAGTAATCGTTCTCAACTCAAATGCATAAAAGTATAAATCCAATTAATATTTTTATTTTAAGTACAGCGTATAATTTTTCACTGCTGTTACCAGAGAAAATGATTGAGTATTTTTATATTAAGTACAATGATTATAATGCCCTAGCTTGTAAACTACTGGGGTTAGATTTAGGCTATAAAAAGCTAGTTAACTTTTAACTGTAGTTTTAAGAGCAGAATTAGCCAATCAGGGTCGTATATATGACATTGTGCAGTAGCTAATGATTTTTTAAAATTTTTTTAATTAAAATTTTGGATTGCATGACTTTTTAAACGTACAACAATAGCGGTTTGTTTCACATATCATTCAGCAAAAAGCTCTTAGTATAGGTAAAAAACGTTTGCTGCAGTTATATATATTCTAACTTCAACTTGAATTATATATAACTTCAACTTAAATACCAATGTTTTGTGAATATCACTTGATAAATCAGTTAAAAATTATGTTTTGTGCAGTGATAAAATTTCTTCAGAATAATACCTGCGAAAGATGCATGGTTATCGCAAACTTCTGTAGATGAGGTTAAGTGCAATAGACGTTGAAATAGCGACTGATTTTTAAAATCTGGTTCAATCTGTGAAGTTTGCAGTGTTACATGCTAAAATATCAAAACAAAGTTATCGTGATGAATTTTATTTATAATTCAATTTTCATTTTATTTAAGACTTCAGTCTTCACTAAGCATAAAATTCACCCCATGGTGACCCTGATAAGTAATATACGATTAAATGCTTGTCAAACTACGATTAATGCCTCTGGAGAAGCTGATGATATATATAGTGCGTAAAAAAAAGTAGAAAATTTGAGTAAACTAGCATAGTTATATTTTATTATTTTATGACAAAAAAACGCTTAAAATTGTAGCTGGGATTTATTTCTAGAAAGAAGAATAGGATTTATTTCGTTTCGAAATCAGTGCAAACTGGAAGTCTAGAACTCAATATTTTATCCAACGGCGCATTTAAAACGAAACGTTCATGCACTGGCAAAATGAAAATCCTTGTCTAAGTCGCTTTGGACGAAAATAAACGTTTTCGCCATTTTTAAACCGCCGCGGTGTGATTTTCTGTCTTAAGGCTGCTTTCCACTTACGCGTTTTTTAAACGCACGTACGGAAAATTTTAAATGGTTTTAACATCTAGGTCAACTAATGCATACTAAAATAAGCAGGACACTAAGTTCCTTCAATTTTTTCACTTATTTTTTTTCAAAGGTACCATGTATAAGGATTTCGACTTTGACGTGCGTCTACGTGCGTATGAAAAACGCGTAAGTGGAAAACAGCGTAATCTGGCCCTTCAAAATAGCTTCTTGCGTGGCGGGGCTTGCGTCGACCAATCGCGAGTTGTCTTCCTATTTTTGCAAACAGTTCGAAGCCTTTAACAGTTAAACGACTGTCGTTTAGTAATACGACAGCAAGAACACTTTAAAGTCCTTTTTTCATACTTTCAGTTTTTGCTGCGATTACATCGGTGCGATTTTCTTCTTTTCGAAGATTCATACGAGTGGGCAGTTAAAAATGTTGTAAGTACCCTTTATCCGCACTCCGTAATTTACCCACTCGTTCACATCTATCAAAAGAAGAAAGTCGCACAGAAAATCGCAGCAAAAATCGCAAGTGTAATTGAGCCTCAAAGCCTCCACAGAAACTCTATAGCTACCTATTCCATGATTCGGTTGTTAATTTTGCATGCTTCGTCAAAATAAACCTAAATTGTTAAATAGTTTACGTGATTGATTCACCCTCTTCACCTAATATTTTATACTTAGCATCAAATGTGGTATAACAACTGATTGAAATAGCGGACAATTGTTATACCACATTTGATGCTTGACAAGTTATTTGAAGACGCTGCTCCCTGGTTATATTGGATAATATTTTATACAACCTTTTTTCAAAAATGATTGTCCTGTAAGAAAGAAACCACTTACTCCTGGCAATCTTCAAGTGTGTTCACGATATGCGTTTGACGGTATCATGTCATGCGTCCGTCGTCAATTTGAAATTCTTCAACTTTTAGCCTTACCAAGATTGTATGCGTACATTGTCCAAAATATTGTATAAGAGAAACGGACTTACCTTGCTAAACCTTTTAAATACTTTCACACCTTCATGCTCTTCAGTCCCAGCTAATGTGAAAATCATTATCGTTGATAGCTGCACTTTAAAGGCTCGGTGTTGCCAACGTTGCCTGGTAACGGGGAATACAGAACTCTGATATTTTCATTTGCACTCTTTAACTGCATTAATAGTTCAAGAGTCTTTTCCGGAAAAAAAAGGTCCATAAAAATTGAAAAAAATTTTTGAACATTGTCCAAATCCAAGCTTAAAATAATTTTCAGTCGAAGTTAGAAAGTATATGTCCTCCCTTAGAAAATATATATCATGGACATTTTGACATCTACATGTAATTTACATTAATGTTTTAAGCGGTTGCCACCAAATTGAGTATAAATTAAAACCACTGCATGATAACTTCAACGTATCTGCACATGGATTAGAACTTGGAAGAAGAGAAATCTATTCCCATTTACATGGATGGATGCATGGATTTCATTTGAAACAGTTGGTTCTTTGATGGTGCGGTAGTTTGATCGCTTTGAACTCAAAAGTTGATATTTTGGGAAGACGTTCCATATATGGGATGCATTCCTTACGCAAATTCTGCCTAAAGTTGCAAGTCCTGTGTCACAGTATGCCAATTCTGGCGCGTAGATATTTGTCGTTTTATGAAAACGTCGTATTCAGAAACACATATGCGCTCTTTGAGTAACCCTGTCATATCGTGCAGTCTTTGTTGCTGTCATTTTTGCGTATTTCTTTGTTTGTGATAACTCTTGAGACCTAAGTATTCATTTGTAATGTATAAAAACATCTCAACTTGAATAATGTGCTCGAGATTTCGATGTAACAATAATCTGTACTCAACTAAATAAAATGTACAAACTGCATGAATCTGTGATTTCCGATTCTTTGTAGTGTTTTAAAAGCTATAAAAAATTCCCAAAAGTATAACTACTCATGACTCATGTTCACAACAATACTCAATAGATCTGATTTCAAAATATTTTTTTTTATATCAAATGGTTTATCAATATCAAATGAATTCGAAGTGGTACTATAAATATATTTGTATAATATCATGGAATGTTGTGGTTACTTCAACTTTCCTAATTAACTTAAAAATAATTTTGAGTGTGTTCTTTACAAGTACACCTTCTATCGAGGCGTGCATGATAATCACACGGATGTTGAAATATTCTCTTGTGTAATTGTTTCAAAACCTTAAACTACGTCCATAATTCTTTCCTCTTACTGTCAGCCTCGTATACAATATTTTTGACTAAATCTTTATAATAATTTGCATTTGCATTTTTATTTTTTATTGTATACATTTATTATTTACTTCCAAAATGGCTTTTCAGTATTTACAATTTTACATCAATTTAATTGAACATTTTCACGTATATAGAACTGATGGAGTTCGGTTATTGCCATATTTTTGCCACATTTGAGCAAACTTGACGCTAAGTTAGGAAATATTTTCTTCATTTTTAATGTCAACCGCGAACTATCATTATTAAAATCAATCGTTTCCTGTTAAAATGGTAATCCCAGGTAACCGGTTGGTGACAAGGAAGTCGTTAATATCCTGCCTATACGTATATGGTTCCAACAAAGAGTTAAGCCTAGCAGATAATCGTTTTAAGGTAAATAGTTTGTGGATAAGTGTTTTATATTATTTGGCGGGGGAGTGCCCATGGATTAGGCTGACCTTGAACGAAAGACCATAATCCTAGGTGGACGAGGAAAGCGAGCCGACAATTGTTTTCAGGAAATATGTTTTCAGGAAACATAGCCTGCCAATATTCGGCTTTATTTTTTAACTGTAAATCATTTCTGTCACAGTTGTATTATCATAACAGAAAAGACACTGAGAATGATAACCCATACTACAATTATACATTTGACTGGAAATTAAATTACGATTCATAAAAGCTTCAGGTATTTTCATCCCAATTGGAGAAAAATATTTTTGAGCCGGTAAATCCATTAAATCCTATTTTATACTAATGTTAAACAGCAATATATAGTGTCCAAAAGCATTGGTATACTGTTTGTATTAATTGTCCTCGTCCAAGCGTCTATCCAGTTACATATTGCAGTCTGTGACGCATTATGTTGTTCAGTTATTTACAATACAGTACAGTACAGATTGGAATGTAATTGTAATGTTGTAATACAATAAAAACCCAGAGCCTATTCCAGAGCCATTGTTTCTTCGCCAGAGGAATCTCGGGGAGGGAACGAGATTGCCTGGCCAAAGGAAATCGCAGGCTCAGTTCTCCTGCTCGTACATTAAAGTCTCCAGTCTCCTTGAAGTTTTTCGACTTCTCAGGCCTAGTTTATACGTCGCATTTTGGTCACGTCGATGCAACTCAAACAATAGATAATGAGGCAATAAACCTCATAAATCTTCGTTGTCTATTTTTTGAATTGCATTTGAGGCGACCAAAATGCGACCTCTGAACAGGGTGTCCTCAAAAGACCCTGGTCATTGAAGTTCATGTGGTCAAAGGTCAGTGATTTCACTGATTTGATGAATATATCATATTCGGATATATTCGACCTTATAAACTCAAATATAATTAAAATGTTCAAATATATACCAAAGATTCATTCCATGAATCAATGAATTAATTTAAAGTAATATGTATTTTTAACTTTTCAAAGTTTATGCTGCAAGGAATTTACAGTTAAAGAAAAAAGGGTTATAATTAATGTACAATTTAAATTTATCAAGTTTTTAATGCATTTTAAATAGAGAATTAATGTGGAAATTTATTATTCTGTTCTTTTTTAATTAGTGTAACTTTGACATTTTCTTTCTCTCATTTTCTTGTCCTAAAAATACACAGTACATCCAGTATACCTGGTAACAAAAGTCAAGGAATGACTACAACATTACTATCAATACTTTATAGAAATCAATGCTGCAATAACTTTTGACACATTCTGATAATTTCCAAATTATGACTCGCCCATGGCAACATGCATGCAGGCTTCAAGGATCAGGCTTGGGTTTTATTGTTTATTAGTGTAGATTGTCGAAGGTTGGAATATCTCAGGGAGCAGCTATATGTCCTCTCCTGCCCCACAGGCTTTACAGCCTGGTAGACACGTAGCTAAATTTCCTGTGGAAGCATTGAGTAAAGAAATCTATGACTTTTGGTAAATTGAAGTCAGTAGACAAAAGTGCAATGCAAGTCATCACAGTCAGTTAATTGTGGATTCAATTTTATAGTATATAAAATGTCAAATACTCATGTTTTATAAAAATCACATTGATCACTCCCAACACACTTGTGTCCTAGTTAACAAGTTATTCATTTTCACTCCATAGCCTAAAGCTGAGCAAAACTGCAAGAATCTAATTGAAGTCACATTTCAACATACAGATAATATATATAATGGCGAGATATTAGGATACAAGTGCAAAGACATGAAATAGAACTAAGACAAACACTCCCTTGTACACAAGATCCAGCATATATTTATGTTCCATTGATGTATATCTATATACAAAAAAAATGATGAAATTTTGTACAATTCTGATGCCAATGGTATTGGTGCAGCACAATATGTTCAATGCTTCAGCATGTTGTGCTATTAATGCAATATACAATTCATATTTCAATATATGAGTTCATGATTTTCATGCTTTTTATATCGATATATTTTGATGTTCACCAATGAAATTACTCATGATTTTAGCACACATCAGGTTGAATAAAACACTAAATGCACAGTGAGCTCACTCAAGTTGTCTGTGTAAACTTGTGTTCCAACACATCATTACACATCTCACTTGATGTATTAATTGTCAACCATTAATATTCTGGGCAGTCAATGGTGAACTGGTTTGTCCACCATCATTTTGCAGATTATTGCATATAAATATTAGGGTTACATAACATTGTAATTACAAAAAGAGTATTATTGGTGAAAGACTATTGTAGGGTGAATTGTTTTAACACATTAATATAGCTAGGGGGTGATTTTATAGCTAGGGGGTGGCTTTATCCCTCAGTTCATTCCAGAAAAGTCTTAAGATGGTCAGATAGGTGTAATCTGATTAATGTATTTTGGTCTTTGGATAAGTGGATGTTGCTGTTGGTGCATGATACCAACTACCAGTGAACCACAGTACCCACTCCCCCACCCGTACGGGTTTCTTTATTACCACATGGCTTACATAATAAGCGTGAAGAATATAATATAATTTTACCTCAATTATGTAATATCTTTACGTAATTATAGGCCACACCATCAATTATCTCGGAGCAAAAGCATTACGGATTCAAAAGGAACGAAATATGCTTCGAAATTAGCGACAAAATTGAACAATAGATGACATGTTTTGGCGCGGAAGTCGCTAACCGGAAGTGCGGTTTGAAATTTCAACGAATAAATGACGCCATCGGCGAGATCTGATTGGCTAATCGCTCCGCTTGAATATGTGTGGCCTGTGTCACAACGTTGTGGTAATGATTTACTCGTAAAAATAAAATTTTTGACCCAAAATACAAGCAAAACAACCCGAATTAACAAGCTGGCTTTTGTATTTCGTCGGAGTTCTTCCCGCTAATGGAATGTCCGCATTTAGAGAAAGCGGTCCAGATCGACGTTTCGCTTGTAGAGAAGTTACAACGGGACATACAGCTGTGGTCTTGTTCAGGTTTGAAAAAACGCCACTGCTCGGCTCCTCGTCTTATAGCAATATCGATCAATTCGTTTCCATTTTTCTCCCGAGTGGGACTTGAGGATTTAAATTGCGATTTTTGTTTCGTTTCGTCTAGCGTGCAAGACTACTAAAAGCCCCTGGATTTGCCTAAAGTGTGGTGTTGTGAATTGTGGAAGGTAGATAGATATATATGTTTACATTTCTTCATATTTAAACATCAATTTGTGTGAAAGCAAATTAGCTATAAAGTTGCTAGATTTCTGCATTGATTCAGAATTCCTACGTGGACAAAATGTGAGCATATTTATTATAAAATATGCTGCATATATTATGCAAGTTTATACCTTGTATCTAAAATCCATGGATTGGATTTTTATGACTATAGCATAATGAATTTATTTTTAAAATTCTCGTGTGCTTGGGAAATATTTCCTAAGTATTTATCCATGTAAATATTCGTCCTTTAGAAAACATGCCATCATTACTTATAAGTCTATAGGGTGTTTTCGTATGTAAATACATTTATGAGAGCATCTATGAATATCTGTCTGTAAATTATTGCAAACCTATCAGAAGCATTGACAGTCATGGCTGTGCAGTGAAATCTTAGTTTTATGCATCTGAGCACAAGATGATTTCAAGATGATTTGTCGTCCAGGAATTTGTAGATAGATCTGTATTTAGGTCAGCCCATAGTTTCGTGCACATGGAGGCGATTACTACTAGTTAGTCAGAAATAAATCCCTTGTTACCATGGTTTCCTTAGTATAACAGCCACTTTTTGTGATGGTAGCTTATAGCACCTATATGGTGCTAACATAGTAGATTAGCATGAGCAAACTGTCTGTAATATTTAATACTTCACATTAATTATCTCATGCTACTCGATCCCTATAAATGATAGGGTGTTTTGCCAGTTGGAAAATAGTGCTAACCAACATAGTGCTGATTTTTATACTGTGCAGCAAATGATATAAAATGCAATATATACTGTGCGCAAACAGTACGGCATGTCTTGTATCAGACTTAGACATGCAGTCTAAATCTAATTCCCCTTAGTCTTGAAAATGTTTTGAAATTTGCAAAAATTATGTATAGACATCATTTATGGCTGTCTTGAGGCTGATTCACATGATGCAATAGACCTTTTTCATAATGATATCAACATAATGATATCAAGTTTGATATCAAACTTCGTGTAACATGAGACTTTCCGCGTTTGATGTCATTGGCTCGATAGTTTTGTGGAGCCAATTAAATTTCGTGTAACATCAGACTTTCTGCGTTTGACGTCATTACAAGAAAGGTCTATTAGTCATACAGTTCTTATGCAGTTATGCTAGTGTATGTAATCAAATGAACCTACAAACAAAAGCTATAATTTCAAGCTTGTTCATCAGTGAATAAAAAACCCTGTAGCATCTGCCCACTTGTTCTCATTTGTCAGAAAGACAAACCAATTAATTGCGCTGTTTGAAAGGAAGATGGTCAATTTGACTATTTAGGGTGATAATAATTACTAAAATGCATATGCTGTGTAGGTATGTGAGTGGACATGGTAAAGCACATTATGAAAGCAATTCAACACATAGCGTTTGTTTGGATCAGAATTTAGCTGTTTTCTGGTAAGTATTGTGACCATAGTTGCCACCTTGTGAAACATTGTATGATGACGCTGTTTAATGTTGTGGGTATCATGTAATATGTTAGCTGCATGACCAGGGCCACTGCTAGAAGCTTAATTGGCGGGGTGTTTATTCATATATTCATGTCCTGACAACCATAGAAACAATAGCTAACAAAAGAAGTCTGGCATCATAAGACGAATATATGAATATGCATGTCCCCAATTAAGCTTTTACCGACAGCCCTGTGCATGACATGTTCCCAGAAAACAATTTGAAAGGTATGTTAATACTTATTAAATATATATCTTTCTATAATGCTTCCAGTTACATATGTGATGAGTTCATAATAAATGATACAAAATCAGGAAAAATTGAACTTTATCGTGAAGCTCTCAGGGCAAAGACGGGAAGAAGGTACTGCAGTGTGCTGTCCTATAAATCTCAATGTTATCAACCTATGATAGTTCTGCTACCATTGATTTTACTTATATGGTTGTTTGAGGTATCATCAACAATCGTTTTGACAATTATCTTTCTCCATTAAAAAAAGGGAGTTTCAACAACAGGGAATGATAGAAATAGATTTACAAAAATGCCAAATAATATTTTGGAAAGCACTAAGCAGAAATTTAGATTATTTGCAATGTTTTTGAAGGAAAGTCAAATTAGTTCTTAATTTTTTTTCAATGACTATAATCCTAAGATGTGATGATGCTTAAACAAATTTGTTTTGTTTTATTATTTTATCAATTTGTCTGCAAAAGGATGTTGGTCCTTAACTGACCCCTCATACAGATGTTAATTGTGGCAAAATGTAAAAATTGCAAATCTCTATTAATAATGTCATTTTATGTAGTCCTTGCAAAAAAAGACTTTCTTCTGAGGATAATGTGCCTAGTTCAAATAAATCTTCAAAACTTGATGATGTAAGTGCTGGTCAAACTTCTTTGTAGCTATATAACTTTTTTAAAATCATGGCATACTGGAAGTTAGCTGGTTGACATGGATTTGTATCAATGCACCCAGATGCATCTTCATGCTTATATTATACTGCTGAGAAGTAGAAATATGTATTACTCTGGTACTGTGTTTTTGGTAGAATATAATTCTTGGCAAATCTTCAAGTTCTTTTTCCTATTAAATTTTTTCAGCAAGAAAATTTGAAGAAGGGTGGTCGACCTCAATATCTAGCTGGTCTTAGAAATCTTGGTAATACATGTTTTATGAACGCTGTACTACAATCTCTAAGGTAATGACTAATGTCAATGTGAAGACAAAGTTGTTCTGTTACTTCTGTATTTTGATATGTATAATAATGATTACATGAAGTCTCGCAGTTGTTGACGATTTCGCCGATTTAATTCCATATAAATAAAGAAACATCTAAAAATATAATATGAAGGTTAAAGATACTTATAACCAAGGGTAACGGTTCAAAATATGAGTATAATAAATGGCGGACTACGGTAAAGATTGAACCAGATACTGTTGGATTTTGGATTTTAAAACACTCTTCGAAAAGAATCAAATATGTTTTTTCAGTTTGCCTATGGTTTGCCTTTCATTTGCGGGCTCAACTAGAGGTATTGATTCACAATACACATTAAGATAAGTGGCTATGTTGAATCATAATCATAATCTGTAATATCAACTGGAACGCTAACTCTTATAGTTCAGCGTAATATTTGGTTGAAACCAAAAATCAAATTAAAAAACTGAGTTTTTGACTCTGTTTCCCGTTCCATTCTTCCGATTCCAGAATTCATGCAATGTGAAAAACGTTAAAGACGAAAGAGATTTTTTCATGCCGACCTTGCGGCGAGTAATCAATTGTTAAGAATGCGGAATTGTTGTTCACGAGCTTTGAGAATAAAGCATGTTTATAGTATAGGAATTCAATCGAGAGCCATCAGTGTTTTCTTATGAAAACTATTTTACCTCCATATTATGTAATTATACCATTTATTCGATGAAATTAGTCAGTCGTATACGATTCTTATCCTAACGTATTTGCTTATAATAATTAAGCAGCATCTGCACTACTTTTTATTCATCATAATGAAAATGGGGTCGTGTGAGTTTGCTTTTATAAGGGTACGTTTACAGATGGCGTACACGATTCGTCTTCTGGCGTATGAGAATTACCAACAGTGACGCTATATCTCACAATTGTCATATACGGCATATAAGTTATAGGATATATCATAATGCTCATCTGAAATTTCTATAATTCTGCAACCAATTCATTCTTCCATTTCTTTACGAACAGCAATATCCCACCATTCACTTGCTACTTCAAAGAACTTCCCGCCATTGATTTGCGGAGCGAAGACGCGTGTGCAAAGCAACGATATTACACGCGTAGCTTCAGGATGAAGAACATTGACGATGTGTAAGTTGGCTTCGATGATTATTTAATCCTGTCCTAGTCTGGTATACCCCTGTTTCACACGATGGTGTAATTTTCCTCCTCATCGTCCCAGCCAATTTGTAAGCAACAATCCTGGACAAAACTGTTAATAAAAATATTTGAAATCATAAAAATATTGCTCTTATTAATCCAAAGCAAGTGTTTTCCCACCAATTAACAGGTTTTGTCCACGATTGAAGCGTGTTGAGAGGCAGCCGTTAGGGGAGTCACAATAACGGCCTAATACTCTCTGTATACAATTTCCCACCAGATAACACTCCTGTAATTTTGTGTGCCGAATTTCCAACGATGTGTACCGAAACTGATCATTTTTACTACGCAGATTGTTTTCTAATCATTCAATTACAATATACCAATATTCAGGTCTCTAGTGGAAGAACTAAGGAAGATTTTATGCGCATTGTGGCAGGGTCAAAGTGGTCCCATTTCTCCGGAAACGTTATTTTCAGTCGTTTGGCGCGTGGTTCCAAGATTCAGGTAAATATTTGTTAGTCGTACTGAAAAGCACTTAAAACATGCCCTTGCAGTGAAAATTTCAGTTCACTTCTCTTGTAGTGACAATTTAAACAAGCTGATTTTTCTCAAATTTTGCAATGCGAAATCTCACCGTTATCTAGGGGCTACCAACAGCAAGATGCGCATGAATTCATGCATTACCTGCTGGACAGGGTACATAACGAACTGTTGCTCACAAAAATGGCTTGCAATGGCAAGAATACGATAGTCACTGGGATATTTGGAGGCATTTTGGAAAGTCAAGTGAGTTGAATTAACTAGAACGAAGCGAAAAGGTTTAGTTTATAACTGGGTTTTGAATGTGAGTCAAAAAGAAGAACGAATTACTTTATTTTAACACAAGGGAAGAATCTTGTGTGTTGAAATCCAGGAAGAACATTCATGGGTGCATGAAAACCATCTTTAAGTGGTGATTTACGCTGGCAAAATCCTCGGGTGGATTTTCGCCACTAGGATTCCGTGATTTTGTCGCAAGGATTAGAGCAATTGCATGGATCCGAGATTAGTGTTAATTTTAGGATTGAAGCTCGGATTAACAGATAACGTCATTAGAATGAGGTTTGATATTAGGCTAAATCCTGTGTTAAAATGCAGCTCGTAAATTAAGTTGAGAAAAAGCGCGTTTTTGTTCAGCACCCCGGCTAAACGTTCATCCCTTCATGATGATGAGCTCAATAGTGATGTAGTTTGTGTGATTTTCGTAGGTAAACTGCTCCAGGTGTGGGAATGAATCAAGAAAACTAGATCCATTTTTAGGTAAAGAAAATCGCAAATCAATGCGTGCAATTTCAGTTGCGGGAATTTGAACATTTCTGTCTAAACTATCTTGTATGATGTGGAGTCGTGAATTTGAATTGTGATCTGTTGTAATTTATAATTTATTTAAATTTATACAGATCTTTCACTCGATATTCCGGAAGAATTTCAGTCACGCAAAACAAGACTGTTCGATGGTCCAGCATGTCATTTAAAAGGTATGATAAAATACATTTGTGCTTCATTTAAAGTCTGGTCCTATTTAAAAAATGCCACGAATCCTCATCATGAGTATTGTCTATTGTTTCCAGATTGTCTGGATAGTTTCACTAAGGTGGAGGAACTGCAGGAGAGCGAGCAATATTTCTGTCCACGTTGCAAGAAACGACAGATTTCAACGAAGAAACTCACTATAAAAAGACTTCCAAATGTAAGTGACCACGTTCGGGTAGTTCCCTTACCTGTGTGCTTTTAATTATTTTTTTAATTTGTGGCGCAAGATATTTTCTTACAAACAATGATGCATCTATTTCAGGTTCTCTGTCTCCATCTAAAGCGCTTCAAGTTTGTCTCATTTCATCGTAGCAAGGTCGACACAACAGTCGAGTTTCCATTAGAAAATTTAGATATGAGTGACTATGTTCTACCTGGCGTGGTAAGTTTGGGTTCGTTTTCTTCTGGTATCCCCTTAACCGTGATATAACATTGACGAAATGAACGAGCTACAATATTTATTCCAAATTCTCATACATTCAAGCGGATTTAAAAGACCCATGGTTACACGGTGCAATTCGTATGTAAGCTAGTTTGGAATGTAAGCGTATAAGAAACGTCCATGGATTATAATAAACATAAAGTAGTTGCCAGCATTCGTAGTTGTTGTAGATTGTAGAATTGTATTGCAAGTTGCATTTAAAATTGCACCGTGTAAAGCCCATTTTCCACTAAGCGAATATTTTCGCGCAACGCGAAGCGATATGTGAAATCCGGTGATGTGCGCGAAAAAGTAGAATCGCTTCCTACTTTTTATCTTTTCGCGCGAATAAATTCGCCTAGTGGAAAACGGGCGTAACAGAGCCCTAATTCGTACAGCCTTAAATCGTACAACTGGACAATCGTACAGCTTTTAATCGTACCCCATTACATTGTATTTAACCACGCTTTTACATGAAAGTTGTAAAGAATGAACCAACTTAGTTTTTACTTCGGACATTTATTACATTGCAGAGAGATAGTGGTGATGACAATGTATGTACGTATAATTTGGCAGCCGTTATCGTTCACCATGGCAGTGGGTGAGTTCCTAATCTTTGCGACCGGATGTTTGAATTGTTTTACAATTTAATTTCATTATTTTCGTTTTGTTCGCTTTTAGCGTAAATTCTGGACACTACACGTCCCTCGCGTGGCATGATGGTAAGAGTAATTTGTCGACATGCATTGGTAAGGTCGAATATACCGAAATATGGTATATTCGACCTTGGTAGCTAAGATCTCGAATGTACTGGAATATGGTATATTCGAACTTGGTGAAATCGAGTATACCGAACTATGGTATATTCGACATTAGTAATGTACCTGAATATTTTGTATAAGGTCAAATATAACGGAATATGGTATCTATGTTCGACATTGGAAAAGTCCAGTATACCAGAATATGGTATAAGGTCGAATATACCGGAATATGGTCGAATATACCGGAATATGGTCGAATATACCGGAATATGGTCGAATATACCGGAATATGGTCGAAAATACCGAGATATGATATATTCGTCCTTTGTAAAGTCAAATAAATTATACCTGATATATGGTACTTGGTATATTCGAAATATGGACCGCCCTAGAAGTTCAAAATACCGCATCAGTCAGCCAAAATTCGGAATCAACACATAATATAACTCATATGTTAAATCATAATACATCTTTTGCTTTTCATTAAATTCGAGTATAAACGAGCGATATGCTTTCTCACCCCCCTCGCAGGTAAATGGTACAACTTCAACGACAGTTCCGTTTTACCTTCGGATGAAAAGCACGTGGAGTCCGTTAAAGGATATATTTTCTTCTATACGAAATCTAAACCAGACAATTCCATTATTGAAAAACTAACACCTTTAAGCTGAAATAGGCACATCTTAAACTTTGTAAATACGTATATATATAGCTTCACTGTTTCATTGTAAATACCAAAAAAAAATCGGTATAATATGAATACAATTGAAAACATTCACATTCCGAATTCCTCTTCACCAATTGTAAAATTTTCTTAGATTTCACATTTATATAGTTACGTTAAATTTATATTCTATTTTTGTAAAAAGTATTGTTTTATTTGTGTTGAAAATTCGTGGTTTTCACTTGCAAGCTGGCCTGAACCACAAATTAAATATATATAGATCAGTGGTTCGCTTTTTGGTTTATGCATGGGTGCCTTCTTGGGTCCCCTAGTTTTGCTTCTATTTCTGTCATTTTATAAACTTTTTTGGTCAAATTATTTGTTGATTCTGGCCGAGTTTTGCTTCTATTTTTGTCATTTTTTTTTTAAACTTTTTTTGTTCATTTTTTTTGTTTTTTTATCTACCAAGAGATTCACTTCTCTGTCTAGATAGAAATGGGTTCTGAGACTGTTATATATATATATATACCGTTAGCCAGACCACTGTGGCCAGACGTATTCTCCTACGCAAACAGTTTTTGCACTTAGCATGCATGCATGCATAATATATAACCAGAAACACGAACGTGGCGTATACATACTTAAAAACTTTTCTTTGACGTGAAAAATTTCATTTAATTTTGAAATTTCATCAAAATATCAAGACTTATAACAAAAGACCATTTCTTTGGGACGTGATTTCAAAGGAACGTTTGGATTCGGTCATGCAGGCTAATATTTCTGACGAAGACGTTCGCTCAGACACCTGCTGTTAACTTTTTATACAAATTGACGTGCACGTAACGTAAGACCGCTTTCGCCTTGCAAAGTAAATGTTCCGCCAAGTAAATATGGTGCCCGTATTTTTATTGCAATTCCATGCATTTCTGTTTACTGTTCTGTTTATTGTACAAATGTGACGAGAAATATTTTCAACTCCGGCTCGAGTTTTAATTCGCCATTTCCCAATCGAGCAGAGTACTGGGTAACCGCAAAGCATCTATGGACTGTTTGGAGAGACAAATGATTTTAGACTTATATTTCCTGTCTCTCCAAAAAGTCCCTAGATGGTTTGCGGTTACCCAGTACTCTGCTCGATTGGGAAATGGCTAGTGACAAATCGAGACTTGACCTTGACGTTCGCGACTAGACCCAGTACCCTGCTCGATTGGGAAATGGCTAAATGACCGTCGAACATGTTTAGAAATTTGTATTAAAAACATTTGGAAACTACGCGTTTGTATTTGTAGAGCCGATATTCGTGTTAAGCCACTTCGCAAACATGGCCAATAAACTGTTTTTTAAAAACAGCCCACCTCGAAAATGATACACAATAGCAACAGCTTTTGCGTTGTAGCGATGTTTTGCATGTGTTGTTTTGACTGATGTTCATACAAATTTGGGCAACCACTAAAACATGTCACTAACGCCCCCCGACAGGTATTTCTCCTGAACGAAAGTTAAATAAAGGTTTTAAAGGACATTGGCAACGAAAATTTTTATTTGCCAAATCTGTTGAAATCATCTAGGAAATACTTAATTTAATGTTTTTGTGTGTCTATCGTATTTGGTTCTTAAGAAAATTTCCAAAAATGTTCATCGGTGGTCCGCCATTTTGAAAATCGAGCCTTATGCTAATTTATGCTAGCATACATTTGTGACGTCATTTGATGGGTTTGGGAAATATGATTATATAAACTATTGTTGTATTCTCATATGGCAACTTGAAAAACGTGGTAAAATAGAGTATAGAGGGGGGACAGAATCAAATACCTATGCAAAATTAATGCATCAACATTGCGGGGACATGTTTTTCAAAATATTTGGAAGAGAACATTGAATATGAACTATGTACACACATATTTACACATGCAGTGCACGTCGATACACAACAGGACGTTACGGTGGCAACACAACACAACTAATAACCAATCTCCCAAAGTTTAGAATTCTACTTATATTTAGATTTATACTAAAGCTAAGGCGCGCATATTTTCCCCTGCTAACAATTTTACTATATTTTAGCATAAACAAGACGCCTTTTCTGGCGTTAACTCCGGCGTGCCGCGCACGTGCTAGTCTTCAATATAAAGGCTCTGAACATAAACAATACTATGGAATGCCATAGCTGTCTTACGTGGTATATATTCATCATATGCGGTGCTTTTGTCTCTATAAGCTGTCCTTTTGACATTATATGCGGTGCATTTTTCTTTATATGCTGTCTTTTGACATTATACGCGGTGCGTTTCTCTTTATATGCCGTGCAATTGACATTATATGCGGTGCATTTCTCTTTATATACCATGCAATTGACATTATATGCGGTGCATTTTATACAGTTCATATTCATTTAGATGCCTTGCAAACCTAAATGTTGTTCGATCGCGAAATTCAGAAGCTCATTGTACTTTAAAAAGTATAGAAGTTTAATTGTTCAAAAATGTAAATAAACCGCATGATACGTTCACTTTGTCTTACACTTTGGAATTCGTGCTTTATATATTAAATCTTCAATCCTGTGCAAATTAACTGCGACGTGTCAACGCAACCATAAGTGATCATATCTTGTTAAACGGCAAAATAGCAGCGATAATATTAAAATAGGACCAGAATCTACATGTATTTAATATATTCTTTCCCCAATTAAATCGAAACTTAATCGAACAGCATCAAACGCACGGTTTATTTGTTCCTTTTAGAGGAATTGCCGTATCATGTGAGAGAAATCAAATGAACATGTCATACGACACGACAAATATTATTTGAGTGACCACACGACGAAGCGCGAGTTTGCGAAATGTTCGTATTCGTCGTACTCTAGTGCTTTTTCATAGCAGCAATAACATTCTACAGCCCTTGTTAATAATGCGCAATGTCCACCACATTTACACCAAGTAAGTTTTTCAAGGCGCCCGCATTCGCTATTTCGAACTCGCGATCGAAATCTTCGTCAGAGGAAGATGAATCACTACCGTTTTCGGCATCGCTATCGTTAGATATATATCACAAGATTTTCCCTGCGCCTCTGGCTCATATTGGTAGGGCAACACTTCCTCTAACTGCATGGTTTTCGTTAATATGTTCCATGACAATCATAAAAAAACTACAACTCCCTTTTTAAAGCAAAAAATCTCGATAAACACAGTAAACACGCTAGTAAAATATATTGATGTGTTTAGGGAACCCATCAAATGACGTCACTTCCGCCAAATATAATTTTTTCAAAAATTGATCCAATATGGCGGACGAGGTCCAAATTTTGGCTGAATTGTGGTGAAAATAACTCATAAACGAAACATTTTTGGAATAAATTAACACCATATCCATAATTAGACGGTTGAACACTTTAAAAATAGCGAATAAAAATTTTCGTTGCCAATGTCCTTTAATTAAACTGACAATTATCTAGTGTTAAAAAATGAATAAAGTGTCTGTATACTTTGAATACTAGACGATCGTAATATATTTTATATTTAGGGAGTAAAATAAACTTTACCCATTTGGAATTGATATAATTAGAATTTAGCGTAGTTTTAGACTGATGATGTTGTCTTAACGTAAGACTTTTGGAAAATTTTAACTACCGCTAAATTTATAGCATTCGTGTTCCATATAGGAAATCAATCTAGTCAATAATCCAGTCTATATAGCTGTTAGTTCCTAGACGTATCCTAGATGCAAATGGTAACCCTGAACGTTTAGAAAGGCAGAATTTGACGCGTCACTCTTTGGAACACTTAAAAGTCGGAATATTTTTCGTTTATTCTAAAATGCAGGTAGATCGTGCTAAATTTTCTCAATCGACCAATCTCGGGCCGCGAAAGTCCTAAATGAATTCATTCGAATTGTCGTCGGAGAAAAACACCTCAATGCTTTATAACGCGATTCAACAACACTGCCTTTCTACGGCATCTGCTATCGCTAAATTCTTGAAATGTATTCTCGCTCATTGTTTATATTAATACGAGAACGTACACATATCACATTTTATCTCCAAACCTATGACGGCAATATTGAAACCCGTGCTATCTCGCACCTCAGCCACAAATTTGACAAATCACCTCTGCTATCGTTTCGTATCGGTTACAAAATGACTGCAAGGCTCTCGACTCTTGCTTTTTTTCTTTAACCTCGCTGACCGCCGCGGTTTTTGAGAGGCTATTACTAATTTATGATCGTCCTTGAACGCCATCCTGTCAACCAATCGGGAGAATATTTAATAAAAGCGAGGTCACGGCCCGCCGCGTTTAGTTGCTAAGGAAAACAAATTAGCGTTGAAGTTGTGCGAGAACGCTGTGTACACTTTGTTCTTGGGTATTAAAAGGATTTTGAGACAAATAGTGAAATAGCTTTCAAGGCATGGACATGTCAACGAGGCCTCGACCGTGAATCGGCTACATAAACCGGCGATTGCCGTTGTATCGACGAGAATCTCTGCTGGCAAGCAGTGTCCCGCGGCTCATTATCCGGCAAATTAATATCACAGAACGATTCTGTGACAACTGCAAAAGGCTTCGGTTTTCGATCACTTCGTTATCTCGAGTTTGAGGTTTATTTAAAGTTCATGCGTGCTTCAAGCTTGTTTACAAGTTGAGGTGAAACTTCGAGCGTTATCTCATAGCTGTGTCTGGCGAACTACAAGCTCTCTCCTATAAACATCAAGGATATACAATATATTTCATGTGTAAACCCGTGTGGGCCCGTTCGTGTTCCTTTGACATTCCCCAGATGTAAGTCCTTCAAGATATCTGCTCGATAAGCTCTCGAGCGAAAATCGTTATGCGTAATCATGTTTCATCGGCTAGAAGAAACTCGATAGTGGTCCTCTCCGCGACTGGACTATTTGTTATATTGCTTGCAGCTGCGTATGCTAGATCGGGACTGTTGTTTTCCAGCGAATCGCTGTCCGATAAAAACGTGCAAGAGCCGGCAAAGAACAGTCGCGTGCGTCGTAGTTTGACATCAAATGGAACAAACTCGACAAATAGCGATGAAGATGATACCACAGCGAGGAGAGACGAATATCCGGACGACGTATTCTCGTTGGAGCAAAAGCAACGTGGTGCAGTAATTCTACACGTTCTCGGACTGTCCTACATGTTCCTAGCCCTAGCAACCGTCTCCGACGAGTTTTTCATACCAAGTCTCGAAGTCATAACGGCAGAATATGGCGTGTCGGAGGACGTCGCAGGCGCTACGTTTATGGCGGCTGGGGGAAGTGCACCTGAACTATTTACGTCTGTAATCGGTGTCTTCGTAGCCAACTCGAACGTCGGCTTTGGCACTATTGTTGGCAGCGCTGTATTCAATGTGCTGTTTGTGATTGGTATGTGCGCGGTTTTCTCCAAGGGTGTACTTCATCTAACGTGGTGGCCGTTATTTCGCGATTGTATCTTCTACATGATCGCTCTAATCTTGCTCATTACCTTCTTCGTGAACGGCCGTACCGACGAAAGCGCTAGCTCTGAAATTTACTGGTGGGAAGCGGTCACGTTGATGGTCTGGTACATCGCTTACGCCTTGTTTATGAAATACAACGTGCAAATTGAACAGTTCGTTAAGAAGCTATTGCCGAGAGGGAACCGGATTGCGGACGACGATGCCTTTGTTCTATCCAGCAGGACTAGCTCGAAAGACACAGACGCATATGTTCAGGTATGGATAGCCTAATTACAACTCGATCATAATATTCCCTTGCCTTTATAGTATGTGAGTATTACTGTGTATTTTGCGCGACAAGATTTTTGTTAAAGATTTCCTTTGTGAGTCGCCTTTAGACGAAAAATTCTATTTCTTGCCGAAGACAATTTGTCCCCTGCATGTACGGCGTACTGTCCGACTTCGGGATGATCCATGGTATTAAATTAATCTTGTATTTGACCACCTTTGAGACAGTTTGTGAGCGTACAGCAAGTCTTGAACAATGGAAAGATGAAGGAGGATTACTTGTCTCTCATAAATCCATTGTTGGCTATTCATTATAGTGTTGAAACCCTCATACAAACCCCTATAGGGTATACAGGCCGCGTGTGGTTCTACAGCCGCTTTTTCACCACGAAACATTCTGGGAAAAAAATATGGAAAGTCTTGCAGGAACTACAAAGTCAAGACATATCATTTGGCACTATATAAATACTGAGTGATGTCTTAATTAATTTTCCGACCTTGCATGCAGTGTCGTGCAAATTACATGCTTGGAAAGATACCGAAAAAATTCGCCCTACCACCGGCGCTTGCCGTTATGCCCGCACTAATTCTCCTGTTAAAGTCATTCATTGCATATAATGTGAAAAGTTAATGTATAAATTTTTGTCCATCTTAAACCATTCGCTTGTATTTTACCAGTATATGAATGCAAACCCAACTGCTTTTTATTATTTAAAGAATTTTTTCTTTCATTAACTTTCTTACGAATAATGATTTCAAGACTTTTTAAAACGAGTGCTCGAGTAAATTCGTTGTCATTCACTAACGAAAACCTGAGTTCATATATGGAAACATATTCTAATGTTTTTCACAACACAAATGACACAGGAAAAGATTAAAAGATTAATGCTGCATGCATGTTAACTCGTTAGGACATCATCAGCTCCTTGGTAATTTCCTGAACCCAAGTTTGAAGTCATATTTATGTATTTATTCATGTTTTGATGTATAAATTTATGCTCATTTGCACGTTATAGTCTATACTGACTATACATGTCTCAAAAAAAACGAAGACTATTGAAATCACCCATAACCCATGATTTCAATAGTTCTCGTTTTTTTGAGACACCCTGTATATAGATACGTTTTAATTCGAGCAAACCCATTTTAAAACATGGTTGAATTTTATCCATTACCACATTTATGCCTTTTTATCAGTTACGTTGTAATACTCTTGAAGTATTTACATGTTAAAAATGTTGAAGTATTTTAATTTTTCCTGCTGGTTTTACAGCCACATGCGTCTGCACACGTTCCATTCGATTATACGTATTATACTCGACAGTAAGTCTGCCACCTTTAAAAAAACGTTAAATAAAGCAGCAAGTAAATATAGTGTATGTGATTGTTATACGTAGCTATATATGCATGGCATTTTGAGTGGAATCGAAATTGCGTGGAAACTGCGCGATTATATATCTCCTGACTATTTAAACAAATGTCAAATAAATGAGGACGGCGTACACAGAAGCATAAACATTACTTGAAAAAATTAAAAACACTTTGTGACTTGGTCAAGATTTTGTGACTTGGCCAAGCGGATTAATTCAGGGATTTTTTTTCTCGGTGAGGATTATTAACTGTGTCTGCTTTGCACGTAGCAAATATATAAACGCAATTTTTTTATTAGAATTAGATTACGCCATTCGTGGCTATATGTTTCGTACCTGTATGTCGCAAAGTTCAGCATTAAAAATTAAGAAAAAATATTTATATATATACATATATATTTACATAACTGAAACACGCTGAAATTATAATTTTTTTAAGAAGGTAACAAGAAAAGACAATCGATTATAAATTACAGGCTATTTGTAATAGCACCAGAATCTAAAACTATATTCAGGAAAAACCAGCGGTTAGTTTGAATGTATACATTCCCGCGGTCATAATTTAACTGATATTTCTACTATAATTTTATGTTATTTTTTAAATTCCAACGGTATAGCCTATAGGGCTATAGGTTATAGCACAAATATACTGATTATTCTTTTACTGAATGCTCTATCGTATAGTTTTCCGGATGTTTGAGGCTTCAGGTAATATCGCGTGAGACATCTGCAAACTTGAACACTCATTTTGGCGTGTGATGTCATACGTGAGTTGCATGTTTACATTCTGCGGAAATCTTTTTTCCAAGATATTAACACCGAAATGAAAATTTAGGTTTGATTGAAATCTCCGAATTCATGATCAGTGGAAATAACATTGCGCAAAATCTTCAATAATTTATTTGATTCTTTGAACTCTCCGGAAAGAAAATTGTTAGCAAATCCTTTGCCTTCGTCGACAAAATAGTTGTCAAATCACGATCGCGGTACGGGGAGTTCAATTTCAGCTCCATCGCGAAAATAATGTCAATATTCATGTCTATATATGGCCCCTGATTTTAGACGTTCCATAATTCACTGTCACTACATGATAAATACCAGTCAGCGATGTGAGTTTGCATTTTTTTTTTGGTCCTGATTTTCACAAGATTGCGCTAATAATTCCCCATAAAAAAATGGCGGCGGTTTCGATCTTGAGAGCAATTCTTCGCAAATTTAAATAGCGTTAACCAATACCAATTTTAAGATGTTCGACAATTCACTTCAATTCAGCGTGGACGTGCTAATTTTGCCTAACTTTACCTAATTTTGTCAACAATGGCAAAACTCCCATAACGACATTTCGTTATCAATACGCTAGCTGTTTCTTAGAAAGAATACTTGAATTTCAACAAAAACCTCATTCTTGCCTACACAAGTTCCAAGCCGATTCCGATGTGACATTTTATATTATTTTGTTCTCGTAACCGATTTTCATTTTCCAAGAATTGTCAATTATACATAGCTACGATCGACTTGTGCCAATCTTTTTTTATCATAGCAAATTTTGTTTGTGTAAGTTCAGAATAATTCATAGCTGTCTAAATTGTAAGCTTTCGTAGCCTAAGGTAAACCATATCTGGTATATTTGAGTAACTCAAAGGCTTAAACGATTAAACTATAACGACAGTAATTCCATTTGATTTTTAGAAAGCTTTGGAATATATGAAACGCAATGGAAAGGAAGGACAATGTTTCCGTTTCGGGGTGCTGCAGTTGGTCATGCGCACAATTGATCCTCTTCGAGAAGGTAAATCAAACGTTTACAAGAAAAATGGCCAGTTTGAGAGTGTGTGCGTAGGATGAAAAGAAAAAAATATATATAAAAGGCAAAGGATTGCACATTCTCTTATAATCATGGTGTGACATAAAAATTTCAAATTTACCTTTTGATAGTATTATGAGGATGTTTTTCACGTTATTCGGGGTTACCGGGGGAGGGGGAAAGGGCCCTAGAGGGGACAAAAAGGTGCACTTTCACCACAATTCACGTTTAGACTAGTTTTGGTTTCAAAGCTTCAGAGATTTTAAGTTTAAAACTTTGGGGACAAGTCGCAGCTCTTGGAAGCTTTCGTCCAATTGGACAATGCTTTCAGTCTATGCTTTCTGAAGAACGAAGCTATGCTATTGGCCGAAACAGAAATGTCTTGTAAAGTTCAGCCAATAAAAATCATTCTTGCGAGGAGCTGCGACACTACCCAAACCTCGGGCATGTACTGGGGGTGTGCAAACAGACTTCAGCAGAACAATATTAGCTAAGCTGAATCCTATCATCGTTTTCAATAGTTTCCGTGTGTGACTTGGCCATGGAAATGGAGACGATCAGCCACAAGAACCGTACGACGGCAACTAAAACCGCATCACAAATGACGTTGCTGCAAGCCGACCAACTGAGCGTCGGCAACGTCACTTTACCTAACAGCACATTCACGACTAGCACAACATCTTCTAAGTTGTCCGCTGACAATCTGCGCCTGCACACAGCTTCTGTTTTGACAACGAGCACCGGTATAACGACGGAGAATGATGACGAGAGTTACCTTCAAATTGCTCAGCCAAAGGGATCTTTTGACGAAGGTTCTGACTCCATAGTAAGTACATTATAGAAAACCTTTATAAAAGTTTGCGTTATGACGTAGTCTGCAGAGGAAGCATGTTTCTGATTGGCTAATGTGATGCACCCATCGAGGTGACCAATCAGGAACATGCTTTATCTGCAAGCTATATCACAGCTTCGACCTTTTATAAAGTTTAACGAATAGCTTTCGATGTCAATTATGTTGTTGCAAAATTCTAAGGAGGAGGCATATCTTGAAACTCCAGTGAAATAAAACAATGACATCGCACTAGGAACACCTCTTTTTGCTATGAAGTGTGTGGAGGTGAAGGTGGTCGGGCTCCCATTTGACAGTGTTAACGCCCTGCTCTGTCCCATTGAGAGTTGGACCAAGACCCGGGATTATAACTGTTAAAAGGTGTAAACGTGCTATAAAGGACGTCAAGGATGGGCTTAGTCGTTGTGCTGCATAAGTTGTGTGTAGATGCAAGGTTTGTTAGGAAATCAGGGCTACCCAGACAAAAATCACTAACCGGTGGTTAGCGCTAATATAATCCAGTCTTCGTACAACCGGCCTCAAAAGTTTCAAAGAAAGAATTGTTTTGTTTGCGCGAATTTTGTTGAAATATTTCATTTTCATTATGATATGAACTCGTGTTCAACACTGTTTCGACCAGAAAACTCATAAGTTTGATCTGAGTTATATAATTAATGTTTTAGCAATAAACAATTTTTGAAATTAGCACTAAATTGACCCGATTAATTATTCACAATTCGAATGTCGCAAATACTTTATGCATGACTTAGCCTTTTAATAAAAAAAATTATACACGAGAACTTTAATCTTAATTAAAACGTATCTGTTAAACTCAACTCGTAAATTCTAATCACAATTTGGTGGCAACTTTCAGTTTTCGAATCTTACGCAGGCTGTATTCTAAAAGCTTTCTCGCACACAAACGTATTGAGCTCAATTTTCTCCTGACGTTTCCTTAACGATATTTCCATGGGGATAAGAGCTTTTGAAGAGCTCAGTTTCTTACCTTTCTATATCAGTCTCTTATCTTTCTTTAAAACAAAAAAGAACGTTCTTATTGATCAGTAATAACAAATTTTTTATTCGGCACCTTGCGAATTTTTCTGATGTCGTCATGAAATAACGATTATAGTAGAAAATGCTTTCTAATTTGATGAATTTTGTATTTTCATTCAGATCTCAAGTTTTCTCTGCTGCTTTTTAAACATGGCCTTGCATGTACATTCGAAAGCTTTAAGTGTGAATAATTGAATAGTTTTCCGGAAGGTTTCTTTCGGATTTTTTCACAAACTCTTAATGGGCATTTATGTTTGAAGCCCTAATGAGAATTTATTAAAATCGCTATTGGCAGGGAAATTCCATATTCATAATAACTTCGAAGCAGATGTGCTATTGTTTATCAAAAGGTGTAATGAAATAATCTATTAGGCTTTTCCAGGTGGTCATACTAAGTTTAATTTCTCTTGCTTTGTTTAAACATATTTTGCCTTCTGTATTGATCGTTGCTAAGCCATTAGCATCTTTCATAAGTACGGTATTAAGAATTTTTCATCATTTTCCAATGCGTCCAGTCTGGCGCCAACCATACAATGGCGCTTCGTTGTCGTGTGATTAAATTTTCTATTACTTTTACATCATACGTATCCATATCCGTTCTATATTCAACCAAATCATCCGATGAATGTTGCTACACCTCCTCCACCGACACAGAAAACAACGCCAGTTTCATATCATGATGAGATGCTCACGGGCGCACCTCCCATGCATTTTAATTCCTGCGTAGCTACGTTTCTTTTTCTGCCCAAGCTTCGAGATCTGTGCTGCGTGTGCTCCTTTGTAGAAGCTATGCCAAAAGAAAAATGATAAACCAAAAATATTTTGACTATCTCCATGTCATCCAATTATGATCACCAGATCAGAATGTTCCATTGTTTTTTAACTGTTTTGAATATCTCGCTGTCCTGCATGTCATCATCCAGTTCTGATCCACAGATCAGAATGTTCCATTGTCTTTTAACCGTTTTGAATATCTCACTCTCCTGCATGTCATCATCCAGTTATGTTCAAGAGGTCAGAATGTTCCATTGTCTTTTCGTGGTTTTGAAAGTTTGACTGTTCTCCGTGTTCAGAATGTCCAATTATTTTTTAACTGTTTCGAATATCTTACTGCCCCACATGTCCTTATACTGAGATATGATTCAGTCATTCAGTGTATATATAGTTCAGTGTATGTATGTACATGGTTATCTTTTTGCGCTTGCTAGTTATCAACAAATTTGTCCCCTAGGCAGAACTACCGGAACCGCTGGACCTCTCCTGGCCAAAGAATTTGAAAGACAAAATTGTTTACGTCATTCGAGCTCCGATATTGTTTGCGCTCTACGTCACATTATCTGACGTCAGAAAACCGGTAAGACTATAACTGTAGTAGGTTGTTATGATTACGACACCTTTTCATAGTTCATATCACAACGTCCCTGAACACAGCACTAACCAAATGTAATGTGCATTAAAAACGTGTGCATTAGGTTTTGGTTCGTTTTTCGCTGACCTTCAATTTGTGGCGAGTCCTCAACGTTCTATCTCTCTTCCTTACTTGCCAAAAGTGACGAAATTATTACGCCTAGGTTGATTTCTGCGGCCCAATTTCCCCTCTATATCCAAGCAAGCTATATTCTCTTAATTAACTTGCATGGAAAGTTTTCTGATTTCTGGTGTTCAGTTTGTATAGTGTATTTCTCAAAAGCAACGATTTCTATTCTGTATGTATTTGATGAACAATTTTCGTTCATCACAAACAATAGATCAGGCTCTAACTACATCGCGATAATTTTCATGTTATGCCAATAGGCATGCTTCCTGTCTACTTATCGTATTCTTTATTTCGTATTTTCGCGATGCATTGTGGTGAATTGTACATGCTACCATATTTTTTGTTGTTCTCAATCGATGTTCATCCTCTTTCATTACCATTGACCTTCTTTTTCAAACTCATGCAGAATAAACGGCGTAGATATCCCTGGACGTTTTTTGTCTCAATCCTATGGATTGTCGTGTTTTCATATTTCATGGTCTGGTGGGCTAAGGAGATATCCGTAACCATGGAAATCGATGACGAAATAATGGGGCTGACTGTGCTAGCAGCCGGAACTAGTATCCCGGATCTTATCACCAGCGTCCTCGTGGCGCGCAAAGGATACGGGGATATGGCAGTGTCAAGCTCAGTGGGCAGTAACCTTTTCGATGTAACAATTGGGTGCGTATATATAATTTACTTTGTTACAAAATATTGAAGTGAATGTGGATAATTAAAATTCTAACCTCTCAAAAATGTGCTGTAGTAAACTTGCTTTTTCTATGCATATCTTTCTAGGCTCCCATTACCATGGCTTATATGGAGTATCATGCACAGCGGTGATGCTTTCGAAGTGGTGAGCAGCGGGCTCTTTTGTTCGACCATCATGCTCTTCGCGATGTTACTCACGGTGATCATCTCAATAGCGGTATGCAAATGGCAAATGAGCAAAACATTGGGCGGGCTCATGCTTGTTTTGTACTTCTGTTTCGTTGTATTTTCTGTGCTCCTGCAGAAAGACGTTTTTCAGTGTGATTTCTGATGCCCTGGGCGTCTTTTCGTTCGCTGGATTTGTTGTCAGAATGATAGAATCATTTAAGCCGGTCAGTGAGTGAAATTTTTTTTCCAAACCGAATCGATTTCCAAGTCAAATAATTGTATATCATGCGGTAAATATACTTTGGATTCTGCGGGCGGCTGACCTAGCGTGATTTTAAACTTTGCGATATTTCAACGCTTCGCCATCAGCGTCTTCTGATTACCTTTACAATGGTCGTTCGTAAACTTTGTCGAAAAACTAATTTATTTCTTAGAGCGAAGGCGGAACGTAGCAATTCCGTGATAATTTATTGTAGTGTTGTTAGGAAATGGAAGACTATGCAACGAATTTTTGTAGAAAATGCATAATATTTATGCCAGTACGAATTATTTATTTCCGTTGAAAAATTGACCTTTAAAAGTGTCGATTAGTTCAGTTATCGTCAGTGACAGTGTAAATAATCATTATTTACGTATTAATATTGAAAATGAATAGTTGTTAAAAGATTCCTATGTATCAGTCCACGACAGTTCAAAACACTGAAAACTATCACTTTGACGTACACACATTTCAAGAATCGTTTCTCAGAACTATGTAAAAGGCTTTACACAACAGAGTGTTTACTTGACAGTTATTATTCTTTGTTATTGTATAATTCCATAAATAATTATACACATTATCCACAAATAATTCCAGGATTTTAAAAAGGTAATCTTTGTTATGATAGCAATGTCGCTATTATAATGAAGATGACCTTTTCAAATTCTAACCTTGAAGTGATTATTCGCGCCATTTATATAAATACCCAGCAGATATTCTGCCTGTAAATACATGAATATAAGATTAGGTTGTATCTTTTTAGCATGTGTAGAGTTTGAACTATGGAAAGGCCTTATTCACTGAAGTTACATGTGTTCATGAAGTAACTTTGATTTGAGGCCCACCATTTCGCGCGCAAATTTGGCAAAACGACCCAAATTCTCGGAACTTCAAAGTTAATTAAAACTTGTTAAAAAATATGCCGAGAGGCGTTTATGACTAAATTATGCGAACCCAAATATCCGTTGGTAAAAATCGAAAATTCGCGTCGGTTTGTCAAATCGCGCACGATTCACATTCAGTAATAAGTTTCGTTGTAGGAGATACTTATAGTCTATACAATTGGATTAGTTATTTATTGAATATTTATTTATCGGGTAAATAAAATTCCAGCATACACTGTCAATCATCAATAAACAATTTCATCCCTTTTACGGTTCAGAAAATACTTATCTTCGATGGTGTCTGACTTGAAAACTGGTTAATACAGTTGTAGACTGGTTAATACAGTTGTAGACTGGTTAATACAGTTGTAGACTGGTTAATACAGTTGTAGACTGATTAATACAGTTGTAGACTGGTTAATACAGTTGTAGACTGGTTAATACAGTTGTAGACTGGTTAATACAGTTGTAGACTGGTTAATACAGTTGTAGACTGGTTGATACAGTTGTAGACTGGTTAATACAGTTGTAGACTGGTTAATACGGTTGTAGACTGGTTAATACAGTTGTAGCTAGTTAATACAGTTGTAGACTGGTTAATACAGTTGTAGACTGGTTAATACGGTTGTAGACTGGTTAATACAGTTGTAGACTGGTCAATACAGTTTTAGACTGGTTAATACGGTTGTAGACTGGTTAATACAGTTGTAGCTAGTTAATACAGTTGTAGACTGGTTAATACAGTTGTAGACTGGTTAATACGGTTGTAGACTGGTTAATACAGTTGTAGCTAGTTAATACAGTTGTAGACTGGTTAATACAGTTGTAGACTGATTAATACAGTTGTAGACTGGTTAATACAGTTGTAGACTGGTTAATACAGTTGTAGACTGGTTAATACAGTTGTAGACTGGTTAATACAGTTGTAGACTGGTTGATACAGTTGTAGACTGGTTAATACAGTTGTAGACTGGTTAATACGGTTGTAGACTGGTTAATACAGTTGTAGCTAGTTAATACAGTTGTAGACTGGTTAATACAGTTGTAGACTGGTTAATACGGTTGTAGACTGGTTAATACAGTTGTAGACTGGTTAATACAGTTGTAGACTGGTTAATACAGTTGTAGACTGGTTAATACAGTTGTAGACTGGTTAATACAGTTGTAGACTGGTTGATACAGTTGTAGACTGGTTAATACAGTTGTAGACTGGTTAATACGGTTGTAGACTGGTTAATACAGTTGTAGCTAGTTAATACAGTTGTAGACTGGTTAATACAGTTGTAGACTGGTTAATACGGTTGTAGACTGGTTAATACAGTTGTAGACTGGTCAATACAGTTTTAGACTGGTTAATACGGTTGTAGACTGGTTAATACAGTTGTAGCTAGTTAATACAGTTGTAGACTGGTTAATACAGTTGTAGACTGGTTAATACGGTTGTAGACTGGTTAATACAGTTGTAGCTAGTTAATACAGTTGTAGACTGGTTAATACAGTTGTAGACTGGTTAATACAGTTGTAGACTGGTTAATACAGTTGTAATCGACGCAGACCGAAGCATTTTCGATATTTCTGATGAAAATATTTTGAAAGCCTCCGTATCTGACCATAGAGATGTCGATGAAATAATATATTTCTTTGTGATTAAATTTTAAAATGTTTAACATGTAACATCTATTAAGAGAGGTTGGCTACCAGTCCATTTGACCAAATTTTGTGACTGCAAGGTAAAGTTCTCTGGTAAAAATATGAAAAGGTATATGGAGAACTTAAACTCGTCGAAACTCAAAAGAAAGCAAGTCCTCGTTAAATTGTTGTATTTTTACCGCAAATCGAGGATCAGTTGATCCGATACGTACGCAAAGTACCTATTTTTCCCCGGGAAAACTTTTCAAAGTCCGCATTTTCGCTGAATCAGCAAAAAAGTCATCCCCAGGTCTTTCGCGGATTCTTGTCCGGTCAGTATTGCTGCACGTGAAATGCATCAAATTTTAGGCAAATGAATTCAAAGTTTTTATGCTGTATTAGTGAAAAAAAAGCATGTAGGATTGTTTAGTTTGAATCAAGGTGTAAAGTGGACACGTTAGAGTATGTTGTCTGGCTTGAAGCGGTTGTCTTGGCCGGTTTTATGGCGAAATTTGGCTCCCCAAATTGAGAGGTATATATTATTTCCAAAATATTTTGAACTAATAATGGTCTTGCTTTTAGGTATAGAATTGTAATAATATTGTTTATCAGATATAGGGATAAGACATAAAATTAAACTGCCTTTCTCTTTATGTTTATAAGTTGTCTTAATTGGCTTCAAAAATTGCATGGTTAAAAACTGTCTGGTCTTTTAGTTAATAATTAATAAGAGCTTTATTGTTGATACCTATGTTACAGGCCATTTGCTACCAATGTTGCTGCAAACTATGATGAAATACCCATTGTCCACATCAGTGCAACATATAACAACACAATCTTGACCATAACAGATCATGCTGGTAAGCATCATGTGTAGTCATGGACATTTTGCCAAGTTGGGTAGAAGCAAGAGCTGTGAAATTTCCTCTAGAGTATTGTGCAACTGGAAAATTGCATCCAAGATGGCATCACAGACCCTGAAAAAGTTTCCATACTTTTCAGCTGGCACATTTCAAACTCTTGTCAAATTAGCCATCCCAAAGTTGTAGTATAGTACTGGTAATAGTGATATTGACAATGCATCATGCAGCTGTTTTTGGAATGAACCTTGTGTTTAAGTCCCAAAAAGAGTCTCTTAATGCATTGCTGGCCTCCACTATCACCATAGTTGTTGGCTATAGAGGATAGAAAGAATTGGTTTACTCAACCTTTAATATACTTTGTATATTTCTATATTTCCAGGCAACACTTTAGGATGGAAGTCAGCCGTAAGTAAAATATTGAAGTATGAAGTTAAGTAAGGCTGGATTTTTACTTACAGAGTAATGGTTCTCTAGTAAAATATAAACCAAGTGCAAACTATTGTTTGTACACAATTATAATGGAGTATTAAGTTTTTATCAACAGTAGTGGTGATATCCTTCAGAGGGTATTTTTATAATTTAGTGTTTATATCATATTTTTCAGGGTGGTGAAGGTTTCAAGAATGCAAGAAGAGGAACAAACTTTGCTGGACAACAAGCTGCAATCGCTGCTGCTAAGGTTCTTTGTGTCATTTTCGTTTTGACTTCTGTAATGAAAGTTTAAAACATATGTATTTGCAAGAACTAGCTTTACCTTGTTTGTGTTAACAGAGAGCACTGGATCTTGGTATAACACAGGTGCGCGTAAAAGTGAAAGGACTAGGACCAGGTCGCAAAGTAAGTTCTTGCAAAGTTTGTAACTTGGTGTGCATGGTCCTAGGAAAAGTTGTGCAAAGTACAGATGTGCGCTGTGAAGATGTATGTTATTCTCAGCACAAAATAGCAATTCAGGAGAAAGCCAATTTCATTATTTATTAGATATTTGGGTAATTTTGGGTACAGTCACATGCCAATAATAAAATTTGGTTGTTGATAATGTTGTTATGCAGATATTTGCTGAAAAATGTGAAAAGTTAATACATGTAAATTGCTATATGTCAATATGTATAATTCTTACCATGACTACCTAAATAAGTATTTGACATTGGTTTTATGTTTATATTTTTAGTCCTCTGTGAAAGGCCTTGAATTAGGAGGACTTAATGTATTCTCGGTCACAGATGTCACACCAATACCGCACAATGGCTGCAGACCCAGGAAAGTTAGAAGGCTTTAGTTGGGAGAATGGACAAAGGGTGAATTATATACAGTCAAGTCAGTTTAACATGGAACAAAGCAACTCATCATTTTATTATGAAAAAAAGGACCTGCATCATTGATTGTGTGCCAATCAGGATGTGGCCTATGTCAATGAGGTAGAAGGTGTATTAATCAGAAGGTGGCATTAGTCAAAATAAAAAAAATGATAATAATTGAGATAAATCTAGCCAAAATATGCTCAGATAAACCAGCCTATGGAGGGATGATAGTCCAGTATTGCTAGAATACATATATACAAACTTTTTAAATCTCCTCTGGGCTCTGTCCAGTTAAATAAAGCCACCTGAACGCATTTAATATTAATTACTTTAATTCGCGCTTGCGTCATTTTCAATGCTTGCGTTTAGGGTGCATAAATCGTATTTTTTGCGCAACACCGTGTTTAAAATTCCCCAATTTCCATTCCGAAATGTTCACGTCGTTTTGCGCGCTCCATCGATTCGTCGAATTGAAAAAATCTTAAATTCAAATGCGGCCGTGTTTTATAAATATGGGGGTGTTTTTCATAATTGCGCAATGTTGAAATTTTCTGGGACATGCGCAGTGTTCGCAAACAGGTCTTTGCTGGAGGTCTAAAACAAGTGAAGCCAAGCCCTACGGAAGAAATCAGTCGAAGGAGCGAGCGCCGAGGAGCGGTTCAAGGTACCCTTCTATGAAATTTTTTCGGGGTTTTTACCCTTCATTTTGTGCGTTATTTCGATTTTTCGGCGTTGCTTTTTTCTCAGAGTTTTTTCACGCAATGGTAAGCATTTACAGAGGCTCGTTTCGTTGCAATCTGTCGATTTTTTTAGCTTTTTGTTTGAGGCCTAGCCTAAATTTCTAGCGAAGATGGCTTGTAGATGGCGAGTTGTTGTCGAAGACCGAAGATTTTGGCCGCCATTTTGACTTCGTTCTCACGTCGTTTGAACGCGAAATTTTCTTTTAGATTCGAAGAAACGCTTCGGCCAGTCCGTGGGTCGTCGAATTTCAAAATTCGGTTTTTCTCCTTCACAGAAAAGCTTCTTTAAAGCAACAAAATGAACGAGGTGAGCTTTTAAAATCGACACCATTTTCAACGCTACAAAATTCGGCGGTGATGCAACTCGAATCCGGCAAAGAAAATCTCTTAAACAAAGCGGAGAAGAAGGCCACGTATTCAACCGCCTTTTACCCTCAATCCTTCGGCAAAAGCGACCGAATTTTAGTAAATTTAAGGCCTTTTCTTTAAAGAAAGAGGACATATTTTGCCTTCTTCTTCGATTCTTACACTCGGCCATCCATCCAAAGCAAACATAATCGATTTTCCCCACACAAAAGCATCAAAAATTCATTCAAATTGCTTCAAATGCACACATGGTCGTTCTACAATACATTTCTCCTCGTTGCTTCGTATGTCAACCGCGTGTTCGAATTTTGTTCGGACTAAAACGTGGCCATTGGTCATAGAGGCGAGCTAAAATGAACACATACCATCTTCAAAACATCCCTTCCACAACAAACGTGCTTTAAAACGTTCTCATATGCTAGAACATTGATATTTGAAACTCGTGCACTTTGAGATTCGAAATTTTGTCGGCCATTTTGTATTTTATCGTCTCTCAAACAACAACCTTTCTTGTCGAACATGAGATAAAAGCAGTGAGTAAAGTTTGTTTACATCGTTGAAAATTAGCTACTTTGTTTGTAATTGACAATGTTGTCGTATTTGTTTCAACGTTTTTTGTTCCCTTGGGACCGCGTGAATTTATTCGAACGAATTTAGGCATTCGCGAATGGCTTCCTTGTCGGTGTGATGTTTCGCACATGTTCGCAATAAAGCATTAATTTGTCAAGTGTTTGCAGTGATTTAATGCCGTTCATAAACAAAACAAATTGCTCTAATGCAGAGATATAAGGGACAAATGCATTGACGTACACTTAGGTACGGCCTCTATGCTAGTAGTGCCGTTAAGAAGCTGAGTTTAGCCGACAGACATTTTGCTGTTGACATTAAAGGAAGTCTGACAGTCGCCATCTTGAATCTTCACAAAGCGGGCATGCTTTGTGTTCTGAATCACACAGCATTGTCGATATATTCATCGTGAAAAATCACTATGGAAATAGGTTTATGCATATGCAGCCCTATAGAAACATTGGTAGCTTATACTTTTATTTGGCGGTTTATGTTGGAAATCAACTTGCTTCAAATGCAATCAAGCACGAGACCTGACTAGATCGATAACTTGTTTTTTTTAGTTTCAGTTGAGTAGTTTGCAAAATTTTCTTTGTGCATACCGGTATATCTGTTTAAAATTAGGTAGCGCAGTAATTGGTGTAAGCTGTTTCGTTTCCCTGCCAGTTGTTTGTGTCATTTACTTCTGTTCATTTGTTTGTACCTGGCAAAGTTAATAAAATAAAATAGTTATCATGGCTTATGTCAGTTATGTGTGATAGAGAGAAAGTATAAATAAGAAGAATACCATTCATGAAATTGGTATGGCACTATGGCTGGCATTTAGGATATAGAAATTGCTTTCTTAGTTCTTTACATATGGGTGTATTCCACATAGAAATATTATAATTGATATGCATAGGAAAATATTTTTAGTTTTCAAACATATAATAATATTAGAAAGAGCATACATAGCCTAGTGCATATATATAACCTCAGACTGTTATACAAAGTTCACATGCTTAAAACAGTAAGTTTGTGTTTTTAGAGATTGACATGTATGTTAAATGTGGGGGTTGCACTAACAAATCAGGGCATAAGATCTAGGGCAATTTAACTAGTAGATTTAACTGTTTGTAATTGTGTCGATTCTGATATCAATACTTAATATCAGTTAACAAATCAAGCGAATTGGCAATGTATTAGGGATATTGGTATTGTGCTTAAAGATTAGGCCAGCCACAAAACAGGAGCAAATAGGCACAATCATAATTATTCATAAATTGTTATAGGACACTTTTGTATTCAAGAATTATTCCAAGAAAAAAACCACCCTCCACTAGCACAAAACCACTCATTTTTTGCAGCATCTGGACAGCAAAGACTTTTACATTGCACAAGTGAATTAATATACAACAAATAATTGGTTCACAGTGATGGGTTCACAGTGATGGGTTCATATTAGGCAATTAGGATATTATCAACCCTTTTAATCTGTGGCATTGTGTGAAATGGATATCAACTTATGAAATCAAAATTAATATCAATTTATCAAATATAAACAGAGAATGTATTGGTAAATGTTTGGTATAACTATATCATTACTATCTTTTACTAAGCAAATGGTAAACTGGTAAATGGCAACTAGTATGCATTTCATCTTTAAGACTGAAGTAAAAATTCTGCAATATGAAAGTTTTTAGTAAATGCATTTTAAATTTTTAATGATTTTCTACCGAAATGGCAAACTCACCGGACAAATACCCACCCCAGATTTGGGGTTAGCCCAATCATATATTATCACTTTCATCAACCACACACATATTATCAATTGAACAAAAGTGTCTGAGATACTGATATTGTTTTTCAGAGAGGCATAGACTTCAGGAAAATGATTGAGTTGAATTGGATTTATGAGTTCATGATCAAAAGAAAGTTGTTTCCTTCATATTATTGCAGAATATTTACCCACAACAAACCAAAGCATGTTACAAAAGCAGCATTTACTAACCTATGGGTCAACTAGTCCCAACCCCCTAATAATCATTTCGTATCTTGAAGGTTGTGCAATAGTTGCTGTTTATGCATGCTGTTTATCAAAGTTCTTTCGTTTTTGATTGTATTTGAAAGACTCGTTCGAGCATTCATATACTGGCACCATTACCATATTGGCATATACCTAATATTGATACCTATCAAATTAGTACGATTAGGATTAATTTTAGTAACTGAAAGTTACAAGCGTTCACGTTTTAGATTGTAATGTAAACAGACGTGGCGGGAGCGCTCGATTTAACGGTTGGATAACGTTTTGGCAAAACTGCTTTATTATGTTCGAATTAAACTGGATTATAGTTGTTTCTCGAGAATCGTAGAACTAAAATGGCGACATCGAAATTTGCCTCATACGAAACTGGTTACGATGATGAACGCTTTGAACAGATTGTCAGCCAGACCTTGCACTGTATCATTTGTACGAATGTCATCAAAGATCCAGTCATGTGCCGCCATAATGAACATGTGTTTTGTCGTGGTTGTATCACCAGACATCTCATGTACTCTCAGACATGCCCTACATGTATGGAACCACTCACTGTCGATACTTTGAAAGTGCCTCGTAACATAGCGAACTTGCTTTCTGAACTTAAAATCCGTTGTGAGTTCTTTGACCGCGGTTGTGAGAGATTCATTTTGCTGGGAGATCTTGAAAAGCATGTTGAGGACTGTGGGTTCGCCCCGGCAGTCTGCTCGAATGAAGGCTGTAATTTCGAGGCAAACAAACGAGATTTGCTTCATCACGAAACAGCCGTGTGTGAACTACGCCGAGTTCAGTGTCATAGTTGTAATGAATTAAGACGAGAGGTGGATGCCGTTAAATCCAATCTTGCGATGATGAGTGAAAAAATGGACAAAAATGAGAAAATATTCTTAGAAAAGATCGAGACGAACGGCAAAGCCGTGACTCGAGCCGTGGTAAACGACGTGCTTGCGAAAGTTGAGTTGGTTCAAAAACAACTCGATAAACAAGAGGGGAGCATTCGTCAACTCTGCAACACAGGCAACGACGAAATGAAGAGAAAATTGGACGAAGTTAACAGGCAACTACAAAGAATGGCGTGGCAAACGGCCCTAATGCAATTGCCGTGTGATGTCCAAGTGGAACAAGAACAACTGAAGAAAGGTATTGGAGAATCTAATGAGATAGACAAAGACAAGGTCAAGGAGCCAAAAGTCATTATCGCTGGAGGCAAAGATTTGAATAGTGTTGAAATATTTGATTTAGCAAATAAAACCTGGAAACCACGTCAGCCAATGAGAGAAATTCGCAAAGGTGCATCTTCAGTTGTTCACAACAATGACATAATTATTTTGGGAGGTTGCCATGACTCTATGGAAAAATTGTCAATAGATGTGCTCCATGTTGACCTGTCAGTAACATGGGAAAGTGTTCTTGCTAAATTACCCGGGCGGTTCCACGGACAATGTACTGTAGTACACAATGGACATTTGGTAGTGATCGGGGGCTTTGACTTGGAGAAGAAGACCTATTCTAAAAGCATAACTAAGATTTCCCTTGTTCCACCCTACACCAGAAAACCTTTGTCTACCACGCCACAGGAAAGATGTTATCATGGTGTTGCAATATTTAGCGATAGGATCCTGATTGCTGGAGGAAGAAAGAGTCACATGAAAAGGTCAGCTCTCATAAGTGTTGTTATGTATAACATCACTAAGAATGAATATCAGGAGATGGCTCCCCTCCCCTACCCCGTGAGTCAAATGGCCACAGTCAAGTGGGGTGAAGACAACGTCATCTTAATGGGTGGCGTTGACAGCAACGACGAAGTGTTAAGCAAAGTTTTAATCTTCAACATCAAGACCCAGAAGAGTCACATGCTTCCTAATATGAAGTATAAGAGGGAAGGATGTGTGGCTGCAGTTGTCAGAGACACCGTGATCGTGATGGGAGGCCGAGATGAAAGAGGAAATGCCTTGAAGTCTGTGGAAAGTTTTAGATTTGACAGATACAGCTGGGAAGAACTTCCAGATATGCATGAAGCGAGATACAAGGCTACTGCAGTCGTATGCTAATCACTATGCCCGTTGTGAATGAACTCAGTCACAGCTAGAAAACTTATATGTGAACAGCAATTTTACAAGAGTTCTCTCCTTATTTTTACATCAGTAATTTTAAAATTGATAAATTTTTGTGCTTGTATCTCGTGTAAACCTATTCCTTACAGGTTTACCAAAAGGGTTTATTTTGTACTCCTATTAAAGAATAAACACAAAACCTGTTGCGGGTTACGAAGTTTCTCACGCGAAAAGCCTCGGATATTTATCTTGTGTATCTGCGCATGTAATTGAAGGTTAATAAACAATTATTTCCGATGTCTTTCTTCAGCGTTTTACGACTATTTTTTCAACAGCATTTAACATGAATATTCTCCGATTTGAAACGGTTGCCCTGTTATTATTCCGACATAATTGGGGCGTTCATTTTCGTGTTTTAAATTTGGTCTTAAGAGTAATTTTCTTTGTTTTGCCTCTTTCGATTTGAGTTGCGTTATCACCGATTAAAATTATTGAAAAACTAAATGTTGGTGTGCAATTTATAAACGCGGTTATTCACTGTATAACGATATTAACTCGACTATTGTTTCAAGAGTGGGGATGATCTGAACTCGTCCGATTCTGGCAGTGAAGATGATGATGTCAACGTGACCAGCGATGAAGATGAACCATACCAAGTCTTAAATACTTCACAATATACAAAACAGAACCAATCGAGCTGGTTAAATCGCAGCAAAATAGTCCAGTAAGTCAAAATCATTAGCATGCCCTTAATAGCAACATGAGTTGAAATTATTTTGCTTTATTCGAGTTGCCTCCGCCCCTTATCAGGACGGATTTACTGGGGGTGCACACCCACTAACCTAGGTCAGCGAGGATGCAGGAGGGGTGCGATTGGTGATTCTCAAGTGACCTAGAGTGATTCAGTGCATTATTTCAACTTAGTTTCGAACCCCAACAAGATGACCAGTAAAAATTGCATCAGTAAATTACTGAGCAAAGTTTTCTAACTCCTTTTCGATTATATGGATAATCAAAAATAGAAAATATCGAGGCAATGTTATCGCATAACTTTGAGAAAATTGCTCATATATATGTTAGAATCCCACCCTGGAGGAATTATGGTTGAAGACTTTTTGTGACTATATTATTTGTAGCTCATTCATGTTTTGACAAGCCTTGTTCGTGCATCCTATAAACCGTTATTGAACCGCAATAGCTTGAAAGATTCCTTTCATTTATTAGCTAGTTAAAGAGATATTCTTTACTCCAAAGAATCGTAATAGCTTGAGAGATTCCTTTCATTTATTAGCTAGTTAATGAGATATTCTTTACTCCAAAGAATCGTAATAGCTTGAGAGATTCCTTTAATTTATTAGCTAGTTAACGAGATATATCTTTATTCCAAAGGAATGTGTCCCTATCAGACCCGAACAGTGATTCGGACGGAAGTACGGACAGTCAATCTGAAATCGACGAAGCGGATCGCGCCCAACAGGAGGAAAATAAAAAGCCCGTTTCAGCCGCCTCGTATCAAAGCTCCTCGCCAACCAAGAAAGATCGGGTAAGATGTTGAGATATTGTGGGTGCATAAAAAATGGTCGTATAAAAAATGCAGTTATCTTTCTATTCAATGGAAGCAAAATATATTCCACCAGAGACGCTGGTCATCAGAGAGTGTTTACATCATTTCCTGTTCATTTTCCTATTTAGTTTTGGGAGAACGATCCAGATGTCTATGGAATTAGGAGATCAGGTCGAAGCAGGAAGGAACCAGTGAGATATACAGTTACTGCGAGTCAGGTATTGTGCAGCGAAGAGATTTTCAGTTAAATTTCCTCTTTTAAATTTATTGTTTATTCGAGGATTAACATGGGTCGCTGAATTCAACAGGATGGGTTTAATGTTAAATTAGTCTGAAGATTTAGTGCACACTTTTCTTTCACCGATCAAGGCGAAAATAGCAGATTTAATTGCGTAAATTCCTATCATTCAGGATGACAGCGAAGAAGACATACATTTCGAAAGCGTCCCGCAGCGAAGACCGCCAGAGCGATCCAACGTAATCAAAAACGAAGAAGACTGTCAAGGTATGTCGTCATGGTTGGTTTTGGCGTGGTGACGATGGGAAATTTTTCCCTCGGGCGAGTTGCTCTTTTTTGAGTTCGAGTAAAAGGGGTGTGAAGATTTAGAATGTGACTCAGTGATTCGAATTTACATACAATTTTCTCTTAGTTCTGATTGGCCAACTCAAAGCAGTGACAGCGGAAGTGAGTCCTCGGATGGTTACTCACCGCACGAGGCTCGTTCCAGGCCCGTCCCGCGAGCCACGGCCAGGGTACCGGGTCAGCCACGACGCGTGAACAACAATAACAAGAGTTCCAAACGAAGCTTCAGGGATAGCGATGAGGAGAAGAGCAGAATACCGAGCAGAAAAGCGACTGGAAATGTTTGGTAGGTGATGTCTGTCTGTTTGCTTTCAATTGTTTGTGTTTTCTGATAGTCCGGCGTTTCATCGCGACGAAACTGTGCGTGCAGTGCTTCGGCTAACTGAATAGCGATTTTAGATCAGGGGAGGTATTAGAAAGGCATGTTGCTTTTTTTGAAGAGGCTCCAATGCTAGAGTAGTCTCTTTATCAGAGTGTCTTCATAAATTAGAATTTAGAAAGCTCCTAGTTACAGTTAGAGCCCGTCGAGGAGCACCCAAATTAAGATGGTGTTTGTAAATAACGCTACGTTACGTTACGTTATGTTACGTTACGTTATGTTACCATACGTTACGTTATGTTACGTTACGTTATGTTACGTTTCGTTACGTTACGTTATGTTACGTTACGTTACGTGCGTGACGTGACGTAACGTTGACAGAGATAGAAATTTACCAAATACAGAACATATACACTCCCAAGATTGTGTACATTTTGATTCTACAGCTGTTTTGAAAGTTCTTGAATTCTTAGAGAAATCTTCGAATAAATAGAACCGATTCATGGACCGCGGAGCGTTTTTCGTATTGCTGGGGCTCGGAACCGCGCGCCTGCCTGGAGAGTCCGGGAAAATTTTGAAATATACATAGGCCTCTGAAATGGCCGCAAATGCCTCTCAATTTAAGGATTATTGGGAAATAGTAGATACTTTGTAAAGTTTCCAGCATGTTTGGCGCTCGTATACATACATTAAACAATATAACCATGCTTTGGTTATGATGTCAAATATTTTGACATGGATAACCACGCTGTTTTAATGGTCAAATGCTTGTCCAATGTAAAGTTTCCAGCATGTTTGGCGCTCGTATACATGCATTAAACAATATAACCATGCTTTCGTTATGATGTCGAATATTTTGATATGGATAACCACGCTGTTTTAATGATCAAATGCTTGTCCTATGTAAAGTTGCAAGCATGTTTCGTGCTCATGTGCAAACATTAAACAATATAACCATGCTTTGGTTATGATGTCAAATATTTTGATATGGATAACTAACATTTTCTTTGTAGTTATAAAGAAGAGAGCGAGGCGGAGGAGACTGATGAAGATGATATTATCGAGGTCAGTGCTGACGCTGTTGTGGATTATGAAGACGATGATAGAGAGACAATTGAAAAGGTTTGTGGACTTACAACCTATTCCATGCCCCATGCAACCTGTAAGGCAATACTAGAATCGAGATACTAGAATCTGATCGTTCCAGTAAAGGCAGTCCTTCTCTGAATCGAAGTCGGAAGTATGAATATGTGTTAAGTGATAGTCGACTGGGTTAAATGTTGAGACAGTTCCATCCACTCTTATACTTGTAATTAAATTTCTGGTAACGGAATTATATAGTTCTAATCGGTTCATATTTCTATGTGAAATATTGAAGTCCCGAGGGAGTTGTAGGCCGCATCCTAAATCACAGATTCTCGCGTCTTACGAGCTATATAAAACGCGAGCATTCAAAGCCATGACCGCCTAACGGAATCGAGAATCCGTTGTATTATTTTGCGATATAGGCGAAGTAATTCTTGCACTAGGCAAAGCAAATCATCCCAGATTCTTAAGACGAGTGTGAACCTTTCAAAACTCTTTAAAATATTTTGTGTGATATGACTATACTGATAATATATACTTAACTGACTTCGCTCTTTACCCCGGGGTTTAAAAATTGAGATAATTTTACTTCAAATCTCACGACCCAGTTAATAATCTTCCACAAGTCATTTGCTCTCTGATTGTATATTTTTTCACCTCTGAAGGTTCTGAACACTCGCATAGGCCCAGTGCAGTGGACAGGCGCTCGTACAACGATGTACTCAAGTGAATATGAAGAGATGCTTCATCAGCTGGAGGACGACCCGGAGCAGGAGCCAACATCGAGGCAATTTTTAATCAAGTGGAAGGGATGGTCGCACTTGCATAACACGTGGGAAAGCAAGGACACGTTGCAGCAACAGAATGTGAAAGGAATGAAAAAATTAGAAAATTTTATCAAGAGAATGGAAGAAATCGAAAGATGGTAAGATTTGAAATCTTAAATAAAAATACCTTAACACTTTCTTGAGTTTCCTTCAAACAGGGTGATTTTCCTTCAAACAGGGTGCACAAATTTAACTCTCGGATCAGTTTATCCTTTCCCTCAATATCGCTTTGATGAGTTTAACACCTTTCAGGGACGCTTAAAAAGTTCATGAATTAAAGTGCTTTTTGACAGCCACTAAAATGCTACTTTTTTCAAACACTATGGTTAAACATGTACTTTTGCTGTCAAAACCTAAAAATATTTCGTTTATGGATAACGAGAAGAAGGCATTGAAATATTAAACGGGAGTTTGTTTATGAGATCTAGACCAGAGAGCTAGACCAAATGCGTTACAAGACGGTTCGGTTTGTTTACCACGATGATCTCTTCATCTTTTTTACATTGACCTTTTTTAGGAAGAAATACGCCGTCCCAGAAGATGTGGAGTATTTTGAGTGTCAAGAACAAATGAATTTGGAATTACACGAAGAATATCAACAAGTGGAACGAGTTATAGGTACATATTGTCCGTATTTTTCTTGAAATAATCTAGTTTCCTTTACTAAATATTTCGTCTGCGTTTGTCAAAGTTTCCCAATTCATGTTTTCGGTTTTTAAATGATTGCTTATTTCATTCCATTTCGTTTCTAAAGGTCACACGAATATCAAAGGTATCGATGAATTTGGCAAATCTGTGAACCAGGTGGATTATCTTTGCAAATGGACGGGATTGCCGTATTCCGAAGCATCATGGGAAGACGGACCGCTAATCTCGAAGATTGGTTACCAAGATAAAATCGACAGCTACCTTAAGAGGGAACGATGCGACAAAGTTCCGGGAAAAAACGAACGCTTTCCCAAACAGAAACCCAAGTTTATCCCGTTAAAAAAACAGCCCGCGTTTCTGTCCAAGGGAACTGGGATGGAGCTCAGGGATTACCAGCTTGGAGGACTGAATTTCTTAACGCACTCCTGGTCGAGGGTAAGGACTTTGGTTGTTTATGCGTTCGTTTTGTTTGTTCACATTACGGCATGGTACAGTATTTTGGCCGTTCCATGCAGTTAACGCTAAAACATGCAACTCTAAGGTAACCACTACTCTTCTTTTAACTACAGTACAATTCCGTGATATTGGCGGACGAGATGGGCCTTGGAAAAACGATTCAGAGCATCGCATTTCTCTCCAACCTTATCAACACGTATTCAGTATGGGGACCATTCTTGCTTGTCGTTCCATTGTCCACTATAGCTGCCTGGCAAAAGGAGTTTTCGCTTTGGGCGCCGGAAATTAATCTCGTGGTTTACTTGGGTGATGCTCTTAGCCGTAAAAAGGTAACCGGTGTTTTCTTTGACTGTTCAACAGGAAAAAATCTCCCTTTTGTCTTAATTCCCAATTCTTGTATCACGAACGTCGTATCATAAATCTTTATCTATTTTATCTTTGTGAGAAATCTAGTCCAGCAAATCTTGTATAACTAATTTTTTATCACATACTGCATAAAAAATCTTGTCCAACAAATCTTCTATTACAAATTCTGTCTGACAACAAATCATGTATCACAAGTCTAATATGAGTAATATCGTCTCACAAACTGCTAACATCTTGTCTAACAAATCATGTATCACAAGTTTGGCATCACAAATATCGTTTCACAAATCTTTTTCTCGTTTTCTTTAGATTCAGGAATTTGAATTCTATCACAGTACTTTAAAAAGCAAGTTAAAATTTAACGCATTGCTTACTACGTACGAAATTTTGCTCAAAGATAAGGTACAGTGAATACTAGACTGCGTTTGAATTACTGGTAATATCTCGTGATAAAACTTTTGAAATCAAGACAAATTTGTTTTACTTCGTTTCTCAGGATGTTCTAAGAACAATAAATTGGTCTGCATTGCTGGTCGATGAGGCCCACCGTTTGAAGAATGATGATTCATTATTATATAAAGTATTATACGATTTCAATACCCATCATCGAGTGCTGGTCACTGGGACTCCTTTACAGAATTCGTTGAAGGAATTGTGGAGTCTATTGCATTTTATAATGCCAAATAGGTTAGATTTTAGGCGCCGGTTGTACGAAATCTGGATAGCGCTATCCACCGGTTTATGAATCGCTTTAAAATTGCTTGAAAAGCATTAGTACTACAAATTTGGAGCTAAACTAAAGTAAATTAAAGAGAATCCCCAATTTAGAAATATACTAAGGTTTAACTAAAGTTATACCGAACAACGAGTAATTTTAGTGCGATTGAAAATCCACTATCCGACCAGTGAATAGCGCAATCCAGCTTCCGGCACAACAGCCCCAGAGTGTAATACAATAGCCCGGGTTTTAAGTTCAGCAGTATAATCGCTTTAATATTTACTGTATTTTAAAGATTTTCCTCGTGGGAAGAATTTGAAGAGAAACATGCAAAGGCGGAGGAGAAGGAAAGCGGGTTTTCAAATCTTCATAAAGAAATAGAACCCTACTTGTTCCGTCGAGTAAAAAAAGATGTCGAGAAATCTTTACCTGCAAAGGTAATTTTGAAGAGTCTTATCTACAGAATGTATTTAGGATAACTGGTTTTACATAAGTTGTTGTTTTTTTATAGGTTGAACAGATATTGCGTGTGGAGATGTCATCTCTTCAGAAACAATATTATAAGTAAGTTTATATGAAGATAATTTTTATAAGTATTTCAACGGTTTGGAAAACGTTTTTCGGTAGTTTCAAATTATGACTGAGTCACCTGAGAATCATAAATCTAGTAGTAATAACATGTATTACCTTGTTTAAAGCTTTTTGTACAAGAGAATCGTTTTGTTTTCGAGCGTTTTCAAATTCGTTTTTGTCAATTTTATCATTTTTTGGCGCTTTTCATGTCCACAGGATCCAAGGGAAAATATATGCTCGATATCTTAAATTATCTTCAACTTCTATGGTATATTGACGGTGTTTGAAACTGTTTTGGCATGAAAGCGAAAACGAAAGCGCTCGAAAACGTTACAGTGTGCTTACAGTCTGATAGTCTTCATATAAAATCATCGAAGAACAAAGTGTTAACGATTTCAATGAAATTCTTGTCGTTCAGGTGGATTCTTACGAAGAACTTTAAAATGTTGAACAAAGGAATGAAGGGAAACAGCAACACTTTCCTGAATATCGTTATGGAGTTGAAGAAGTGTTGTAATCACGCGGCGTTGATCAGACCTTTCGATGAATACGAAGACCTTCAGGTAAGAAAGACACTGGTTGGATCTATTGTATCTCAGAACCGTCCTCAAAGATGCGTATTATAAATAAACACTTATGAATCTTTTTGGAAGCGCAAGAAAACTGTAGGAAAAGCTGGAATAACAAAGTTCTTATTTGTTTCTTCATTTGTTTCTTCATTTCATGTAACAACGTCCACGAGCAAAAAAATAGTGGAAACGTTTTTTCTTCTGCCAGTCAGTGATATTTTAGGCGGGAACTTTCAATTTCTCATGATTTCTTATTCCACATTTTGCCAGGCGATATTACAAGGCAGCGGTAAACTAATGCTGTTGGATAAGTTGTTATGTCGCTTGAAAGAAACGGGACATCGCGTGTTGATTTTCTCGCAGATGGTCAGAATGCTGGATATTCTAGCGGACTATTTACAACGTCGGCATTTTAACTTTCAGGTTGGTTAAACATTGGAAAAACACTCCTTGAAACTACTCGTCTGGCTTTGCCTTAAATGAAAACAGCTATATTAAAAGTGGACTAAATCATTTTAAGTTGTGCATTTATGCGAACAATACATCAAACTTACTAATTCTAATTGTTTAGAGACTCGACGGTTCCATACGAGGCGATGTTAGAAAGAAAGCTTTGGATCACTTCAATGCTGAAGCTTCTGAGGTACTGTAGTATCGACTTGTATCATGCTGTATGACACTTTGATAACGAGGTTTAACGATTGCAAAAGTAGTTTGTCGTGGCTTTTAAGTTAGCCAAATCCTGTGGAATTTTGCATTCACGGATGATACATGAACTGGGTCTGTAGCAGAAACAGCTTAGAACCTATGAAACCTATCCAATGTAAATTTACCGTAATCTGGTTTGGTGTCCTCAAACGAGGCTACACTAAAAAGTAAAATGGTAAAAATAGCTATCCAATCAAAGAAAGTTATGGTAAAACTTTAGATTCCTTTCTAAACGAATACTGTACTAGCGTATGTAGAACTTCTGATCATGACACATGAAGTTGCACTATGTGCCATAGTCAGATAAACAAATTTGCACTATTAGTAGCACTATTGCTTTACTGTTGTATCAGATTTGCAATCCACTGTGGCTTATCATTCTTAATTTTTGTACCCAAGGATTTCTGCTTCTTGTTGTCAACCCGGGCTGGTGGACTGGGAATCAACTTGGCGACCGCTGACACGGTTATCATATTCGACTCGGATTGGAACCCTCAAAATGACCTGCAGGCTCAGGCCAGGGCTCACCGTATTGGTCAGAAAAACCAGGTATAAATACAACATTCGATGAACTTAACGATCATGTGAAATTCGCATAACCATTGACTTTTTTCTCTTGCTTTACAGGTGAACATTTATCGACTGGTGACCAAAGGAAGTGTTGAAGAAGACATTGTGGAACGAGCTAAAAAGAAAATGATTTTAGATCATCTTATTATCCAGAGAATGGACACAACTGGGCGAAAAGTTTTGTCCAAAACAAACACCGCTCCTTCAGCGTAAGTCATTTTCTAGATTTACTTTTTCTTCCTACTGGGGCATGTACCAGATTTTCATTAGGAATGACGGCTTTGCGATGGCTGTTTGAAGTATTGGTGGTTAATAATTCTAAGATTTGTTCAGATAGTTGTTGCTAAGACGGCAAAATGGCTAAGGACGTGATCTTAATCTTATGGCTGTGTAATCAAATGCCTTTTCTCTATTTTTAATAGGAACACGCCATTCAACAAAGATGAATTGTCGGCCATTTTAAAATTTGGTGCCGAAGATCTCTTTAAAGAAGGTGATGGCGAAAGAGACAAAGAATTACAGGTATTGAAAATGTTAAAAGCCTCCACTGCTTCCTCTTGAAATACCCAGCTGTATACATGCAGTATGTTTATCTCTTGCATTGAAAACCTGATTGGAATATTATACCAGGTTATTATATCTTGTAATCGCTGTTTCAATTTCTGACATAACAAGCATCTCATCTTTGCATAGAAGAGTTGTGAATTGCCATTGTTGGCATTGTCAACAGATGGTCACAAATCCGGGAGTCTTTGTTAAAATGAACAACTACAGTAACCTTGAACGTGAAAACCTTTTTTTTTAAACAGGAAATGGATATTGATGAAATATTAAAACGTGCAGAAACCAGAGAATCTGATGACCAACCATCAACGATGGGAGAAGAACTTCTCTCCCAATTTAAGGTATTTTATTTTCGGGTTTTTTAATTTTACAAAAGTCTTTTTAGCTGTTGTCCTTATTCTCTTTTTGGTGCTTTTTCTTTGACACCCTTTCCAGACCAGTTTCTTGAATATTTTTTCCATCCGTATAGGTCGCAGACTTCGTCTCGATGGATTTTGAGGAAGAAACCAAATCGGAGGAAGCTTCCGCAGTCGAAAACGGGAAAAGCTGGGAAGATATTATTCCTGACACTGAAAGAAAAAATCTCGAAGCTGAAGAAGAACAACAGAAACAGCTCGAGTTGTATTTACCAAAACGACCGCGAAAATCTGTGAAAAAGGTAAGAAACGAGTATGACTATTTCATAAATTTTGTCGCTATAACTCTGAAGGCTTTTGTCCAAAACCTTTTTTCAAAAACGAGAGATTTTAAGAGAAGGAAAATCTCTATTGTATGGGTGGTCTTTTGTAGTAAAAGCTCTTTTAAAAAATCTGGTCAAATAGAAGTGAAAAATATTTTTTACAAATTTGTCCCCTCTTTTGTGTTGTAACAGTGTACTTATTAGATATTCACAGCAGAAGGCTTCACTTTTTCTCATATCCATGTACAAATACCTCTGTCCTCTCAACTCCCATTGATCCCATGATGTCCTCTTAGATGAACATTGGTCACCACGAGGAGGAAAAGAAACCAAAACAGAAAAGAAGGAAGAAAGCGACGAGTTCTTCTGGTGACGAGTTTGACGAGGGATCAAAGAAAAAACGTGGACGACCACGAACCGTAAAACGAGAAGATATTGAAGGATTTAGCGATCAAGAAATAAGAAGGTGTGTACGTATTGCGTGGTTGAACCATGGTTGTGTCATATCCAACCATTAACACCTCACCTTACACCTTTAATGACATCACTTCTAATAATATAACAGGTTCATCAAGAGCTACAAGAAATTTGGCCGACCATTGACGAGGTATGAATCGTACTGTTCCATGCACTTAGCATCAAATGTGATATAACAACTGCCTAAAATAGACAAAACACTTCTCGACGTTTTGATGTTAAGTTGTTTGAAGACGCTGCCACGCTGCTCCCTGGTTATTTTGGAACTTGTTCCATGCACTATTCATTTGAGCATTGGTTACTAGATTCGTCGTTTATAATTATTTTATTAATTCTATCAGCTGTCGTAGCCATTTTTTTCTCGCCAAAATTATATACCAAGGTTATATGAACTCGAACCACTAACATATTATCTTTGGTTTCGCTAGCTCATAAATTTTTTGCTTGGTTTGAAATGACGAGGGGTTTCTGCATGCATGATTCTCTAGAAATGCATCGATCATTAAGTATTATTGACAACAATTCCTTTTAACTTGATGGCCTCGGTCTTTGTTGCTTATTTTACCATGCAGTGCAGTGGCAGATAAAGATTAGATTTCCATGTTTCCTAAACGTACTTGCTTCTTGCTAATATTACAATACTTTCCACCCTACTAATCAAAAGTTTAAATATTCTTCATTTGCATTCAGACTTGACGTGATTGCTGTGGATGCAGAACTAGAAGAGAAAACGTATGACGCTGTAGTGAAACTTGCAAATGCCATACACGATGGTTGTATCAAGGAAATGAAGGATTACGATGAACGTTTAAAACAAGACCCTGAATTTGATGGTTAGTAAAATTGTCATGTTGGAAACACTTACTTTCTCACCAAATTTCCTCATGTATTGGAGAAAGCGCCACTGTCTGCATAAATGGCCCCGCGTCATATAACAACTGTTGCGGCAATATCAGTCATTCGTTCTTTTTCGTAGGCAAAAAGAGAGGAGCGTCCTTGCGTATCGCTGGCGTGAGTGTCAACGCTCCTTCGTTGTTGAAACACGAAGCAGAACTGGAACCTTTGGCTGATGCCATTCCCAACGATGCCGAAAAAAGGAAAAAGTAGGTTTCAATATTTTATGTTAATGTGACCGACCTTAAGGCCCATCTACACTCTGCGATTTGTCGTATACGATTCTTATCCTGGCGTATGTGAACGTGTAAACACGCGTACAAACGTAACATTTCAAATTTCGCCCTGAGCAAAATGAGAAAGATTGTGGCAAAGGCCCTTTTTAGCATTCGTCAGAATGATAATTGTATACAACTATTAATTATTTAGTCTACGCCAAGGCTTCGTACCTACCTTTCTACGCCAAAGCTTCGCACTCGTGATCTGATAACTTGTTTGTATTTATTTCAGATATCGTTTTACGATTCCTGCGAAAAGCGTTCACTGGGATATTGATTGGGACGTGAAGGATGACAGTATGTTGCTGGTTGGATGTTATGAACATGGTTTGGGAAGCTGGGATACAATCAAAGACGATACTAACCTTGCTTTATCAAAGGTAATTGACCACTAAATTGGGCAATTAGTTGTAGCTATAGTTAGTTCGTCGTTAATTAGTTCGTCGCTAATTAGTTAGATTTAACTTCGTTGCATTCGTACCACAGGGAATGTACGAGGGTACATCTGTTGTTGTCAGAACTAGGATTGAAAAAAAAATCATTTCACTGTTGAAACAACTTAATATCTCTTGAGATATACTTTTTTTATGATTCAAATTTATGTCAAAGCTATAGTTCTTATAACTAAATATAATGACAAAGTGTCGACCAGGTAGAGTAGTTTTTAATCAATTTGCTTGGGTTCTATTAGATCATGCCTCCAGGTAATTTGAAACCTCAAGACAAGCATCTTCAGACAAGAGCTGAATATCTTATCAGACTTCTCAAGCAGGACGGAATAAGGAGCAAAGCCGAAGAACTCAGACAGGTCAGTCTCACCTTAATACAAACTGCAACACAAACCAAGACAATTTAATTTCCACAAATTTTGATAAAACAACGCGGATGGCCCCATTTGCAAACTACCGGCGAAACAAATATTCATACCCTTTTTTCCAAATAACAGTCGTCTGAAAAGCTTAAGAAAGAAATCAAGAAACTGGAGAAGACTAAAGCGCCCAAAAAGAAGCTCGCAACCAAAAAAGATCCTGAGAAGAAAAAGAAAAAAACAAGCAAAAAACCAGCACCCGATCAGAATTCCGCTCCAGTCTCCGGCGGGGATAATAAGAACAATCAACAAGGCCCTACCCAAGGTGCACCGGAGAACGTGAAAGAAGAACAACAACCTGAGGAAGTTTCCGAGCAGAATCCTGAGAAGCCAAAGAAAATGAAGAAAAAGGTATGTGCTGCTTTGGAATTGTTTTGCCAATTTGTGCTTTGTACAAAACTCCTTGTATAAAAGTCCTAACTGCATTTTGCGTAGTTAAATCGTAGTTAATTCCAAAATACACAAATCTGATTGGCTAATTCAATCACTAACTATAGGTAAAACTATACAGGGGTAACTATAGGTTGTGGTAACAATTTTTTTGTCTTAGTCGGAGAAGAAGAGCACAGCCAAACCGAAGGAGAAGAAAGTTTCTGAAAGCGAAGAAAATAAAGGAAATGAAATGCCTGCGCACCTTGTTGACATGGACCAAACAACGTTTGGCTTGGTAAGAGACTATGGGCTTGTACCAAACAGCGGGCAATTTTAGGGCGCTTTTGGGCTGCCAAAATGGTCAGACCGCGGTCATATTTTAAATTGAAATAGAGTGTTTCGTTAAGAATATAGCGGTGAAATTTCCAATGCTAGATAGATGTAAATAACGATATACTTGAATGCAGATTTCTTAAAGCACTCTAAAACACCAGTAATCTGTCTGTACTGAATTACAACAGGACCGGTCTGGCCGTTTTTACCGTATAAAGGAAAGCGCCCTTAGATAGCGCCATCCAGCTTTCGTAATCCTGAAATTTGAACCGTCTTCCAGTCTTTCTGAGGCTTGGGATTTTGCGAACGTGCTCAATACATTTTTATACCTGGTTATTTGTAGTGCAAGGAGAAAATGCGACCTGTTAAACGCTCGTTGAAATTACTGGAGAATCCTGGAGACAATTTGACGGAAACGGAACATGTGGAACAGACAAGACAGGTTCGTGTTGACTGTGTTTTGTCGATGTGTACAGGTGTTGGCTGGGTTGCGTTAATATGAAAAAACTTTGAGGATTATATAATATATATTTTGGTAAATTTTGATTTGATGGAAAGAAAGAAAGAAAGAGTAATTCATTATCTTGGATTCCTTTTAATTACAAGGGTATGTTGGCGTTTATAGTTTCTCTAACCATCCAGATTAAATTCATTCCAGTGTTTATTGAAAATTGGCGATCATATCACGAACACGACGTCTGATTATGAGGAGCCTGATCTGGCCAGCGAATGGAGAAGGTATTTGCACATACGATTGTTTTGCTTCCCTGTTATTACATTTTCCCTCTCAGATTTACACCGGAAATCCTATGTTTCCTTGTTTCCAGCACGTTGTGGAGTTTTGTCGCAAAATTCACTGCATTCGACGCGAAGAAATTGTGCAAACTTTACAAACACGCTTGCAAGAAAAGAGAAGAAGAAAAAAAGAAAAACAAAGAGGTAATTTTTTTTTAATTATGTTATTTAAAGCAAAAATCTCTCATGCATAGTGGAATGAAAAAAAGATACAGAATCTATAAATTCATTTCTTTGAAGTAACTTCCAAGATGTTCAAACAAAATAGTTTATACAAAAATAATTAGAAAAGAAAGCAAACATCACAAGGAAAAGATTGTGAAAATTAAATTCACAAATTCTCTCAGCTAAACATTTTTCATCAAACGATACAAATTTATATTTTATTTGCATTTTTGTCAAAATCTCAAACTCACTAAACAAACAGTAACGACATTGTCTAAATTTAGGCCAAAATTTTCATCTTATCTTTTCAAGCATTCGAAAAAAGACACAGCAAAACCTCACAAACAAAATCCTGCGAAGCGGCCAGCTGATGTCGCTGTTGGTAGCAATGCCGACAACAAACAGGCTAAACATCCTGAATCTGGCGGTCAGCCAGGATGGCGGGCTCAGAATTCCTCGCGAGACCACGGGAATAATTCGTGGAGAGGTGGACGAGATGGAAACAGAGATGGGTAGGTTTACCAGATTAGATACCATTTCTCTGTTGAAAAAACTTAATATCTCTCGAAATATACTTTGGTTTCAAATTGATATCAGAGCTATAGTTCTTAAGAATAACAAAGATATAATCGATTAAATACTGCAGAATGGATTTATATAAGATCATTTAGACTATGTTGTGACTAAGTCTGTTCTTCGCGCAGTTCTACATAAACAATAGTTCATCGAGCCTTCTAAGCCTGTGATCCTTTTCTAGCGACATGTTTTTTCTGTTTAGTGGTGCTAATCGTCCTCCATGGCGTAACGACTACAACGATAATCGTAATCGGCCAGATTACCCCGACCGATATTCGCACGATAAGTACGCACGCCGAGATGATCCGAAACGTCCCGACGACAATTTCCGGAACCGTCACGAACATCAACGGTATCACCACAACCAACGTCCGCCGCAACAGAATCCTGGAAAGGAAGGTCACGTGAGTAAACATTACCCCGGGGATGGGCGCCATGGAATTATAAATAAACATGACGTACCATACGGTGCCAAGGATAGACACGACCCATCCTATTATGGTCCTATCGGCAGACATGATGACGTCAGTCCGCATTATGGATCTATAAATAGGCATGATGATATTGGGCCGCATTACGGAGCTAAAAATAGACTTGAAAATAGGTCGGATAGTGACCATAGGTAGCCCATGTCGTCTTGGTCGCTTTGGCCGAGACAATATGATTGACTGTTTCCCACGCTGTTTTGAAACTTTCAAAACACGCGTCTTCCCCACCTTCTAAGGTGGAAAGTCTATCCGAAGATTCCATGCGGCAGGGTTCACGTCAGATAGAGTGCGCATGCGTTTTTTAAGCACAATAGTCGAATGTGTATTCCGGGTGAAATGGAACATAGGTAGATATGCAAACGTGCAGTATTTGTGGTGTACTGGTGTAGGCTTATGAAAATATACTGTACGTTTAATAGCTTGGTGTGTGTTTTCAATGCACAATAATGATGTGTGAAATAAATGCGGCCAGCATGTGTTTTTCATGCCTTTTAGCGTAGCGTGGCTACAAGTGACGGGTACATCGTTGTCTCAAATGTAGATGCAGTTGAATTACAATCGCATCAAAGAGTACAATATTATCACAATCAAAGGCTTAAGAAATGCTTAGTAAATATTTATTACCTCTATGTTAAAACCTGCCACACGCACTAAAAGTTTACAACACTAAAATTTTACCAATTTTTCCAAAAGAGAAGTTGAGAAGGAACGGCCGTCCAAAAAATATAATTTAAAGTGGCCCACTTTCGCTTCTAATGCATTTAATTTGTTTTACTAAGAAATACTATTTTACTCTAAAATAGAACGTTCCTTTACAAGTTCTTTTTTATGTTGTTACAATTTTGGAAGCCTTTGCCCGAGTTGGCGCCAGCTTGTCTAGACATAGCCAGACAGTCGTCGCGTTAAACTAACGAAACTAATTCCTCAGGAAAGTCCTTTCAGCTTTTTCACTTTTCCGATACGGCTCATTAATTCGCATCTTCCAAACTCAGAAAATCTGCTACGTTTTTCTATGCTACCTAAATCTTTTCTATAGCCCGTTGTCGTCTCTCTCAGACTATACGCTCTCTCAACTATAGATTAGAAGTGCTTTTCGCGATGAAGCCTTGATCAACGCGGCAATCATTCGCCTCTCG